CTGTGGGAAATTCACCTATTGTTGTGCATGAGTTTTGCATATGATGGGCGGCTGAAGTGGGGGAGGCGAAATGAAGACAATTAGCATCCATTTGCCGTTTTTTAATATACCTTTTTTCCATCAGACAAACCAGGATTTTCTCTCTCTCTACACCTCAATTCAAGTCTCAATCAACTTTTCGTGGCAGATGCTCTGTGGAGCACTGAGAGAAAAAGTCACACAACGCATTATTTTCGCGCGCGCACAGAAGATTAGCTAAATGGGAACGACGCGATGCATCAAGTTCAATAACCTTGATCGCCTTTCCAAATCAACAATATTATATAAATAGTCAATATATCGGGTGGATTCTTGTCGCCGATCGAATCATGTGAGTTGAAATGCAAAAAATGCATCACACAAATTGTTGTCAATTGCATTAAGAGGCGCGAAGTTGGTCGCCAACAAGCTGAAAACCACTCAATGAATTGTGATTTTGTATATCACAACAAACACGCATTTCCATGCATGACTTCTTTTGACCATTGATATCAACACTCTGTGAAATTCGAACATGCCGGGAGCACGCGCACGTCCGCAATTTTTTCCTACCATCACCGCCAATTTGTCGGGCAGTGTGAGTTGAAAAAAAAAAAGTATTTCGCCGTATAATTGTCTAATGAGATCCAGAGTGATCACTAAAGGCACTCGTGATGCCAAAAGATAGTTGAGGCTCAGCCGAAAGATTATGTGAGATTGCAAAGTTCAATGAATTTTGCACTCAGAGAAATCACATGTGAGTCTCTTAAGTTAAGAGGCGTCACCTCGAACTTGATTTTCACAATTCACATTAAGCATTTAGCTCTGCTAAGCACACGCTTAGTCATTTACTGGAAATTTTCTTGGAGTTTCCCATGAATTCTCGTGAAAATCGCATCAGTTGCGTTTCAATTCTATATACGCTTATCTGAAAATTGCCTCTCATTTCACTTTTGCTGGAGCAAGTAAATTGCGACGCAAGTTTTAATGGAGAGGAAAAGAGAGAAAAAAATTAACCAAACCTGTATTTTGTGTTGAGAAGTGGTTAAACTAATCTTCAATTTTTTCTTATTGACTCGAAAGTCGACAACAGGTCTATAAAAGACAGACAAGACGGGCGCGGAGGCATAAATTCTCACAGCAGAAAAAGTGCAAAAAGCTTAAACGTGAATATTAATTGGGTAACTTTTTGAATCTCATCTTCATAATATATTAATCTTTATGGTGTTTTTGGCTGAAAAATTGTATGTATTAAGTTAAGATATGCAAGAATTTAAGGATAGAAACCGGTCGCGAACCGAACACAAATTCACCGCGTCTGAATGTGAGTTGAGGATGAACGCGTTAGCTGAAATATTAAATTGTGAAAAACTGTTAGGAGAACTGCCCTGAGGCATTTCCCTATAGTCTCAATTAATCAATTGCATCCAATTCGACCATTGAAATGTGAAATTATTTCAGCAGAAATTTGTGTGAGAACTTCTAAATGAATTGAATACGGGAAAAAATCACAACTATCGCAATTCTCGATGCAAAGCCGCCAGTAATCAATTATCAGTGGTAATTTTCTCAAGATTGAGAATTTCCCACACACATAGAAAATTGAGCAGTCTCGTGAGGTTGGAAATTACTGGTTTTGCCATGCCATTTTCTTACCTCTTTGACAAAACGATGCATTTTATCGATAGTCCACATTCTTGCCATCACATTTTAATTGCAATAATCTCGCCAGTGTGAAGCTGGTTTTTCACTGGATTTCCTACTTTCCATAGTGCACACACCTTTTGAGCTCCATGAGAGATCGATTTATGGGTCTCTTTTTTGCATAACACACTCGCTGATACCAGTAACACACATTTTCACAGCGAAAAAATCAACCACGATAAGACATTGACTTAATAAAAACACCGAGAGTGGAAGAAATGGTGAGAAACTCTGTTAATTTCTCTATCATAAATCTCGCGAGCCATGATTATGATGATTGTTGTGTATATTTTGCATGGAAGAATTATGGAAATTTATTCGCAAGCTTCTGCATTGCGAAGATCAGAATGGAGTGATATCCATGAATGGACACGGGAAATCATTCATAACTTTTTGCTGGATCACCTTCAGACCTTCACGGGAAAAGAGTTCAGCTGAATATTGTTCTCAATTGATCATGCCGCTGATGAATCATCATCGCACCTGAAAAAAAATAGGAAGGAAAACTATATGATGAAAAATACCAAAACAACACAATTTTCAATTTCCCCGCATGACGAATTTGTGTTCTCGTGACGAAAATGCCAATTGCGAGGAAATCACACTTAATTTTCTCTTGTCGTCAATAAAAGAGACTGTGAAGTCCATTTAGTGTCTGCAAAAACCGAGGCTATTTCAGTCCACTGAAAAGGGGGAAAATCAATGGCATGGTCCTCACGTCATGGGCCACGCAACAACACTCCATGACGTCCGCAGATGCTCACAGATCTCTTATGATTTAGGGTGTTTGGTGCCAAAATCTTATCAGCCGCGAGCCATGCCACAGACACACTCTTTCACATTATTTGGTCACTTTTATGTGAAGACAAGCAGGTGAGCTTATGAGCTCAAAGTTTATAAGCACGTGATTATTGGACGGGGATTAAATTCATGTTCACATTTTCAATTTATCGTCATTTTTTTCCACACTCGCACTGACGTCGCATTATGACAAAATTCAATCAGTTTACGTGGGTGAGAAGTCTCCCACAACAGCACATTGCAAATTGGAAGGAAAATCGTGAAATGTATGAGAAATTTCAGAAAAATTGCTTCAACCGACGCTAAAAGCACGAAATAACAAAGATGTGAACTCAATTTCATGCATTTGGTAGTTTTCCAAAGTGTTTTACAGTGAGTTAAGACAGGATACAAGAAGAATGATAGAACTTTTTGCATAAAGTCTATGCAAATGTTCAAAATTTCCACACGATGATTGAAAACTTCCCCCCTAATTGTGTGACTGTTGTGTGAAGTATTTGAATTTGCGCATTGCTATCTTCTTCAGATATTTTTCCTCCGTCACTCTTCCTCGACCGGCCAAAGGGGGTGGGGTTGGGTGGATGGTCACATAATGAATTTGTCGCACGTTTCATGGCATTTTTCCACACTCGAGCACGATTGTTTCATCACATTTGCCTGGACTCGGGCAGGCATTTAATGAAATTGCTAGAGCATTTAACTCAATTGAATCAATTCAGTGACAAAAAAGAATATTCTCACACTTATTTGTAACGCATGGACATAGTGGACGATAATCTTGGAGCATTTGTGGGGAGATGACACATGATCTATCCACATACTCGAGGCAATTGTCTTTTCGCCTTATCTAAGATGAACTTCAATTGCTTCTGACATATTTATATGCCACTCTGGTTAGTCTCTACACAGTTGTGTGTTTTCAGACACATGGCAATGTCTAATAGAATTCTTTTTTACCACCAATTTAAGCCAAAGTGTTCATCAGAGATGGCTGTTTATGTTTTCACGTTATGACTGAGCCAATTGATAAGGATCGCTGGGGTAGAAATTTTCCGGGACATTTGTGATTTTTCATGGAAAATATGGGATCTTTCGGTAGTATTATCAAACTTGTGCTTCACTTCTAGACATCATATTGGAATTTCCACAAAAAAAACTGTCCAGCAAATGTAGCGTGAAATGGTAAAGTGCGGTATATAGATAGTGATATACATGATATGTAATATGTTAAGTCATACGCAGACAGAGATGATAACACATCGTCCATTTGTACCTCTCAACATATACAAATTTGACTTGTGGATTTAGTTTGAAGGAGAGATTCGAAAAGTCTCAGTTCTGTCTTCAATTTTATCGCGAGAGGTTCTTCGGTCTCCAGTGTCCCTAATTTCTCTGGATAAGCGCTGTGCCCCAAATTCCGAATACGTGGTGTCACAGAGAGACTAATTAGGGCTGATCTTTAGAGCGCCAAGTTGGAAACGTACGGGAAAAAAAGGGAGAAACATGAGCTGTGAAATGTGATCTATGTGAGATGAGCTGAGAAATTGGATTTAATTCCCATTTGATTGTGAATTATTTGCGGAATCAACGACGAGAGAGTGGAACAACAGATCGGGAATCACCTTCAATTCCAAAAATAAAAGATCGAGCGCGCGAGGGGGAATTATTTCGGTGTTTGAATTATATATTTACCAAAAATATTGACCATCGGAGAGGCGGAAATAGAGCTCGGCAAAAGGTTCTCCCGAGTGAAAGTTCTTTATGTGTGTGCTTTGAGACCACTAAAAGCATTAGACGTACGCGAATGTTTATTGCCTAAATATTGTGAGAATTCAGAGACGAGAATTGGGCTCAGACGGCGCAGACACTATATCCCCAAGAATATTGATAGCATCTCTCTTCACAAATAATTCTGTACTCATCGGAGAGACTAAGAATAGTTTCCAAAGTGAAGTTTATTTTTAAACCCTGTGTGGTGGTTGGTGTTGGAAAATATTATCAATATTTTTTCCTACACTCTCAAAATTTTCGTAACACGCCTCTCGCATTTGGCACAAATCCAGTGTGTTATTCGTCACAAGGTTTCATCTTATCGTTCGGACACCACCTCATCTGCAAGGAAATAGATATCGCAGTTGTGTGTCCAACGCAGCACGTACAGAACTAACCATTGCACAGACTGAGGACAGGGAGAGAGAGAGAAAAGTCATGTTTCTGGTTTTATGATTAACAGCTTGTGAGAGTTTTCCAGACACACCGCATTTCTTAAGCACAACTTCTTGTGATTGTCCTAAAAAGAAAAGCATCAGAAACACATATTCCTAACATATTGTGGTGGTGAAAATGTCTGAGAAGGAGAGCTTCCTGAAGAAGCTCCGGTTCAAGGATTCCAACAGCCACAAGCCTCCATCCCCAAAGCCACCCTCAAAGCCCGCCAGTTGCATTCCACGTCAATCATACTCTGGTGTCTCCCTCAGTGAAGTCACGGAAGGTGCCCTCCAGGTCTGGCGAGCGCTGCCCGAGAAAATCCGCCAGGATCCCAGCTTGGCCAGCTTCCGGCAGGAGCACGAGCGTCTCCACGGTGAGTAGCGAAATTCTTTACTCCCTTATTTCCACGAAATCGTGACAGGAAATTATCAATATAATTTCATATTTGATGAATAGCACTAATTGTCGCCAGTAGCCGTGACTTAGAGTTCAGTCTCGACTTGGCCTAATTGCACAGGAACTCAGTGTTATCTTTTCGGCTCGGCAATCATTTAAATACATTGTTATGATCAGTTGAAGGAGAGAAAGAGAGTGATGGTGTGGCGTAAAGTGATTCCAGGCAGAGCTGATCACTTCCTAGATGTCAGATTAGAGATTGAATTTGCATGAATTTACAAAAATAAATAAACACATAAGGAAGAGTCCGTAGAATTCATAATTATTGAATGAGAAATTCCGTGGTCAGTAAAATTTCCATGAATGAATACTAAAATTTTCGCAGAATCAATTTGAAAATTGTCGTCATCGCCATTTTGAACAATTAATTTTTCTCACAATATGACTAATGTGTCTAATAAATTTATAATTGCTCTGATTATATCACGAATTCGCAAGTACACTCCAAGACAACACACTTCACAGTATCTGAAGAGCATCTCAAGAGCAAAGATTCAACCCCCACTTGAGTAATGAGAATTTATTGCTTTCGACACTTGATCTCAATCTCATCTAGAATTTGTTCCAACTCCAACCGCCAAAGCCACAATTCTCGACGCATGTCTTAAGTAGGAAATTGCAGGAGGGAATAAAAACAATTCTCTGGGATGCAGCGCGCGATGCCTTCGCGGACAAAGGTTACCTGCTCACTCGCGAGAGGGATAGAATTGACTGATTGATGTATCCCGAGAGTGATTGTGTCCCATCCAGGGTTAGACTAATAATAGCAATAGTAATTCAGCTCAATGCGTCGCAAGAAATTGACCTTTTATTGCTTCCTCCCGAATTAATATCAATTTGAGAGACAATGGCCACCCGATGGAACATCAAAAGAGGTCCATTGCATGAGAAAAAACATGATCAAAGAGGAGTGATGTTGCAGACGATCTCTCTGGGCTGTCGGTGTAAATATTTCACGCGATAATTAAGCTAAGTAATGCCGAATTATTGTGCGTTCCGAGACACTGGCGCTCAGAATGTGTCGGCGAATGCGTGATAATGCTAATTTAATTAGAAGTCACTCCAGTTTCCTCATCACCATGAACTCTCGCTGAATATTCGCGCGCTCTTTTTTCCCCTCGCATTGTTTCACAATTTCACCCATGCGCCAGAGCGAGGAAATTTTCCAGGCGTGTGAGCTCCAGAAATAGAGTTTCCACCCAAAGCAAGTCACCCACTGTTGTTATCACTTGGCAAATAATTACAAAATTGAATCTATTGTCCATCATGGTGAGCAATTGGTGTTAATGCTGTAATCGTCGCGAGATGGGAGGCAGTGCGGCTTCCTTGACTATATCCCAGGGATTTTTCCTTTGCTCGCCGCGCGCGCACATGAAACGATAATCTCACCACTTGCAAAGTGATTTATGAGAAACAGTCTGAGGTCAGTCTTCATGCAAGAAATCCAACTTTTTAAGAGGGAGATAAAAATACCTGGCAAATATATATTTATTTTCCTACGCATTGAAAGAAATCTATACAATTTCTTATCTATCGCAGGCATTCTCTAGTAGACCTTCTTTGGGAAAATTACATGTTGTATTTTATTTATTTATCTCAACGATCTGAGAGCACTTTTTTCAAGTGATCTCAATGCTGCACGCAAACTTTTGAAATTGACACAAATACATATCATAAATATTTTTGAAACATCAATTCTATAGAATTCCTTTGCCAAAGTTGCGAATATGAGATTCAGATTACTTGCGTGAAGAGTTTAAAAGACGCCAACCGTGATAGTGAAGAGTTGTTAAATTTATTCAAGACTATCTATTTCCTTGTTAGTTTGCCCTTTAAAACCAGTTTGAACCTCGTGCTAAGATTCAAAAGCTCACACTTAAGTTTCCAATTCTTTTCTTGATAATTTCTTAAGACAAAATTACGGCTATTACATTAAATGTCTGCAACAAAATGCAAAAAAAATTATCTCAATAAACACATACTCATAATATCGTGCAATTATATCTCGATGAAAAAAGTGTAGATTGATGATTGCACATCTGGAAACATGTGCACTCGAACATTGTAGATGCTCTGTAATTGTTGTGCGAAACAAGAGATCGATCTCTAATTACTCCTCTACACCGTTTGCTGAATATTAAATTCTATTTGCGATATCGCAGCTCCAGATGATTGAGGGCTTCTTGTCTGGGGTGATTAAGTGAGAAACGGAAGTGGCGATCGCCGCCGAGCTTGAGATGCTGAGAATCTCTGGACGCCGTTGACTAGGTCAGGGCTGCGATTGTAATTCCATCGGAAGTGGCGAGCCATGGATTGTGTGTGTCTAAAAATATGACGGAAGCCCGCCAAGTGGAAACTCAACACCCATCACGGTGCTGAGACACGTGTAGTGACGCGAAATCTCTCTCTTCACGCTTGTGATAATGACAGTGCGGATTGTATTTCCATCAGCAGATTCACTCCCATGTCTTGTGCTTTTCCAGGAGGTCTGCCATTCGATGAAGATCCACTGCCCAATGAAGATGTCTCGGCGAACGGATCGACAAATGAGGCGCCCATCAGCAATGAGTTCGTCCAGATCAGCGTGACGAACGAGCATGGCCAGATGAAGAATATCTCTGGGTAAGGCGTTCATTAGTAGTCAATCAGCGAATAAGTCCGATTAATCGACAAAGCATTAATTTCCTCATTAGTCACTCACTAAGCGGTGATTTATATTTTCATTCATGATGCAAATATTGCGCTTACGTGGGCGGGGAGAATGATTAATTGTATAAATAGAGATCTCAAAAGAGCTTCTTTGTGGACGATGCAGCTGCTCTGAGATGCCAAATATTTCCGCATTTTTCTCTAATTACGCTGCAAATCATGTGTGGAAATACATTTCATATTTCATATAGAGCACATAGAGACTCTCAGACAGGAAACATCCCTAATTGATTGCCCTATCACAGATACTTTCTTGTTTATGCGAAAATTGAATTGTTGGGGCTTACGAACCCGAGGCCTTTAGCCTGCTTGGTCATGAACCCGTCCATTGACCAACTCGTGACCCTGACGATAGCGATATTAAATAGGTCATGCATATTTTAAAAGTAATCAACATTCCCCAACCGAACGCCGCGACCCGTGGCAGCTACTGTTGGTGCTCCCAATCCTGCAAATAGAAATCATCTCTGATCCCTCCTTATCGAGATTTGGCGATAGTGACGGGGTTTTTATGGTATCTTTCCAGCGCCAAAGATGACCAAGACATGACGGATGTGGATGACACGGATGCAGTGACGGGCCACAGGAAGCAGAACAAGTGGGTGAAGAATATCAAGATTGCCATACTATTCATGGTGTGGATGCTCTTCACGGGCATCCTCATGTCATCCACGGAGAAGACGCTCGAGTTCCGGCAACTCGCCGTGCCTGAGGGTCAGATCAAGTCCTACACCCTTCCTCAGGCGCCAGTCGGATCGCGAGTTGGCCTCATCTTGCAGGGCGCCTTCTTGCCAGTTCACTACAGCAATCTCACGGAGAACCGCCTCTCTGTCTTCGTGTACCTGCAAAACGCCACCGCGGCAGTTCAGAGTGACAACAGTAGTCAAATGCAGGACTTAACGTACTACGAGGTAAGGCAGTTTGTGGCACAATTGCTGTGAACTTGAACTAACTCTCGCCCCAATTTTCGGTCAGAATGTAACTGAAGCGTGGCACATCACACTGGTGCAAGTGGACATGATCGATACGGTGCCGGAATTGGTCCAGAAACACAACTTCGACCTGAGTCAGACGGTGCTGAACAAGGTTCGCAGTGGCAGTGCTGTTCTCCAAGTGAAGATGGTCACCAACGTCAATGCCAGTCTTCCCATGCAGTTTGCCTATGATCCATCGCCGATTAACAAGAATGCCGGGATCATTTATGCCGCCATCGTCCTGCTGGGACTCTACATAATGATCATTTGGGAAGTGGTTCACCGCACATTCGCCGCCATGATCGCATCAACGCTGTCCATTGCTGTGCTGGCGGCTTTGGATGAGAGACCGTCAATGCCAGAATTGATGTCCTGGATTGACGTGGAGACACTGCTACTGCTATTCGGCATGATGATCCTCGTGGCGATTCTTTCAGAAACAGGCATCTTCGACTATTTAGCCGTCTATGCATACAAAGTGAGTTTGGCAATGGCTTTAGATAGTGGAAAAAACATTGACTCACCGGATGTTTTTCACAGATCACCAATGGCAGAGTGTGGCCACTGATAAACTGCCTCTGTCTCTTCACGGCAATTATGTCATCATTCCTGGACAATGTTACTACAGTCCTCCTCATGACTCCTGTTACAATTAGGTACATTTCCAATAAACATCAGCGTGTGATGGACAAATGCTAATCTTCTCTTCATTCCTCAGATTATGCGAAGTTATGGGACTCAATCCCGTCCCCATCCTCATGTCCATGATCATCTACTCAAACATCGGCGGAGCCTTGACACCAGTTGGCGATCCTCCGAATGTGATCATCGCTTCTAACTCTCACATCGCGAAGGCCGGCGTCAATTTCACCACATTCACGCTGCACATGACAATCGGTGTGCTCCTCGTAATGGTCCAGACGTACTTCCAATTGCGTTTCAAGTTCAAGAACATCAACGATCTGCGTTTCACTGAGCCGCAGGATGTTCAGGAGTTGCGCCATGAGATCGCCGTGTGGCAGCGCGCGGCAGCATCGCTGTCGTCATACTCAAAGGATGAAGATCTCGTGCGAGAGACACTGCTCAAGAAAGTCAATCGCCTCTCGAGGATGCTCAAGAAGAAACTCGTGTCCGGATCCGTTCCTATTGAGAGTTACAAGACCACACTCGAGGAACTTCAGGCCAAGGTGAGTGTCCAGCTCAAATCACACAACTCTCAATGGAATGAAAACTCAACTTGCGCTCTCTCTCTCTTTATTCTTTCAGTATCCCATCAGGAATCGCGTTCTGCTGGTGAAGTCTGGAGTCACATTAGTCTTCGTGGTGGCATTCTTTTTCTTGCATTCCGTCCCAGAATTGCAACGTCTGTCGCTTGGTTGGACTGCTCTCTTGGGAGCAATTCTACTGCTAATTTTAGCCGATAGGTTTGTCACACCTCCCTTGCCAAAATGGGTGTGTTTTCTTGATTAATGTCATGTGCTTTTTTTCCAGGGAGGACATGGAGTCAGTTCTGGCCAGAGTGGAATTCTCAACGTTGCTCTTCTTTGCCTGTCTCTTCGTCCTCATGGAGGTGAGTCACCCATATTCTCTTTCCTGTTCTCTTTTCTGAGACACACACTAATAATATCTCCTCATTTTCGCTAATAGTCTCTGGCTGAGTTGGGCTTAATCGACTGGATCGGGAAGCAGACGGAGAACATAATTTTGTCAGTATCTGAGGAATCTCGACTCGCTGTTGCCATTCTGCTCATACTCTGGGTGTCGGCAATAGCATCAGCGTTTGTTGACAATATTCCATTGACCACGATGATGGTGAAGATTGCCATCTCTCTGGCTGAGAATGAAGCTCTGGACCTTCCTCTGCAGCCACTTGTTTGGGCACTCGCGTTCGGCGCTTGCCTTGGCGGCAATGGAACACTCATTGGTGCTTCTGCAAATGTTGTCTGTGAGTTAAAGGCCAAAAGATCTCTTCATCTGCTTCTTTGCGGACACTATGTAATTGAGAAATCTTCTTGCAGGTGCGGGAGTGGCTGAACAGCATGGCTATAGATTCACTTTTGTTGAATATTTCAAGTGAGTATGCATGTTTATCACAAATTTACTTTACTGTGACGAAATGGGGAACGAGATGATTCGTATCTCAATTCTATACTTAATCCCAGAGAGAGATTGCATGCACTTTTTCATGTCGTGTGTGTTAAAGTTGTGTTTGCCGATGTTTCTATCTGATCAACGTGATGGTTTGAAAGGTCTTTGATCTCAGAAGATGGGAAGTTTTTGCGAAATTTCGCGGAAAGTTGATTGGTCAATAGAGTTGTCACTTGATTGAAACATAAAAAAGCTTACCATAGTAGCACAATATAAATTTTTAAACCTTATGGAAGGAGAAGAGAAAGCCATTGTCTAAGATAATGGAAATTTGTCAATCAATTATTTGGAAATTAGCAGCATTAGCTGCACTAACAGCTGCAATTCTCCTCTGTGAAATGATGACAAACCAAAAGAGATATTGAGAAACATTTTCACTAACGAAATACTTTTCTTCACTTTCCACAGAGTTGGATTTCCAGTCATGATTGGAAGTATTGTCATAGCAACAGGATACTTAATGATGGCACATGTTCTCTTTACATGGCACTGATTGGCACCCATGGGAAAGTCTCTATAGGAACTCCTGTGCAAAAGAATCTAAACTACTAATGTTAAGTTGCATTGTGCTGAACATGTTTCTTTCCGATGTTGTGTCTTTTTCACAGATCTTTCTCGTTTCCCCCCTTCTTTTCCCTCGTATTTTGTCCGAGTTGCATCATGAGATCATCAGCAAGATGGCAAATTGTATAGGAATTAATTTAAATTATAATAGGTACACATAGAATACTGTTGAGAACAAAACACAATCTAAATTGGTTAATTATGTAGATAAGGAGTGTGATGCTGATGCGCAACAGTGACATCACACAGCATTATTATTTTTATTTTTTAAGGTAATTAATTAGATGTGAAGAAGCCTTTAGAGAATCGGTTAAAGTTACAACAAAAGGAACATTCCATTGTACAGAGCTTACATGAAAATGCGAATGGCGTTCGTCATGTTAGGATTTTACACGTAAATTTTACGAAATATATTTACAGATTAGTTAGAATAGAAAAAAAATGAGAGATGAGAGAAAACAGTCAATTACACTGCACGTTACAATTTATCCTAACATAGAACGAAATAATAAATGAAATCGATAGAAAATGATATTATTCCTTTCTTCTTCAACTCAAACTCAATAGATTTTTCTACAGTTATCCAACAGATTGTCTCCAACATTTTATCAAATACTTGAATAAGTTGTTCAATATTCAGAAATTGAGAGAGAGAAATAAAAAAAAACACTACACAAAAAATGAAGAGAATTCATTAGAAAGGCTGTTTTATATGCAATATTCGTGCCTTATTTAGTGTAATAAATAGAATTATGTGTAGCAATTACATTTTAAATTGTTCTAAATGGATTGTGTGAGGAGCGTGACAGCTGTTGCTCTCGGAATGTTTTGAGAATCCTGAAGAGAATGCAGAGATTGTTAAAAATTTTGGCAGGAAACCCAATGTTGACAGATAAAAGTCGCGTTTACTTGTGAAGAACACACAACAACAAGAATAAAATGTTATAAGAGAAATATAGATAAGTATGAGAACTTAGTGAAGTGAGCATTACTTTATGTTAGACTATTAATTCAGTATTAAAAAAGGAAACTATATAATGTAAATATATCAACTATGGAAAAAATCGTGCGAGAAAAGACAATTATTCTATAGTGATGATTATAAAGAAAATGAAAAGAAGATTTATTCCACCGGAAGAGCATAAAAGTAAAATCACATTTTAATTTTAAACGATTCTCTCGCCCCTAAAATTGTTAATGATCACTTCGCGATCCTCGTCAATCCAATTCCACATCCATCAGATCCTCTGTGATCTTCTTGCGATCGAAATTGGCAACTGGTGGCTTGAGCGATGGCGTCTTGACGAAGACACGATGGCGATCCTGGAACTGGACAGTGGAATCTTGCGTGTCACCGGGCAGAATGCCCAGAGACTCATCTGAGCTCTGTGGCTGCGGATCCTCCTCTCGATCTTCGCTCTTCTTGCCGTACAACTTCAGCAACTGCTTCAGGGATGATTCAGGAATCAGAGGCTTCGTTGGCACCTTTGGACTACCCATGAGAACCGCTGTGATTGGATGCTCTGGATCTTCAGGCTGTAATTCCTGATTTTTGGCACTCTGAGACCAATTCATGAGCCAATTGTTGGTCTCCTTCTTGGGAGGCTGCAAGGATGAGTGATGTGGTTACTGGCGTAAATGGTAACTATGCTCAACATACTCTGTAATCCTCCGGATTGACATTCCTCTTGCTGTTGGTGTTCGTTGTGTCCTCGCCACCGATGGGTTTTGTGAACTTTTGCGGCCCCAATTCGACCAGCACCTGAAAATCCGCATGCTCTCCGAGTCTGTATCCGAATCCCAGGCGCGAGTCTGTGCCCTTTCTGATCTGTGGTATCGTCGAGAAGACGATGCCGAGGAGCGAAGCAAACTCCTCCGGCACAACGAAGTGACCAGCGGAAGCTAGAAGAGAGCAGTTCTCCCCTGAATTGTGATATAATTTCTTCAAATTCAGTGTTAATAACTCAAACTTGATCGCAACACGTGAAGCTACAGAGTGTGAAATTAATTCACGGTTCGGAGTTACAATTTTTTTTTCTGTTATTGTTTCAAGCTCAATTTATCGGTGTTGCATGCTCAAAAGTGCATGAAGAGATGGTTAGTCTGCAAATTTTGGAATTTCTTATTGTTCAAAATTCCCCACAAAATATCACAGAGGTAATTTTTTACTGTGTAAATATGACAACTCTAGGCATAGATTACAAAAGTGGTAATCAATGGGTGTTGCAAAACACCTCCATTAACGTTCACATTTGAATGAATGTGGAGTATTTATGATTTTTGAGCGATTTCTCGAAATGATTTAGGCTCCGAGCGCGTGGATTTCTTCGGGAAATCATGTGAAATTCATTCCTTATTCGCGTATTCGCGAAGGAATGTCTGCACAGCATAAATTGTATACAATATACATAATTTTAGTGGAATTGTTGGTTTTTCCTGCCAATGACTGTCGCTTGCACAACTTGCAGCATAAAGTTATGCAACTCTAGCGAATTCTAAAGTGACGCTTTTTCGCGTGGTATGTCTCATTGGGAAAAATCCACTTTCATTTTCACTTCAAATTCATCATCACATCACACTCGGTGACCTTTTGGGCCAGCATTGAAATTCCAGTGAAAGTAACAGCGTGATTTGACCGAATTATCCATTGCATTTCCACACTTACGAGACACGAGAAGCAACACGCCAAGAAATGGCAGAAACACTCCACTCCTGAGCACCATTGTTGAACTCCAACTTTAAGACAAATCACACACTTGATCACTCTTTTTTAGCGAAAAGAGACAACAGAATAAAGTTTCCCAACTCAATGGGAAATCACATCTTCTTGTCTGCGAGAGCGTCTTCGTCTGCCAGCGATTTGTGTGTTACTGTGTTGACTGATAATTAATAACTGAAATTGAAAATAAAATGAATTCCAACATGACCCTGTTTTCAAAAGAACTCTCTCTTTTGCGTTTCCATGGAGAGTGTGTGAGAGAAACACCTTTACGCACATGGACAGTGCCAAAGAGTGGAGACTGTTGGCTTAGGCCGCGCATTGGAGACTGTTTGAATTCAAGCACTACACATCTTTGAAAGCTCAAAGAATGGTGAAGACAATCGCACCTGAAAATGCTCTTCTTACACCTTTCTGAGCCTGAAAGAAATTAAAATCACGTCAATGATCAATTAATATACATACAGAAATTTGTTTTACAAAAAACATTGAAGCGATCATTTAACCAACTTCTGATGGTTGGAAAAAATTGGTAATCTTCCTTTGTGAGTGCATTTCAATGGGTATTAATGTAAATTCCGTAAAGGTAATAATTTTATTGTGATTGATCCCAAGTACAACCGTTTCTCCATTCAAGCAAAGAGTGGTGATTTTGGTGCTCCACACATTGCCTAGAATTCAGGCTACATCGAAAGTCACCACCCGAAGAATTGCAATTGAAGTGCTTCGCTGGAGTCGATGCCACGCCAGTTGCTTGGCTTCACCTGACATTCGCTGCAAACGTCAAAGTGGTTCGACGGAGAAAGACGTCGGGGTGGTTTTCTTGTGAAAAATCAGTCTTTTAGCCGTAATAAGTGACCGAATTGTGGCTCAAACTGTAACTAGAGACTGTGTGCAGTGTGTGGCGGTGGAGGATTTGTGGAAAACGTGTGATTTCTGTGTGAAAAGCAGCTGTGAAGATTTTCCTGGGAGGCGCTTCAAGTGCTCAGCAAAGGTGCCTTGTGATTATTCAAGAGTGTGTAACTATTAAATTACTATAATTATCGGCTGAAGGGGCCCCCATCGCTTGACACACAGCGCACGGATGGGATGGAGAGACGAGCAGGTAAGTCTGGGTCTATGGGTTGAGGTAAAAAGCGCGGTGCTGGTCAGGTTTTTTTCGCCTTGTCCGCACTCGAATCTCGTCTCCGGAGATCCACAAAACGCGAGGAAGGGAGAATATGGCCGCTCTCTCGCTCTCGAGAGAAGATGAACTTTTTCTCGAGGCCCCAACTCAAGAAACTTTCCATCAATTCACCGATTACTTTTATTTTCCCAGACATATCCATGCCAAGACGCCACTAAAGGCCAATTCGTGCCTCAAGTGCCAAGAATCCACGTTCCCTTTGCCGCCGAGGAGGCTCAGAAGAGCCCCAAAAGAGCCCCAAAAGAGCCAATCAGCGGACTCACTGGCTCGTCCGGGAGTTCGGAGCCGGTTGAGCCCCATCAAATCACATCCATAAATTCGAATAATTTGCAACATTTGCCAACACTCTCAAAGTCAATCTCTGACCTTTTCGTATCGGCGACAACAGAATGATTTGTCTCATCATTTTGCGCATATCTTATGTTAATATTCCTCAAAACTCGCAGATTTTGCCTCTATTTGCTTCCCTGTGCAGGTTTATTAATTTACACTCTGTCAATTTAATCAAAACACACTCGCAATCGCGCTCGGAGAAGCGCTCGATAAAGTCTGGGAGTGTCGCTAATGACCCGCGCTCGACTAATGCTCAGCCAAGGCAGTCTTAAACTCGGAAAACCCCTGCAACTTATTTAGGTTAAAAGCCACCCTCCGTGCACAGTGCCCGGACGACTGGTGGGAAGCAGGACGGCCGTCTGGTTGTCTTTCTCAAGGTGCACGTGCGTCAGAATTTCACTGGCGGCCGAAGAAAGGCGGCGGCATAAATTGGAGATATTCAATTGACTCTCTGAGACTTTCTAAATGGCTCGCGAGATTGTCGCCACGAAGATCAGCGCCAGTTTTCCCACAATCATTCAATTGCTCTCTGCAAATGTTGACTTTCAAAGATTGGCCGCTGAATAAATTGCGGCATTAATCCTAGAAATATCAAAAAATTAGTGTCAAGGTCAGAGGCTGACTGAATGTGTTTTTAAGACTGATGTCTTAAAATCTACATAAGGAATAAATCGTGTGTTTAAAGACGCAAATTCCTTGATTACCCTGCAAAAGAAAGTTCTGCCAGGACACATTTTCCCCGGGATTTTTATGCAACTGTCCTGTATTTCACTAGAAGTCTTGCGCACTGAATGACTCATTGTTTCCAGGATCGCTCAATTTTCCCTCTTAATTTCTTGAGAAAATTGGAATAATCTTTCTCAACCATTGAAAGATTATTATTTATGAATCTCTTATCGATTGTGATTAGACTTGATGGGGTGCGTAATAATTTGTACACTCACCTTTTGCTGGAAGTAATCTTAGGTGTGCTGTCATCACTGATGCTAAAAGGGCAATATTTCTGCTTCCTGTTGATGTGATGAATTTGCCACGCAAAGGGCTTCGATGGGGTTCTTCAGCGCAGTGTTGAGATCGGAATCACTGTGCTCATTTGGCATGTTGTTTGATTAAACAATGATGGTGTATTTGTTGAAGATATGGAAAACACTTGTAAAGAGTGTGATATGTAGCTGAAATCAGTCTGTTAGTTTTTAATTAGAGCCACGAGATAAAATTTATTTTCCATTTAGCGCAGTGTTCTAACATTTTTCCTGTTTTACGACTTCTTTTGGCTCTTGTTAATTTTCCTCGTGTTCTCTTGTGTGTGTGTATTTCGTCTTCTGGAATTCCAAAAGCATTATGGGAGTTTTCTATGAAATGCCCTCTTCATTGACCTTTAACGTGTGCACTGAGGAGAATCTCTGGGTAGAATTTTTAGTAGGTCAGCGCTTTTTAGAGTTGTAAAAATTCTGCTGATGCTGCCGATCGATATTTTCATCTCACTTTGTTTTACTCCATTTGGGAAATATTTGTTCTTACTATGCGGATTTGTTTGTTTTCTCATTTATTCCTCCACTGTGTGGTCATAAAACGCGGCAATTTGTCTTCACAATTGTTGTAGATCCGGTGGAAAAAAGAGGCAAAGTTGGTGTGAGGAAAAGACATCGACACGGATCATTCAATGGAAAATCGTGTAATCGTGTTTAATCTTAATTGTCTTGAGCAAATTTATGATATCACATAAATATTGATCTTGTACTTCCGTCAGTGATTTGTCAATAAGTTGTAAATATGGTAGAATTTACTGCCATCCTCTTTTCATCGCGTGGATCACTAATATGATGTTTTAATTCATTTCTCTCTCTCCCTCTCTCTCTGTCGTGGATGGATAAAGAGGCCTTCGAGCACACCTCAGTTGAGAATAAACCGGAGAAAATTTAACTGGGCGAATTTCTGTGGCCGAGACAAGAGAGGGAAATGGATGTATTAAGGAAATTGCTCTTGCATATCGCAATTTGAATGTGGTCTCTCGTCTCACATTTTTTGCTGTGCGGGAATTCATCTCATTTCCATAAAACCCACTGTTTTTCTTTGGCAACAAATTGAATGTACGAATAGGACTATAGGTGAAATGGTGTAGTTAAATGCATTATGTCTGTTTTTCCTCTCGCTGGCATTTTCTCAATGGTCTGTTCTTTCTCGGAAGATGCTCTTCTTCAATATTCCATTAAAATTGCTTGGGGTTTTTTTTTCCACTGCATGTAAATGAGAAGTGTTGGAGGAAAATTGATATTTCAATGTCTATTTCCGTGTGTGTTTTTTTTCTTACCCTTTCTCTCTCTCTCACTGCGAAAACAATGGATTGATATTGAGCAGATGCAAGTTGGCTGGAAAATGCGTAGCCTCGTAATTATGTTCAATGCATTTCACTTGGAGTGCTTCAAGGAGGTTGTCTTGACATCCTTATTGATTTATATCTCAATTTTCTGCCCCATTTTTCTCCAATGAATCATCTGCTCTTTCCATGACAAGCAGAATCGCGGCATGGCCTCTGAATTTGAGACAATTCGAGTTGGGAAAACGGTACCACAAGTGAGTCAATTATAATAAGACACACAGAATTCAAACGTGTGGCTCTCTCTGTGTAGACTTTTCGCGCTACCGTATTTTGCCATCATCGCGAGAGAGGAAGACAATTGCAAGAATAAGTCCAACAACAGTTACAATCTGGGAAAAGTTTGTTTTTTTTTTCCTCAAACCAAATATATCTCTATTAAACTGACTTCTTTTTATCATATTACGTGTATAATGTTGGTTGTGCTGTGCACGAAAGACGTGCGGTGGAATTGAATTTCTCTATAGAAGCTTAAAGACTTCCCAAAGATTTGTCCCACTCTTTCTCATCGTGTGGCTGGATAATTGTATTTTTCTCATTCTAATGATAATCGCAGAAATATGGCATTTTAATTAGACATTTTCCACCATTCCATCCTCGAATTTCTGCAATTGTGGCTTCTTCTTCTGTGTCGCTGCGGCAAAAGTGAGACTTTTTATCCATTTAGTTGGAAAAGTAAAAGATTTTATTGCATTCGTCTTGTATTTGTCGTGTTGTGAGACATTTGTGCGACTGAATGTCAGAGTGAAAATTGCCAACGCGATAAAATTAGATCACAACAATTATTTTCGTCTGTATTGATCTTAATGTGTGAGCTTTGAACAATTTACAATTGATTTGATGTTGTGACCTCAAAAAAGTTGATTCATCCAGTCAGTGACTTTTGCGAATTTTTCAGCGAAATGCTCTCTTTGTCTACCTTTTTCTCTCCCTCTTCTGTTCTTTTAATCTATTTTTAGTGCTGAAATGCTTTTTGCCATGAGATGGTGAGGCATTGAGAAGGTGGTTTTTCACCCAAGTGTGATTCTTGAATTTCTATGGTCGAATTCTTCGAAATGAATTCTGCAACGGAGCGCTTAGGGGAGAACGGGGCGCTGTGGGTGATTGAATGGAAATCGTGAAGGGATTTCATGACGAACTCACACACAAGTCAAGTGTGACTCACGTTTTTAATTTTGGAGGAAAAGAAGCGATAAGGAAAGTCTCTTGTCGGAAGATTCTCACCGCGAAAACCTCTACAGTGTGTCACTATGAAACTGTCTTGAGCGCTAAGCTTTGGCTTTGGAGCAGTCTAATCGCGCCACCTTGTATTTATTCGATATGGTGCTCTGCCTCATAAATTCATTTACAACCATGAAATATTCTTCAGCCATTAAGTAAATAAATTGAGTGGGTAATTTGAAAGGAGTGAAGAAGGGGGAAATTGAAAGAAAATTTCAAACAGAGATTCTAGTTAATTAGATCAGCAAGGTCGCGTTGAAGTTCATTTCACTTTTATTTGTATTATGCGCGTTGTGTCTATATTTTCTTCTGTGTGTGGGTGAAAGGAAAAAGAGCCTCACGATGTAATGTTACGAGGCTTTTAAAGGCCCGTTATCACTTTAACACTGAACTGATAACGTGGTGTTGTTTTCTGGGTGACTTCTCAATGCGTTCTCAACCTTTCTTGGCACGATGAAGAAAGCCACACAGAATTGAAGGCAAAAGAGAAAAGCCGGTCAAAGAACCTCAAAGTGAATGCAAATTGATTGAAGTTTTCTATACATTTCGTGCTCTTTCTGGCTTTTCAATTCTCACTGGGTGAGAATAGTATATTTAAAAGGAAAGAAAATATGAGGTTTTTGCTTGATAATTTTTTTCCGCGACGTTTTTCTCCCTGTTCAAATTAATATGAGGAAAAAAAAGTATGATTTGTCTAGACCTTTCAATTTACCTCTACTGATGCGTAAAGTTCGCGCAATTTACAAGAGCGTGGCTGAAATTTAATACACTTACTGGAATCAATTTCAAGTTTATGTCTAGTGGTGTTGATTTTTTCTTCATTTTCCTCGTGAAATCAGCACCTCGCGGAAGAATTTGATACAATTAAGCTAGGAATACAGGTTGAAAAGAGTGAAAGATTGGAGTCATATTCGGACATTCTCTGTAGAAATTTTTGTGGAAAGTGTAATTGGCTGAAATATAATTTACGCTTTTTCCTTTCTGTCTCATTTCAGTGCTGAGATGGAAAAAGACGAATGAGCGGTGAAGATCAGCAATCGTCCATTTGTGTGAATTTTCTTGCCTAAAGAGTGTGAGCAATGATGTGTAAATGATTGGATCATTGAGTTGTCGTGTCAGCAGAGCATCGCCAGAAGTCAATATTTTGGCAAATTTGCAGAATAGATGTTCATCAACGAATCACATTGAACCGTGAGATTGTTTCAACTGAAACGATGGAGCCGAGGAGTGAAGTCAAAGTAATACGTGCGCCATCGCTAAAGCGTGGCAAAAATGACGAAAGACTGAGTGATCGGGTAAGAATATTTTCCATGTTCTTTGAACATCTGTGATGTTATATTTGAGAGAGAAAAATAGAAGAGTGATTGCAAAAAAATCCAGGCTGATATTTTAAAGTCATGTTTCACACCTACATTGAGAAATTTTGATTGAAGTGCAATTACTGTGAACGAATCAATTTACACTGGCTTACATAAGTGTTTGGACACTGTTAGCGGGATGACTTTTGAGGAGCTTCTAATAATGATATAATGGAATGGGAAAATTGATTTGAATGCGTTGAGATTCATTCACAATATGTTTATACGGGAGTTTTTGGAATATCTTCAGCATTAGCACACTTGCCATGTCTTGGGTTGTGGCTACGAACAGACGTTCCTTTGAAGATTACACCCGAATTATGGGCTTTATTGTTTCATTCCAGATCGTCATCTTATCTGTTGTGAAAGATTAAAATCTATTTTGAGATTATGTGAGATAATTTTGAATCTCCACTGTTGACTTTCGATATAATGTGTTCATTTACCTGTGTCACCAAGTGTTTCATTTTATATAAAGGGGACAATTTTGCGAGGAAAAAAATATTATAATTAAGACTGTGTTTAACGTTCATGAGTGTGTAATAATTTCTCATCAATGGCCAATGATATGAATTTGTGTGTTGAGGGCTGTTATTTCTCTTGAGACTTTACGATGCTGTTTCGCGATGTAAATTGTGAATGGGTCTTTATATGGCTGGAAGAGATTTGAATCTTCGTGCGCGGTAATGCAAAGAAGCATGCCAAACGTGACTGGCTTTGAAAAGAATTTCCATCGACTCGTGTAACTCTAATGAATTTGCAATTTGCGGATATTTTATATTGAAAATTATTCTTTAATAGTATATTTTTCTCTTTTGCCTTTACACCTCGGGAAAATCTCGGTGGATTTCATGTGTCGAAGCAATTATATTGCAATGTATTAGAATTGTTGGTAGTTTTTTTTCCTGCCGTTTCTCAGATGTTGATGTGAGATAAAACAATGAAGGAGAAAGTTAAATTGGATTAGATATTTCCTTTTTAATTATTCCCCCGATGCTGTGATTTTTGTGTGTGTCACTTTTGGTAGTTCGAGAGAAGTGAAAGATGTTTGACTAAAAGAGCACCTGCTTAAAATTCTGTATGATTTCGATGGTTGTGTTTTCTCGCATTTGGATTTGAGCCATTTGAACAATAGAAGTGAATTCCGTATGTACAAAAATTCAAATATATCGAAAGTACGCGTACTGTATTGCTGGAGAAATATATTATTTATTTGTCGCCAAAGTGCTGTGGCTCTGAGCATGAGGGAGACGTCGAATGACATGATCTCCAAACATAGAAATACCTAAACTCCAACGCAATTGTCGGCTGACTTTTGCTTAAGCAACCATTCTTCGTTTCTGTGTAGTGTTGTATGTACGAGATTTTCTTCAAAGTAGTGTGTGTCACACTTAATTAATATAATCAACACCACAGAGTGATCGATAGGAGGCATTTTGCATTTTCTGTGCGCTGCATGATGAACATTAGTCAAGAGTGGTTTATGTCTCTTGCACAGCCACAAGACAGGAGAGGTGTTGCGGAAAACAGAGAAGAAAATGACACAGAAGCAGAGTCAAGATAACAAATAAAGATATCTTTGGGGGAGGAAAAAAGAGCGACAAGGTGGAGCAAAAACGACTACACACACCTTTATTTTTAAACAGTTTTTTTTATAGGTACAGCTCAACAGAAAATGAGTTATGAAACGATTTTTAAATACTTTTTTCCCAATCAATCAATGGGTGGTTCGCATGTTGTAAACTTCTTTTATGATTTTCTTCCTCGATGTGTGAAGGAAGGACACTTGATTTTTTTTCTCTGTGCTTTATTATAATTCGGCCATTCCTGACTAATTGACGTCCCATACTGACTATTTTTTTTTGCAATTACTTGAAGCAGTCTCTCTTTCAAATTAGCATTGATTGTTTGTGAGGTGAATGTGGAGGAAAATTAGAGGCTATATTTTACAAATTCATTGTTCTTAATTGTATTTGGAGAAGAAAAGGTGATGGAGAAAAAAAATTGGTAAAGGTGTAGAGCAAATCATCTCTGACAGCTAAATTTCTCTTCTTTTGAAGAAAATAACATCCAATGTTGAGAGTTTAATTGAAGGTTTTTGCAAAATCTACATGATATTGATTGCCTCTTTCACTGGCCAAAGGTGGAGGAGGTGAAAATTTCGGTGTTTAGTGAAAAGCGGGCACTTTTTTGGGCTGCAAGAGAGAGATTGTGTGTTGTACCCTATGTTGTGTGCAAGTAAAATTTATTAGCATACGTCATGTTTACTTGTTGGCCAGTTGAAATGTGATTGTGTGGTATGAGATAGTGACACAGTGCATGAATGGGTGAATGAGTGTGAGAGAGTCGAAGATATACTTATATACAGCACATATGAGGTTTATATTATTGCTCAACTCACCTCCATATAGTGGCTTGTTGAAGATACCGAAGTGAATTCTTGTTTTCCTCTGGTGTGTTTAGTTTTACGGTAACTTCCATCCGATATTCATAAAGTAATATCTCGGGTGTCTCGCGTTGTTCGAGAGACTGTCGAAAAAAGAAAGATTAACCCATAAGTTTAATTTTTGCCTAATATATGGATAAAACGGAGCTGATAGGATTACGTGATTAGGTTTTTCCGCGTCAATTCTGCACAAATTGCGTCAACCTTGAAATACTAATTAATTACCGTGCTCGACGATGAGATAAAGTCATCTTCACACAAAAAAGCAGCAGTTTCTCATCAGTATAAGCATAATATTGTCTTGAGAGATTCACCTATTGGATGTTGTGAAGACAGCGAGAGGATTTACGGTGGAAAATGAAGTTCTACTTAATTCAGTGGATTGTGAATTGAAGAATAGAATACATAATTGCATAACCATCAAGTTAGAAAAGAAGAAGAAAGAAGTGAAGAGAAGAAATTAGAGAAACTACAATGTTTGCACCGAGAAATTCATCACCCAATCAAGTATTTAACAATGAGGATATAGCTGCATATCAGGTGATTTGTCTCTTGTTTTTTTTTTGCGTGCTTTCTGTGTGTGGAGTTGAGAAAGAAGTTCTGCGCGGTGTCTTGAAGTGGAAACTTGGTCAATATTCCACACTATTTTCATGCGCGATGATCTAATCGACAAAATAAATAGGCGAGGGAATCTACTTTATAGTTAAAATAATAAAAATAAAGTGTTAAATCCAATAACAAACAGCGAAGATGAAATTTTCAGTCATTTTGTCATTCCTACACAAAATTATCATGTGTGGGGATCTCGAATGTTTGAAGAAAGAAGAGAGTTTTTCTGCAGGCCTTCTGGCAGAACGCAGACATACAGAAATATCTCTTGGTATGATTGCGAAGAAGGATAAAACTTTCTCATTTGCGAAATACTTTGCAATATCAAATGATGAATGATGATTTCCATCTTGAGATTGTCATCGATGAATTGAGACTTTGGTATTTTCGAGTGAAAAATGGGCATAGCGCGTTTGTCACGATTTCCGATCAATATATTGTAATTTATTGATTTTTTGTTTACCGATCACGAGCAGATGGCGAGAGAAAAATGTGTCTATGCCCAGTGGATGGCATTTTCGCATTATAATACAATTTTCATTTAGTCTCTGGGTAACTACCAAATCCACCCACTTGTTGGAATTCCATTTGGTGTACGTTTACACACATCTGCGTGAGATTTTGTGAATTAATGTCTCAAGATCGACTTTCGAATTGTACAATATTTCAATATATAGAAGACAATCTGGTCGCTATTAGAAAATGATGATATTAATATGTGATGTGGACAATAAAGTGCGCATGAAAGATGTGGAGAAATGGATTGGAAGTTTCACAATTTGCAATCTGACATTCGCAGATAAAAGACAATGGGTGAAAGAGAAAAAAAGGGAGGAAATATCTGAAAAATCTTTCGATTGATGTGCTGTAAATGTTGTATTAATTTTAATTATTACGTACAAGTAACTATCGAAGCGTGAAAGGAGATAAAATACTTTACACGTTAACAAGTAAATGGAACAAAACTAGACTATTTAGAGTGTTTTGTGAGGTTGAGAAGAGAGTCTCTCGAATCTATGTGAAGCATAAAATATTCAATGAAAGTCTCTCAGTATGAATTTTCTCTCTTTCTATGCACTGTGGCAGAAAAATATGATCCATTTATCATAATTTTTCTCCTTCAAGAACAACAATTCATAGTCTCTCATTATGTAAATTTGCGAGGCACTTTTTTCTCACATCTCTGATTTATGGTTTTATTGATGGTGTGATTGAAATTAATCTTAATGCATGCAGTCATGGTGGACAGAGTATGTTTAATTAATGAACAAAGAGTTGCTCCTTTTTTTCTGAAGAGGAAGTTCAAATTCTGGGTGTTTCTTTTCTTGTCTGCATTGCGCTACCCAGTTTATTATTGATTTGCTGAATTTATTTTGAATCACAATTGGAAAAATGTCTTGAAACTGGTTTAATCTCCATGAAATCCATAAAGTCTCTCTGTACAGAATCGTGGGAAGTGCTTATAAATTGTGAAAAACGATACGATCTCCTATGATCTATGTTGTGGGAAAAGTGTGAATATTAAGGTATTAATGGATTCTCCAGACATAAAAGAAATCAATAAGCATATAATATTGAGATTGACGTTGATGATAAGGCGATATTTTCTTCCGTCAGTGCGATATTGTATGTAAAAAGCTCAAGTTCATTGCCGTTTGCTTAATTAACAGTTGGCTCGGCTTATGTGCAGAATAAATAATTAGCAAAATGCTACAGCGGAAGTTTGATTTGAGCAGTATGGAGAAATGTTATGTGCAAATACAGTGAGTTTGATACTTTCGATGGGTGAAAGAGATGAAGGAATTACTGCTCAATAAATATGTTTAAATATGCTTTACCGTATGCATTGATTGATCCCTTCCCCATCGCTATTTGCGGTGCGTATGCTATGCATAAAGAGTGTGAAGTGAGAGGAGGCGAAGTGGGAAGGAAATGAGGAAAAGAGGTGTTTGATTAGTGGCGTTGATGAGTGTGTCCGTTTGACCATTTAATTGCATTGAATAATCTTTTAGTCACTCTAAGCACAATGACTCTGAGCAGAATGGTAGAATTTCTTCTTTCTCTCTCTCTCGCTCAACAGTATTATTATGACTTAACACCATTTCGAGACCTGAATGGAATTTTGAATGGAGTCGATCGTGGCTTTTGGGCGATGGAAAGACACTCCGAACCCAGAAGACTTTGTGTTGTTGAGCTTTGGGTGCAATAAATGCACTTTGTACACACATCACGATACAAAGTGGGACACCAGCGGAGTCCATGCCTCTTTCAGAGATACTTATGGGAGAGAGTGAGATGTGTGTTGAGGAGTACATATTTGTGTGACTATGAGAATTGAGAAAAAGACACACAACGTGCGTCATTATATTGCATATTGTGTGATAGAAAAAAATGTGTGCTTAAATGGGCTATAGTTTCTTGACAAGACAATAATAATAGTAATTTCGTAATTTGATTAGAATACTTGCAATCTGAATCATCCGATCTCTCCATAGCACACAGAATCATAATTTCTTACATTGTGTTTTTCAATTCTTCTCCTTCTCGGTACATTTTATGTGGCGTATAGATAAAGCTGAAGAAAGTCTTGGGCCTCACTGTCTGTAGCAATGCAGCTCTCGATGTGTCACCCACTTCTGGCATCTTGGCCTATCCAGCTGGGTAAGTAACGTGTGTGTATGTCTAAAAAATTTATGGCTTTATTGCAGATATTGTGATTTTGCGTTGTTCTTGTTCCACACTCTTTATTATATCACACTTGATATCCAAAGGGGCGCACAAGTGCCATCATTACAGCTTTCTGAGAAGTAATTTGTACGGTTTTTGGCTGCTGCTTTTTGTGCGGTGTATTGCAGAATGTACATATTTCTTAATATTTTGGGGGCATTACGATAAATTTGCAGACCGTTTTGTGCACGCAACGGAAGATTGAGATCATAGCCAAAAAAAAAATTCGTGAAATGAGTTATGTCATTGTTTAAATACATCAGAGGAATTCATCAAACAGCTCAAAGTTTATCTATGAAAGATTTCTTTCGAAGATGGTGCGAATTTATAATAAAGTACAATTGTTAATAGAAGAAGTCCATAAAGGAAATCATAAGCACACGAATATTTACACTTAATGGCTTGTTTTGGTCAAATTAATTGCTCATACAATGTGATTTACAGCGAAAAGCTTCAGGCATAACCATTTCAAATTATTTATTGCGAAATTTAAAAGCACAGCATAAAGTTTAACATGGAATAATGTGACAAATATTAGCTGGCAACTGTTGCATTAATTTTACAATTTATGCGTGAATGATTTGATGATACTTTTCACTGGGTGCAATTCTTGCAAATTGGGTCAGAAAATTGATGAATGGTTTGGAGTGTGTGTTGTCGCGCACACTTTTGAAAATGGTCTGCCAATCACACTGAGAGCAGAGGCGTTTAATTAGAAATTTGATAGAAATTATACTGGGTTGATATAATTTCCATTTATCACATCGTGAGTGCATGTGAGTTTTAATCACCATCAGTGCAATAATGGCACACACAGTCGATTATATGCTATCTAAGCGTCTCGACAGACTCTTAGAACAGCCATGAATATGTAAATTTTTAAGTGATCTTACGTGTGTACATGCAGAATTGAGTAAAAATTGCACTCTGTCTAGGCATAAAATGTGAATTTATCGATTTTGGATTTCGTGAGCGCTTGTAGACAAGCTAAACAGCTCTTTGTTCACCGTGTGTGTTTTCCTCCTGAAAATTTTATTTGTCGACATTCTGTGGAATGAATGTTTTACCCCAGTTTGCTCTCAATTTGGAGTACTTCACGAGGAAAGGAAGACTGAAAAATGATATCTTCTATATTGTACAGTGGCTTCGGATTCTATAGAGTCAGTTGACATGATTTGTGGTTCATACAAATTTCATTGCAACTATTTGATTTGGAGTCACTGTACGTGTGTTGTTATCCTTTTTACACCGTTCCTATTCCATTTGACGCCGCTGTATGTCTTGTGAAGTGTAGTAAAGCAGTATATTTCAATTTCTCCCCAACAGATGCACGGTGGTTCTCCTGAATGCCAAGAAATTGAGTCAAACGTACCTCCTGAATACTTCACGGAAGGCCATAACGGCGGTGGCCTTTTCCCAGTGTGGACGATATGTTGCAACTGGAGAGTGTGGCATAAATCCGGCAATTAAGGTCTGGGAGTTGGATCCACTAAATGGGAACCTCGAGAATGGAGCGACCGGTGGGAATGTTGTGGCAGAATTTCTGGGTCACAAATATGCAGTCAGTTGTGTGGTGAGTTTTGCCTATATAGTTCAGAATATTGTGGAGAGAGGGAAGAGTAATCTATCACAGTTAAATGAGCACCTCTTTTATTCATCAATCTCATCATACACAGTGTTGGTAAATTAGCTTCACAACTATTTTACTATGCGGCAATTTGAAAATGTGTGAATTCCACGTGTATATAAATTCCACCTGAGGCACAAGAATTCAGTGGAGAGATGAGAAGAGTGTGTGTGCGGAGTTTGGGAAAATTGGAATGGAGAGCATAATTTGGGTGCTTTGTTGGAATTATCTATTAATTTAATCTCTCGGGTTGTTCATTACATTATGTATATTCAGAGTGAAAGAAAAGTTTAATGCCTGTCTGTCAACTAGCATATCTAAGTTATTTGTAGCACAAGAGATAAGATCTATTCAGAAGTTGGGGAATTTTACTATTTGGTCCTCTATCTAGAGTTGAGATTATTCACATAAAGTTTAGTTCGCCTAGATAAAATGCAGAAATCATTCGATATAGGCGTTTATTGGCAGTGAGCGAAAGTGATGGGAATGAAAGAACATTTTCACCACACAAATTGCTGACTAATAATTTATCAACACAGTGTTTGGAGAGTCTTTTATAGGCTACCAAATTGTTGCTATTAAAGCTTTATTGAAGACCAAAGAAAAAAAATAGGAGATGTATTTAATCCATTCGATGATAAATTTCAGGCTTTTTCGCCCACTGGAAAGTATTTGGTCTCGGTCGGATCGCAACATGATATGATTGTTAATGTGTTCGACTGGAAGCTGAATTTGAAGATTGCCTCCAATAAAGTGAGTGCCAAAGTTGTTGCAGTCGCCTTCAGTGAGGATGGCAGCTATTTCGTGACGGTGGGAAATCGACATGTGAAATTTTGGTACCTCGAGGGAAATAGGAAGGTATGAATTTTTCATCAATTCTACACGCTCTATTGATTGGCTTCATTTTTGTGGCTCTCTTTGCCATACGCACACACCACACTTTGACATGTTTAGAGGACAAAATCTTACAAGATCACATTGGCAAAAAACCACATTTTGCCATTGAGTGAGAGAAAATGTTTATGTGAATGGGCGAATTTGGATAACACTTACAATTTCATTAGCATTCGCCTTTAGCATGAGCTCGATTTGCACATGTTTGTAAACATTCGACAAAATAATAAATATATTACAGCAAGTTATAAAGAGTGTAGCACCAACTCAATATATGTGGTTGGAATGCTTTGCAGAAATTTCTGTCTGTCTATTTCCTCGTTGGAGTGTGTAAAGCAACAAAAAAAAGCGCATTGCTAACCTCATTGCTGAAATAATTTCATGATTTCTTCAAAGTGCACACAATTTTCAAGCGCTGTGCTTTCTTTCAAAAATAAAAAAGCTAAATGTACTCAAGACAAGAAACGCCCATTTGAAAGGGTACAAATTTAACATGATAAATTGTTTTTTTTTTCATTTATTCAATCAACGATTACGATTTTAATCACTGGATATTTCTTGGGTCGTTGATGGCTTAAAATGTGCAAATGGCCTGTGTGCAAGTTGTGGCGATTTTGCAGAATTACCCAGTCAAATGGTAGAAACGCCATTTGAAAGTCAATAAATGATGAAAAATGCAAATAGCTGATCAATATCTGTGAAATATCGAGGCTATGCAAGCTACACACTAGGAGGACTGTATGTGCAAAAGTAATTTGTAGTTTTTGGTCAAAAACTGTTTGGTGAATCGCTCTGGAGGAGACTTCAAGGGGTTAACAGCCAACGAGAGATGGCGAATTATCCGTAAAAGGCGATGCATGGACACTTCAAAGACATATTTTAGAGCATATTGGCTGAATTAATTGGAGATAATTAATTTTAATGGTATTTTAAGACCATTTTCTTGCATGAATTTAACTTGCTGACCGAATGAATTGAGGTTTTGTGTGCATCACAGCACAGTTTCAATAGTCATTGGACAAACAGTATGATTGTTGTTTTGCTATTGAAATCACACTCCAAAAACAGTGTCCATCAATGTTTACAGTGATCTTGACTATACGTGTGATCTTCACAAAAGATGATCACATTGTCGGCGTGATTTATGCGTTTTCCCTCCCACATTTCAAGACTTTTACACCGCCAATATTGTCTCTTGATCACCCCTTGGGCGAGAAATGGGCAATTTGCGAGGTGAAATAATATAAGTTTGGAAAGTTTTGTTGAGGAAAAATAAAATACAGACTGTATGATTTCTTTCTCAACAGCATCTCACCTTGCCAAGATTGTGAATAATAATTGCTCTTTTTCTCTCTTTCTGTGTCCTCCACAGTACAAAGAACCAATTCCGCTCATGGGACGAAGTGCCATTTTGGGTGATCTGCGGAACAATGACTTCTGCGCTGTGGCCTGTGGCAAGGGTGAAATGTTTGAGAGCACCTATGCCATCACCCGCAATGGCCAACTGGTGGAGTTCAACTCGCGGCGATTGCTGGACAAGTGGGTGGCTTGCAGGACGGCGTCGGCCAATTGTCTGGCTGTGGGCACGAAATACATTCTCGTGGGCTGCGCTGAGGCCATCGTGCGAGTCTTCAACGCCGAGACGCTGGAGTACGTGACGACGCTGCCGCGAACGCACTATTTGGGCGTGGATGTGGCTCAGGGCGTGCAACTCACGCACATGATGTCGGCGCCGGGCAGTGCAAAGTATCCCGACACCATTGCACTCGTGTACGACGAAGTGAGGTCCAAGGCGACGTGTGTGTACAACGATCACAGCCTCTACGTGTGGGATTTGAGGGATGTTCGTCGTGTGGGCAAGAGTCACTCATTTCTCTACCACTCAGCGTGCATTTGGGGTGTGGAAACCGTGCCATTCACGTATGTGAAGAACAACTTAGCTCATAATTTGCCATTAGACTGCTTCCTCACGTGTTCCTCCGATGACACGATACGCGTGTGGGATCTGGACGGATGTGAGAGCAATGAGGTGTACAGGAAGAATATCTACAGCAAGGATTTGATGAAGGTGGCCTATATTGACGACGAATTGAATTTCATCAAGGACATGGACAATCCGATATTGAACAACGAGAAGGGCTCTACGTATGATGGGAGGAATGGTGTGAGATGCATCAAGATCAGCAGTGAGAGGAATCATCTTGCCACGGGTGACAGAAGTGGGAATATTCGAATTTACAATCTAACCAATCTCAAGTTGCTCACGACAATAGAGGCGCATGACTCGGAAGTGCTGTGCCTGGAGTACACGAATGAGAGGATTGAGCGGAAACTGTTGGGCAGCGCAAGTCGTGATCGACTTATTCACATCTTCGATGTTGAACAGGGATATAAGATTCTGCAGACACTTGATGATCACAGCAGTAGCATCACTAGCATCAAATTCATCGGATGTGATATGAATTTCCAGATGATTTCGTGTGGAGCAGACAAGGCCATCATCTTCAGGACATTCCAGGGTAATCAGTTTCAACGAGGCAATCACTGCAATGGCAAGAACACTCTGTACGACATGGAGGTGGATAGCAATAGTAAGCACATCCTGACGGCATGTCAGGACAGAAATATCCGGGTTTATGGATCGCAGACGTCGAAGCATACGAAAACCTTCAAAGGATCCCACTCGGATGAGGGAAGTCTCATCAAATTGTGCCTGGATCTGAGTGGAATCTACATTGCCACTTCCTGTACAGACAAAACGCTGAGTGTGTATGATTACTACTCGAATGAGTGCATGGCGAGGATGTACGGACACAGTGAGTTGGTGACGGGGTTGAAATTCACCAATGATTGTCGACATTTGATCTCGGCGAGTGGTGATGGGTGTGTCTTCATCTGGCAAGTGCCTCATGACATGGTGGTCACGATGCAAGCTCGGTTATCGCAGCAAGCTCTTCGATCTGGCCAGCAAATCCCCATTCCGCGTCCCATATCCCAGAATGTGGACATTGTCCTCGAACAGCAGCAGAACAACGAGAAGATCGATGCGAACTTCACACCATACACGGAGGACGTGGTGATATCTGGAGGGTATAAACTCTCTGATGTCGGACAGTTGCCGATGTGGGCGAAGAGGAAGGGTGCAGAGGAGCCAAATCCCGCCAATATTCTCGCCACGAGTCCTAGTCAAGGATCTGTGGCGCCAAAGCCGCGCGGAAGATGGGCTCAGCGGAGTCAATATGAGCCTGAAATGGATCTGAGGAATATCGTGGATTCCCCACCAAATTCCAGTACGAATAACAACAATCCCACGTCGGATTACAACAGCTCGAGCAGCAAAGATGTGTACATGAACACGTACCTCAGTGAGGACAGCTCAATTGACAGTGGCCTGGAGAACCGCCGTGAGATTACCTTTCAAATGAAGGTGACGGAGAAGAACCTCAATAGTCTCAATTCGGAGTCAAATACTGAACACGATGGAGATGTTGAGGATATATCTGACGGGGAGCGCACTAGCTCTGACCATGGCGTGCTGTTTTATCCCACTGTGGCTCCGGGAACGCCGTCGGATTTTAAGGTGAATGAGACGAATGTTGAGGAGCTGCGGAAGTCAATGAGGCGAAAGACGGACAAGCAGCGATTGCAACTCAGCCAATCACCGAGCGCTCCGTCTACAGGTACAGGAACAGGAACGTCGGATGACGAGGATGAGGCCTCGACGCCCAGTGGTGACAATGCCGATCGCTCACTGGCCTCAACTCTGGGCGGAAGTATCGAGAGTATCCCTCAGGCGACCAGTTTTCTCAATGCAGCCCTCGATGGACCATCAAATAGTGCAGAGAGAGGTGGGAAGATCACTGTAACATATGTCTTTAAACGGAGTGTAATGCAGGGCTTTTTTATTGTCTTTTCAGGACGAAATAGCCTCAGTGCTATCCACAATAGTGGCGACAGCAAACCCGTTACCATATCCAAATCATTTACAAACACCAAAAAGGAAGAGCTCATGAAGATCATCAAAGATGCTAAGCAAAAACTGGAAAATGTGAGAAAAGTGTTTATTGATTAGAATATTAGGGGATGTGATCGAAATTTAATTCTATGTTCTTTTCTATTGGATTTGTCCTGCGATTGATATAAAATCTGACCGAATCTTTGTGCTGATTTGTGATTCTTTTAGGCTAATAACAGTCATAAAAATGACAGACAAAATTCAAAAGGTGTCGAGGTGAGATGTTTTCTTCCAATTTCTCAGAGCACAAAATTGCCAATAATAGAGAGTTATTTTTTTCTATATTTATAATATAATTTCTTAATCGTTATCTCCTAATGAAATTAAACTGCAATAACACCCAAGCAAGATGATGATTAGGAGTTTGAAGATGTATCCACTGTAAATACATAAAATAAGATTTCTTTAATTACCTTTCGAAATGGCAATTGCTTTATGATTTACACTCACAGCTTAATTGGCGAGAGCGAGAGAGGGAGAGTGAACTAAACTCATGAAATAACAGTGTGTGAAATTAATTTAGATTAAATAGTTATGACGTGATTTCATGTCTTGAGTGAATTTAATAATCTGTAAATCATTTTCTGGTTGCATCTTCTTTCAGGTCGGTTACCGTCGCACGAATCTGAGGGCTAGTCAAAGTATATCCGATCTTAGTCAGGTATCAAAGTCAAATTTGGACACAGGCTCGCGTCTCACCCGCCCAATGCGTACAGGTACTGAAAACATTACATTTCCTCACAGTTTTATCACTCTATCACTAGCAATTTAGCGAATTTGGTGTTTTTGTTTTGTCACACCTGAAATCACAATGTTATGAGAAAGAAGATATAGAAGAGAAAGACTAATTTGGTTGCTTTTGGAGAGGCGAGAAAAATGAAAAATAATGAAGATTTAGTAAAGCACTCAATTGCGATGGATAATAATTGGAATTAGAGAAGCTGCGCCATGAATAAATTCCTTGTGGTGACAGAGAACAAAGTAAATCTTGCGCCGATCGCTATTATTTTGAATTCTTTCTGCAAACAGAATCGCAATTGGGTGAAGTAATGTTGTAGTTGAAGACTAAATCACACATTAAATTGAGAAAGAAATAGAGAGAGAGAAAAGCAAAAGGAAGTTGATATAATTGCTATTTAAGATTTTATTCTTTCTTTCTTTTTCTTCTGTGCTGCTCATGGTTTAATTGCGATAACAATATAATGATTATCATATAAAAACACTCACGCTAACCCTCAGGAGAAGTAACTAACACCACTAATAGTGCAAATGCATATCAGAGCAGTAATTTCTTCAATTGTGCCGCACCAAAGGCTGTGCTTGCGCAAAATTGCAATATAGTGCGTCAGGTGCAGCGGGATTTGCCACCGTATCCATGCCAGATTGCGTGGACGGACAGTGAGAGGCCTAAAGTGCTGGAATTGCCGCAGAAGGTGGGCAGCAGTGGGTCGAGTGGTAGGAGTTGTGCGATGCTGAGTGTGGGCAAGAGTGCAGGTATATTGAAGAGCAACAAATCGTGCCCCGTTTCCCCGGTGAATGAGGAGCTAGAATGGGCGGGTGGGAGTAAGAGTGTGGCGTTCAGGGAGCAGCGGGGCGCTTCGGTGTGCAGTGAGGATGCCAAGATCATCTTTGACATGATTAACAGTGACACGAGGAGGATGATTGATGAGATTCAGGAGGAATATGGCCAAGTGACCAAGTGTACGGCGAAGAAGGAGAAGAATGAACATGGATTTCTCTCGGAGGACGACGGCAGCTTCAGTTCGGACTCCCTGGAGGATTGCAGTCTCAATGATGTGAGTGAAAATGCCAAGCGGAGGAGGAAGAAAACTGTCTGTGCCAAACACACCAGAAAGCCACCAACGAGATCCGTTTCGGATTACTTCATCTACGATCAGTACGATAACTTCCGTCAGGTGTTCAAGGATGAGGATCCTAATCAATTTTTAGAGACTCAGAGACACTCCAGTGCCAGTTTTTTCCTAGGACAGCAATATCCGGAGAGGAAGAGTCAGGAGAGCATAATCTCTGATGAGACAAGCGTGGGGATCAGCTATTGCAATAGCATGGAGAGCATTCTGTCTGATGACTCGGAGTGCAAGAGTGCGCCTCTCGAGGTGCTGTTCAATCGGTCGAAGACACGCCATCAGCACAATCTCTCCGCTGGTCACGATGTGGACGCCACGTCCAAGTCATACGGTTCTAGTCCTAATGCCACAACTGGATTTGACTACTTTATGCAGCAACATCGATTGGATATTTTTCCCGAGGAGGAGGACTTTGATATTCCCCGCATGTCATCGTCTTTCAGTGTTCCTCACTTTGCTTCCAATCCTTTTGGACAGCACGAGGAGTTGGATTTCATTCCGTCGATGCACTCCAAAGTGGCTCAGTACAATATGGTTGTGAATAAGAGCTTGAGCAAGGAGTTTGCCCATGAGAGGCAGCAAAACAACTCCAATCCACTCTTTGGTTGTGATGGAAGCGAGTTGTTTGTCCGGAAACCCATTCCGCCGCCCAGAAAGTGTTGGGAGGAATCTCTGGGTGTTGTGAAGAAATCGTGCAGCTTTGAAATTGACATGGGCGATTGTCGGAGGACAGAGAAGAGTTTCAGGAAGTTCGAGGCGAATTTGCAGAAGTTCGAGAGGGATCGTCATATGTTTGGTGATCCGTTGCAGATGGATTATGTGCCACACAAGCCTCCAGTTGCCAATCGCCGATCGACTAGCATGAAGGCGAGAGGGAAGGCCAAGCCGAGGGAGAAGTTCAACACAATTGGCCAGGTGGCTTTTGAGAGGAAGCGCGAGAAGGCCGAAGCGCCCCTCGAGGAGGAGAAGACCTTCGATATGTTCTTCTCAGAAGCTCCAGCTGCTGATGACGATAACATGGATAGTTTGGAGTTGGAGGCCAATTCGAGTAAGATTTTTAAGGAGAATTCCGTGGATTCTCTTGATGATATTCTGGATGCGGCTGCTGATAAGCCACGCCACATAGACTTTCGCAATAGCGCCCAATATGCCAAATTTCGTGACATCGAGAAGAAGATTGATGTGATCAACAAGCTGGTGGAGTTGGAGGAGCAGAAGCTCGAGCAGGAGCGCATGGCCAAGGAGGAGAGGCTGAAGCCGTTCTCGTGTGATCGTCGCCAGAAGGGTTATGTGAAGAGTCTCACGATGAACTTCGACAAGCTGGCGCAGAGAGCGGAGAATCGTGAATTCGAGAGGGATCTTCACATGAAGAGTCGCATGAGGAGAAATCATAGTTTGCCGGACGTTCTCGAGGGAGCAAAATACCAGTCATTCCAAGTGATTGACTGCGGACAGGGCAAAGAACACACCATAACACACTTTCGGTCAGGTCTGATGGCTTTCTTACGGAATTGTCGCATGCACTCAGGGAATGACTGTGATCACTTGACAGAGTGGAGCAATTTTTTATTCATTTGCAGACAATCCCAACGAATTTATGTCATTCTGTACATTTATTTTGTAAATATAGGTGGTTTTTGTGTGGAGTTTTGAGTTGATTTTTCAGGATATGAAAATGTTTATATTGAAATTTAATCCTAAATCGCTTCGTATACTAAAATCATTTATTATTTTTACCCATGAAGAGAGCTTTTGTGATGAATGTTTGTTACACTTCCTAGCAAGAAATGACAAAGTGATTTTGTATCGTTTCTTGGCAGGAATTTTCCCCATAACACACACTTTCCTCCCGAATAATTGTGTTTTACACACTCTGTGAAAAGAAATCTGTTGTGTCTTTCAGTAGATATTTATCTTCTGCAGCAATTTTGGCACTGAATTATGTTTGCTAATTTATTTCTTCAATTTTTCCAATTCTTTTAGGAGTTGCCAATAGCTTTTTGTCGCTGAATAGTGATGAATCGTCCATAAGACGTGCATGTTCGCTTAGTGATTTAAGTATGGGTAAAGGTAATTCACAATGAAAATCACTTGAGAGAACTTTTTTCCTAATGAAATCAGTTTTCGTCTTGACCAATGGGAGAGATTTTTAACTAATGAAAGTGCTTTTCTGTCTCTCAAACAAATACAGATTATAAACCGATGAGTTCCAAGCCAATTCCCAGCACCAGGACGAGTGTGCCGGCGAGCAGAATAGCGGCGAAGAGGAGTGCTGGTGGGCCAGGAGGAAAGTTGGATGTGGCTTCGGGGGGAATGGGCACGAGAAGTGTGTCAATGGGAATATTGAATCATGCGGTGAGTGTGAGAGAAAAACTTTCACGTCTCCGTTTGCGCGCAATAACTATTGTTTCCTACATTGCAGAGTGACTCTGAGCCTGAGAGCCGTGGTGGTGTGATGAAGCCCACAATTTCGTCACAGAACAAGGTCAATTTGCCGTCGAATTCGGGGCGAGGTAGTGGCAAAGGTGGTCCATTTGGCGCACCGCGACGACGTGGAATGCAGAATTCCTATAGTAGTATTAATCTGACATCAGCGGGACAGGATGACTCGAGTTCTGAGGAGGCGACAACCGCTCCGCCGCCACCCAGTGGCAAGCCGGCCGTTCCGCCGCGACCCAGAAACCTGTCGGCTGACCACAAGAGGAGCAATCTCAAGCAGAACAACCTGAATGACACGGAAGTGCCGTGCAAAGACGACAATTCGGACTGTGAGTCACACTTTGTGGTGTTCTTTAGAAATAATGCTAAATGGCAACTTTGGGTTGATGGATGAGTAGTTTTTCTTAGCGAAATTTGGACATTTATCAGCAAAACTGGTTAGAATTTGTAATAGAGTGGTCGGAATGTTAATGCGACGTTTGGTTTTATCGTCTCTGCGATGAATACATTTATGATTTGTTTATGGTTTCTTATTGTTCCTTTGCAGTGGCACAGTGTTCGCGGCTCATCAACCAACTGATGCTGACGACCAACTCTGTGGTGCAGCTGCACTCGCGATTGCGACAGACGGAGGATGCGAGCGGCAGCAATTATATGCTGCAGGAGTTGGAGAATGCTGTTGTCATGACGCAGAATATGCTAACAAAAATCACTAATCAGAAGTGAGTTGATTTTGAAATGAGATTTTGGTGGTGAAACTGACGACTTATCTGGCTTTATTTCAGGAATACTAAAGACTCTAACGCAAGTCCTTTCTCAACTGGCCAGCTAAGTCAACATATCAATCGACTGGAGAACGGGGAATATGTACAAATGAGAGAGAAATGCACTGATATGTTGAACAAGGTTCAAAATATGAATAACTCTTAGGAAGTGGCGATGGCGGAATGCTCTGGTATGTTTCCCTCACCTTTAAATCTACCAATTACCAACTATTGATGTCTTTTCAAGTTCTTCTCGATGTTGTGTGAAATTTAAAATAATATATACAACGATTTAAATATTTTGCGAGTCTTTCAAATAGCAAAAAAGAATTGACGAGATTTAAAGATAAGCAGTCAAAATATAGAGAGAGAAATTATTCTTTTAATGTGAAAGAATGACTATCGTTATTTATGTAATGAATATACACACACCCTGTAATTATGATAGAAGCAAAAAGACACTAATAGCATAATAATAAAATATTAAATTATCTGTTAGTTTTACCCTCCCATTAATTAAAATTATGAATGTTGTTTTGTTTTTATTAGCAACTTAACAAAATATGTGTTTGTCTTATTGATCGAAACTAAAGAAAAGACATTGATTTACTATTCACGTCACTAGGATAAGGATGAGGAGAGGTAGAATAGTATAAAATTTACAACATTGAGCAAAAGAGAAAAGGAAAACCTTTCTGTGGTATTGGAATTGATATAAATTTATTGTGTGAAATTTATTTCAACTTTCCCAACAGATAAAACAAACATTCGTCCATTTTTTTCTTAAATCGTAATATTACAATTTATTCTAGTTATTAATTGAGAATAATGAGAAAAGAATCCAATTTATTGAATGGTTTTTTGTATGATTAAATTTTAGCATTAGATGTTTTAAAACAATTTACTAAACACTCACAATGCTTTAAAAAAAACAATACAATAAATTCCGAATATTCCAACTTATATTTGATGATGAATGATTAAAATGAATAATTGTAGATTAAATTCAGGGATTAACCTAAAAAAATAATTAAACTGAGAATTGATAATCTTTGAATGAGAGTTTCTTCTTTTTTTTGCTACCCCGGAAAACTTGTGAAATCAGTGAATCGCATTCGGCAGAGAAGGTCGTTATCAAAGAAGTGCCGGAAACTGCAGCCCTACTTGTGTTCCCACTCCCTTTGATGTCCTTTTGTGCGAAAAGGGCGAAGGAGAGGCGGTCATTGAGGGCAATTCGGGCATATTCAATTGGTGGGATGGATAATCTATTTAGAAGCCGTGAGAACAACAAAACGAGCACGTAAAATCTCTTGCAAATTACCTATAAGTAAACATCGGTAATCCATGTAATCTGCTTAATCTCGCAAATTATTTCCTTCGGATGCCCACAAAGCACTCAATTGGCAACAATGGCATCCAGAGAGCGTCCGTGAAAACCACAAACATCTCACTGTCCATTTCTCCCTCTCGCTGTGCTCTTTCTACGGAGAGGTTTGGCCGATTGCAACATTCCCAATGCGCCTTCGCAAGAGTTCAAAGTGATTTGTGAACTGATTTGGAGGGTATTAGCAGGAAAATCTTCTTTTCAGTCTCTCTCTCGCATCCTTCTTTGGGCATCGAGCAAAAAAGCACAAGTCTGCCTCGCACAGATTAAACGTGTTAATTTCTTTATTGGTGTCTATTGCAATTCACAGGCGACACGCCATGAATGCCAATCAGTTTAGATTGGCCGGATTTAACAGCTGTTCACTGGATTTTGCGATACTCTTGACTAAAGAGTTTTCATTTCGGATTTGTGTGCAATCCGCTTAATAAAATATTAAGAAATATATCCACACTTTGAGGATTTTAAAAAGGCGAATGGATATCATGAATAAATTTATTTTAATATACATTTTATTCTGTAGTGTGACAGCTTTGTAAGGAAGGACAACAATAGTATAAATAACTAAAGTGTCTCGTAAAAATGATTTACTCCTCATAGTCTATCAAATAGCAACGATCCCTAGTCATAAATTCAACATTTCTAATTCATATTATCCAGTGTGTAAACATTTGTGCCCAGAGAATCGACGGGAGGGGCGGAAAAAGTGTGTTTGAGGCGCTAAAAGTTTGTCTCACGCGTGTTGGCAAAAGAGTCAACATTCGGAAGTTGCCAATTATGAGGGAGAAAACCACCACGACAATATTTCCGCCTCACGCGTGGGAGGGAAAGTCGCTCGTGTCCGTTTATGACGGCAATTATTGCGATATTATTCATGTTTGGGATGAATTTATGAAGTTGAGTTAAAACAACACCGCCACGTGTCCCGGCGAAACTCTCTGGACATTGTGCTAATTACATCGCAGAGGGGGTCGAATCGCAGGGTGAAAATGACAGGGATTCACACTGTGTTGTGGCGGGAGGGAAGGCCATTGATGGAATGATTGGAGAGCGCAAAGTTCAAGACTGGACATGAATGGCGGTGGAAATCTCTTTGGGGGCATCAAATCAAATAGAGCATCAGAGAGGAGATTGAATGAATTTGCACGGCAGCGGCATGACAAAAGCCATCCGGAGGCTCTCACTAATGGAACGACGATGAACAGCCACTCTTGTTTGCGCTTCTCCTCTGGAGAAACGGATTTTCAAGTGGCGCAAAACCCTATCGAGTCTCGAGGGATGTGCGGCCAGAGTGTGAATCTCGGCAAGTGCTCAAGGGACTCCGCACAAAAGCCAAGGGGTGACTCTCGGTCTGTCTTTCAATTTCGCCCAACCCCGGCCATTATTTAGAGATTCACCCGGAGAGTGTGACATGAGCTGTCACACACACCTCATTCACACCCACCCGCAGAATGATAAAGGCTTAATCTATCGGGCGGCGATTTGATGATGTGAGCGCCTCTCTTTGAGGGCATTTGGCGTGGCTGGCGATAAGGATTTCATCTCATGATGAATTTCTGCCCATAAGTGCACCCTTGTTTCTTGAAAAATCAATTTCCCTCTCCTGGTTCTCCCTGCCAAACACCTCAAGGCTGTCGCACGGAAATTCCCATGGAAATTGCATGAAGATTCTCTCTCTTTCATATTCCGAAGTGCATATGCTTGCAAATATGTGGAATTGATATTGCATCGCTCGAATGGAGCGCGCATGTTTGGATGGAGGGAAGCCGTGGGCAAAAAAGGCGGTATTTATTGGCCTGAAAGGAGGCCCTCGAGAGGCACAAGTTGACTGAAAAGCTTAGCCACCGAAAATTCCTACGGGGTTTGAGGGAGAGAGAGAGAGAGATCAATTATCCTGAGCAAATATTTATAAATGTTAACTATTTTCTCCCAAAAGACCCCGAGACCAACAAACTGTGGGGTGAGTCTTGTGGATTTTGCGCCTCGAAGTTTGGGAACGCGCGAGGGAGGCAATTTTCCCGGGGGGAGAGAAAAAAATCCCCGCCACTTGAGCCATATTTTGCCGAGGATGTGAAGTGGATTTTAAGTATGCAGAAATTATACATTCATTTGCGAATTGAGTGCATGCTGGGGATTCTAGTGTGTGTTGCGCAATGATAAATTCATAATTCATTTTAATATCTTCCACTCGGGATTTCCATCTCATTCGGAGTTCCTCTCGCATTCTGCACACCGTCTCTATTCACTCTCCCAGGCTCACCTGCCATCGCCAGCGTGTCGTCCTAATATAGCATGCATGAGCTGGGGAAACTGTAGACAATCCGATTTGTCTACACGTGGGGAGTGGAATATAGAGTTTATTAATTAAACTCTTCAAGGGGCTTTAAAAAATAATATCGTTGAAATTTCATTAAGGTAAAATGTTTACTCTTGACGTCCCAATCGACAATACGCGGAGTCAAATTGAATCAACTTCGAGAATGCCACTCGTGGAAAAAATATGAAATATTTTCTATCCAGCATTCGAGGGGCTGCATAAATTCCAATAAAATGCTGCAGAGAAACGACCAGCAAAAAGGGTTCCATGCGCACAAAGTGTTTTACTTCTTCATCTCGAGGACATGTAAGAACACAATGACATGTAATCAAATTGCAAAAATACCTCCTCGACGCATTAATTGTTGACGGGAAGTGGTTGTGGATTAGGGTGTTTACTCACTTCTTTAACTATCCCACTAAGTACATTTTCGGGAATGTGGTGTGTTTATTTTGCCATTTCAATCCACACGCGAGTTGCGAAGGAAATTGTAATCCACCCTATGCATTCAAATAAATTTCTGGTTGATTTAAGTCCACAATCCGCAAGCTGTCACCCCGAATTCACGTCCGCTCTCTGCCTCCCCATCATTATTCATCTCCCTCTCAATCGGAATAATTGCGTTTTTGGGTGTTTGTTGTCACACAGAGAGTGATAAACGCATGGAGAACAGCATTAGGATGTAAACGCTCGTCTCGATCACATCATTTTCTCGACACCCTCAATTTTCCGTCCATATTTGCCGTGTCCATGAAGCCGGAAAAATGCAGAGACTTTTCTGTAGAGGTGAGCAAATGAGTGTCATCAATTCCAGTAAAATATTTTTCCTTACACAAAACTTACGCAGAAGAGATGAAGAAAAACCATGGAAAACCAAACTAAACTTAGGACATTTATTAATATCAGAACAATTCGATTCCTTGTTCAAAAGTTTATCGCAATGCTAATTTTAGTATCTTTTTGTGTTGAAGAGCTCAGAAAATTTTTACATAACTCAAAATTTAAATTTTTGTTGATTCTTATGTTATTATTGAAGTAAACAAGTTGAGAATACCATAAAAGACTTGCTCATTAATCTAATGAGCTCTAGCTGTGCGTGCGGTCTCTTTAATATTTTCATATTTCACGTTAACATTTAATTAAAAGATCAAATACCCGCTGGATGAGAGGTTCTTTTTCATGCCACTCTCCTTTATCCCTCCGGAAAAAAGCCTGTGACTTTATTTAGTGTTTTTCCTACTCATCATTATCGCAATTTCATCAGGACATTTCTCACCACTTGGCGCCATCTGGCAAGAGATCTCTTCTGCCGCTTCGAACATCAAAGGACGCCAGTTGATTGGAGTGCGAGTGCAAAATATGTGTGAATTAATTTAAGGATGGGAAAGGCAAAGAGAGAGTGTCTCTTGAAGATGCAAATTTAAACATCACCAATTTTTCGAGAATGATTCCCAAGAGAGGGGCGACAAAAATGTGAAAAGCTCTCGCATATTTTCTTTCCTTTTGTGTCCATGAGAACCATCCACTCGACAACAAAGCGAGTGTTTGGAAGGTACTTCTCTCGACGTTGTCTGTACGTTTTTCCATATACGGGGAATGATTTTTAATAATTCCAGGGAAAACAGAGAAATTCGCATCCCCGAGGGATGATTTTCATGGTTTATCACATGTGGAACTTATCCCTCTACTAATGCCATTCTTTGCAACAATTTTATTGCGATGATGAGCGACATAATTTCCCCTGATGGATTTCCACAGACTGGGAAAATCCAATCAAGTGCCTCTCGACCCCCAAAGTCAAACACCGCCCTCCAATCAGCGGGTAGGTAGGCGTGTCGTACTATTTCCACCCCTGAAACAAGGGTATTTTCCGCAGCTCGTGGAAAATCGCTGTGAAAAGCTGCCGCTTTGTCACCATTGAAAGCTCCAACGCGAAGAAATAACTTCTCTTACGCTGTGCGCCCTTCTCGTGTGCATTTGTGTGTGTGTGTGTGTGTGTTTATTCTCAAGGCTCCACCACTCAACCCCATTTGCAGAAAGACAATGTAGAAGCACATAAGAGGATTCTAGAGCCGGTTGAACAGGGAAAAGTTGCGTGGAAAGTACGGGCAAATAATAGGGCGGAGGAAGAAAAAAGGCCTCGTAAATTGCGATCTCACAGCACGTGTCTAGTTTATTTTGTACTGAAATGCACATGCAAACATTTTAATCGGCGACATCAGATAATCACTGTGTGAGCCTCCCTTCCTCAGTTTGGACGAATAAATTAAATGTGTGTTTCCCAGCGGACAGAAAGTTTTCATGCGCAAATTGCCAGAGAACACACCTGACCAGCAAATGGGTTTTTCACTCTTTCTCTCTCTCTCTCTTGCTTAGATGGAAATTTATTTACCGCCACACGCGTGCAACAAGATCGATTGCTCGTCCACCCTTGCCACCCACTCTATGGGCAAACGAAAAAGCCTATCCGGCGCAACCGGCATAAATTACACTTGAGCCATTTGTCTTGCCTTGATATCTTCATCAACACTTCGTGACCGACCGCTTTTGCGGTTTTATTGAATCTAATTCTGCGCCGGGCATTTGTTCACTTTGCACAGCAGCAGAAAACATTTGTAAGAAGTGTTGCAAAATTCACATCAGGGGCGGAATTGATTTATGAACATCGCTCGGAAGTCAACGAGAGAATGATTTAGTGTGTTTGCAGTGTGAAATCATGTATGACGTTAGGTTATCAATATCTCACATTGCTATTATTCGAACGGCTTAAGATCCGAATTGGCATGTGTTTGCCTTGAGAAGAACTCCCACAGGAAACAATGCGATGCGCTCGGTGTGACGGAAGTAATGAGGATCAAGTTCGGTTCACTGGAATTGAACTCTTCACGCATACAAACTCTGCAAGAGAATCTAATTCACACCTCGCATGACAATAGTTTCCCTCCGTCGCTTTATGAATATGATTCACATAATTTGTTCATAGCATTGAGAGCAGAAAAGCACCGCCCGAGCAGGAAAAAAGGGATAATAAATCAGGTATAGAGATGAAATATCCCATCTTTCCGAATCAAACTCAAGTGGCTTTCTCATTTCGCCAAAAAGAGATGAAAGGAATAAATTGACGGAGATGGTAAACATCAGTGAAGATCTCCAATTTTCCAGATCACAGAGCATCGTCAATGATGTCGGGAGTTGTCTATGATGAGTGAATCTGACATAAATTTGTAGTTTCCTCTCCACCCCATCCAAATCCACTGTGATATCCAATTATTGTGTTTGGCCTTAATCCATCACATCCTTCAGAGCCTCCAGATTTTGGATTTGCTACTCTGTCTCGCTCACTCAATCGCCAAGCGATGAGATGAAGGGCCCTCCAAGCAAATAGCAATTCATGGAGCACCGAGTTCCTTCTCTGCACTCTCCATCCACGCCAAGTAACATGCTAACATCGCTGCACATTTCTATGCGACTGCCTATGGCCCTCGAGTGTAATTTACGGTCGTTATCTAAATGAAAATTTAGCACCAAACGCTTTCGTTCATCAATTTTCTTCTCTTCAATAAACCATATACATCTTATAGGCTTCAATATTCACAATTACATATGAGTTTTTCCTCTTAATAAGCTAATTTCTAGCATAAAAAAGTCAAGGAAATGTATAGGATAAATAGAATTTGACTTCAATTCTTATTATGTAAATTCGTACTTCTGGTAAAGCTAAAATCTGTGGCTAAGAAGCGATAAATTGTAACTAGAGAACCACTAGACTTACCCTCTTCATCGACGTGTACTCAAGTGCAGGAAATTCCCAGAACATGTTCCATAAGCCCAGCAATAAGCCGAAGGGGAAGAAGAGTGTCACCCACACAATTTGTCACACTCTCGATTGAAACAATTAACCCCAATTTATTAGAGCTGTAAAAAAGTTACACGCAAGAGAGCATTTTAGTTCACCCTCGGTGGTGTTTAATAAGCGAAAGAATTATCACTGAAAACAGACACACTCGAGAGGGTGGATTTAGTGAGTGTCCCCGTGAAGGATTGAGAAGTAGGGCACAGCACAATTCTCCAGGTATGCAAGAAAAGTGTACGAAACAGGATCATTTCGGCTGAATTCTCAAACTAGCTTCTAATTAAGTACAATTTACCGTCCACCCGCGGCGAGACGAAAGGCTGTGGGCAAAGAAAAGGAGTTTCTTGAGGAGTTTGCACACTTTGAGGCCTAATCGCTTAATTTGCGCTAAGCCCATCCATTTGGTTCACATCTCCTTTTCGGGTTAATGGTTCCATTGAACATGTTTAGTACTCAGTGATCTTAATCTTGACAAAGGAAGAGATAATCCTGCAAAATAGTTCCCTTTTGTTCACTTACACCCCGACATTTTCACCCTCAAGTGTCTCTCACATGGCAAATTCCTCCTTCGCCAATGAATGCAGAGATATTGAGGGTGGGATTTGATAGCGCGCGCAGGTGTGATTTTCCACTCATCGTCTTGCATGAATTATTTTCACATTGGCACAATACCACGAGGAATTTAATAATTTCTGGATCAACACCTCCGCAGAAAATTTGGGGAAAATGCGACGATTGTTCAGGGTCGGCAATCCCAGGAGAGGAAATCCCATCTTTTCAGAAACATCATTCACTCACCCTCGCCGACTCTATTGAATAATCTCTGAATGTGGATTAAAGTTCCACTTCCGTGACCATGGGAGCCCGAAGGGACGCAATGCTGCAAGACGAAGGAAGTTGACTGAATAGATTGTTGAGGGTATATTTGCTAATTTACCTCCGGGAGAACGTGGAATATGCTATTGTAGTGACTTTATTGTTGAAATTCTTCACAGATGATGACACGATATAAGAATCATTTATCGAACAATAAAATTCCTTATCGATGGATTTTTCAGCACGAGTGTGTGATCGCTTGAGTCACACAATCTGCCCACAAAGCTACTATCTACAAACATATTTACACACTCAATCGGTTAACCTGCAGAGAGTCAATTACCTAGAGATTCCACGGCGCAAGCCAGTCCCGGTTTATTGCACAATTCACTTTGCATCACGCGCTAATTGTTGGCCAGGCAGTTCTTGAGGCCCGCTTGCTGGTGCAGATTGTAGTACTTGTGTCAAAAGACCTTCGCAATGAAAGGGGCATCGAGGGCCGGAGCGCCCGCGGACAGCATAAATGTACTTCCAGGATAGCTCAGAGTCGATTGGTGGTGCAAACTGGCCGCCGATGTGGCTGGCAGGGACCAATTGCTGGCCGTGCCGGAGCCACTGTCGCTAGATTGCCTCTCTGCACGCTCGATTCGTCCATCCGATCCGGGCTCGTGCAGCTTCCGCATGTGCTTCTTGAGATCGAAGTTGCGACAGAAGCCCTTGGCGCAGATCTTGCAAGTGAAGGGCTTCTTGTCGTTGTGGGTGTGCATGTGGAAGGTGAGGTTGTAGATCTGGTGGAAGGCCTTGTTGCAGATAGTGCATTTGTACGCCTTATCGCCACTGTGGGTGAGCTTGTGGTTCTTGTAGTTGCCCTTCTGGTGGAAACCCTTGCCGCAGTACTCGCACACGAAGGGCTTGTACCCAGCATGAATGCGCGTGTGGGTGTTCAGGGTGGAGGAGCGATTGAAGGCCTTGCCGCACGTGTGACACTTGTGAGGCTTCTCCGACGTGTGGATGATTTTGTGGCGACACAGCGTTGATGCCTGCCAATGAGATTACCTCTGTATTATATAATTCACTTGAGATGTTTCCCGCCTACCTGTCGAAATCCCTTTCCGCAGATCTTGCAGACGAACGGCCTGGCTCCCGTGTGCACTGGCATATGTCTGGTGAGATTGTACATTGCATTGAAAACCTTCCCGCACTCTTGGCATGAGAATGTCTTCTGTTTTCCCGCCGCTGCACTGTCGCCATTACCACCGCCGCACGCCGACCCAGACTCTTTGTCCCTGCCCAAGTTGGGTCCGTGCTTAGCATGACCCGTCGTGGCGTGATGAGACTTCTCCGCTCCAAGAGGAGCGCGCCTCATGGAGTGACTAGTTGCCACGAAGGGGTTCACCGTTGAACCGGCCAAGGTGCTCAGAGACTGGAAACTCCCGTCGGCAGTGGCGTTCGAGAGCAGGCCAGAGTGTTGCGTCAGGGCGGCGTACTGGGCCGCCGCGGCGGCACACATGAGTTGGTTGGGGTAGTAAAGCAAGGGATATTGGTTCAGCAACTCTTGGTGGCGCGAACTCACGAGTTGATGAACGGGCACGTACTTCTTGAAGGCCGAATCATAGGCAGGTCCGTTGCTTTCGTTGTCGCTGCCCTCGGTCGAGTCCACCGTGAGCGGCGGCGAGGGTTTCCGTGTTGTGCCCTTGTCGGGCTCCATGATCTTCGCAATGGAGAACTTGAGGGAGCATCCTGGGGATCTCTGGGTTGGCTTCAAGTCACACGCCGAGGCGGACTCCATTCGAGGGCTCTTGAGAATTGTCGGCGTTGCTGGTGGGCTGCACGGGTACATTCCTCGCGGGCTCTAGAACGACAAGAGACCAATAAAGCCCACATGAAAAACGTCCCTTTTCCGTTACGGCACGAATGAGTAAAAAAAAAAGAGAATAGAATGATTTGTGGTCCAAAATGAGACATTGGGAAAACAAACAACGAATGGATTCCCAGTAAAGGACGGGAATAATTGATCTGAAATGCATAATGGAAGGCATTGGAGTGTGAATGGGTGTGTGGAATGTTGATTTAGCCTCTCAGCTATGATCCTTAGTTTAAATAAAAGTATCACCCGCCCATTTCACCACAAAAGGTAGCAAGTAGAGCTATTCTTGTAGCCTTTGGGAAGTCCTATATCGGCGGTTTTTTTAGGGCGGTGGGCCGGAGTGGTGTTTGAAAAGGAATAAATCAGCATATTCTGGCGCACCACGTAAGATTGATTAGTGAACAAAGACATCAAATACGAGACGAAATCCTCTATGGGATGGATTTTGCCGCCACAATCGCGTATGGAAATCACGCTATTTCACAGTCAGAATCACTCAAATTGGGTTCAGCCCCCAAAATTCCACGTCAAACGACAAGAAATAATTAAAACCGTCGATTGCACAAAGCCTTTTTTCCTACCACTGGGCTTCTCTACACTTCTTTTGCATATTCATGAGATAAGAACGACAGAGGAAAAAGTCCGTTGACTTACAAAGTACACCATATTCTTGGGAAATTCCACTAATATCGCACTAAACTGAGAGGAGATGCACTGGTGGAGTTGGAGATACAGTGTGTTCGATAGTTGCGAAGGAACTGCAAACTACTTTCATTGAGGGAAAGATTAGGGCCTCGCTCGGAGCATATTGTTGCTCTGTGTGAGGCTACATTTCGGGAAACGCCCCTCAGAGAGACTCTTGAATTTCGAGGAGGGTAGCAAAGGAAACCCCCTTCGGCGCGAGGGCTCAAAGTGGCACGAAAGAGCTCAAGGTTTACTTCAGCCAAAGTGATTTTTCCGCAGGAGCGCAAAAGTAGTTAATGTCACGTCTCTATCAGTCCACGAAATCACGACGGTATAATTTATCGATAGACAGAGTGTCTCTGGGGGCTGTAAAAGAAAGTGATCTCAATATGATGATAAATCACGCAAATTCCCTATTGTGAGCCAGAATTGAAAATCCTCTCAAGAATCTTCAGTCATCAACATATTTTTTTTTACTCAGAACAAGAAACTCGCCAAAAACACTTCTCTAATCGAAATTCAGAGCCATTAAGAGCTAAAATATCCACTCTAAAGTACCACGAAGGCGAAAGGGTGGAGAATTGATGAAAAAGCGATCAACCGGATAAGGACAATGAAGACTTGCGGAGTTTCTCCCGCGCCGTTGAGAGTGTTCGTGACCGGAAATAAGAAATTGATGAAGTCATTTGAGCTCCCAGCGACTCAATCAAGCGCCGTGTGCTCAAACCACGCTCAATTGAGTCGATTGGCGGTAGCAGTCTATTATTTTATTGGCAATTTCCCAGCACTTTGCCGTGTGAGAATACAAGAAAATCAGCAACAATTGCACGAGACATCTGCCCGAAGGGTGGCGTGGACAACACCTTCTCACCCGTCACAACTCATCATGGGATCTTCCCCTTTGACTCATGTTGTTAGGGGTTGTTTCCCGGGAAAAACTCACTCCCTCTGGGCGAACCAATTTGATCGGATGCCAGAGTTTTCCCTCAGAAGTGTTGCGAATGATTGGAAGAAGGGAGATTATTGAGAGGAAAGCGATATGAAGATGATACTTCATCAATTAATTCGGATATTTGCTATAGATTAACAATATACAAGTGTTTTCTTCACAGAGGAATATAGCTCAAAAATTCTAAATATATAAAATGCTTAATAAAGAATTGCAATTAAATAAATCGTTAATTGAAAAGCAAAGTTAAATTCATTTGTGTTGATATTTTGATGAGTTTTACATAAAAAGATATTTTACCCTTAAAATCCTAATAATATTCGTATATTAACTTATTTGTCAGTATATTTTCACCCTTAAGATTTTCCTAGGCATTGAAAATCATTACGCTTACATTGCGAATAAAATTGTCCACCCTCTTGAAGGTATATTCTCATTAAACATAAATCGTTTCTAGAAATATGCCATCTGCAATTATTACCCTCGCATTCTCCCACAATAATAATAATTGTCGGCTTCACAGAGACGCGATATCAAAGGAGAAAAATTGTCAATTGGTAGGAAACAACTCTCGAAACCCTCACCCAAAACACCATTGATCATCCGGCAATGAAAGATTAATAAGCGAGGAGACCACAAAGCCTATATATTCCCCACTTCCTAATATCAGCATGCACAGCAGTGCCTGGGAAGCATTTCATGTCTTCTGCAGAGACCACAATTTACTTAATCCTCCAGGGCGAATTCTCTGAGTGGGTGGGAAATGTGACAAATTGCTGACATGCCAATTGATGACACACTGAGTGATTTTGGTGCGATGCTGGCAGTCAATGGAAAATTAAATGCTTTGCCCATGACACTTCGAATGGCAACATAAAGTGCGTCGCGTGAGAAGTCGATGGACAATTGGATTTTTCTGCGACGGAATAATTGGAGCATGAAATTTCCATTTGATTACTCTGCGGTTGGCGAAGGGCGTGTGTGTGGTGTGTTAAATCCCCGATGCCAAGAAAAAGGGGTGTTATTTCACTTGAGCGCCCCAGAATTCCATAATCTCGCGATGTGTAACAATTATGGTGACGCTTTTCGTGTCACCAGCAAACATTTTGAGGGTGGCACAAATCCCCCTTGAGGACGCGTGCTCTGGATAAGATTATAAATATTTTTCAATTATTCGATCTCCATTGTTATACCACACTTTTAAATACTCAACACGCCATCGGTAGTTGATAAGTCGATGCTTCTTAGTGGGAAGCGTGTGCGGCGTTTGATGGGAAATATATCAAAAATTTCCATTTGCAGTAAATCATATTTCGTGTGCACGTAAAATTGCAATAAACAGGCAAAAATCGCTATTCTTTGAAGCCAAAGTATTGCATGAAAATATAATAGGTAGACAAATACAAAGAGGACTCTCTCTCTTTTTCTCTTCGCCCCTCGAAAGCAGAAGCTGAAGACATGCCAAATAGTCTAAATGGTCGAGGATCAAAGGTTTAAGAGATTACCGCAGAGGATTAGGCATGTTTTGGGTGGATACAATTCACTTTGGTCCGTCTTCTGTCCCAATAAATTACCGCTCTCTGTTATGATGTTCCATTTCTTAACATTTCTCACAAGTATAAACGGATTTTCTGCCCACATCGATTCACTTTATACTCCCATTTTTTGCCACTGTGTGGCCTCTTCCTCCCCAGCTGACATGCGAGGTGAATTTCACTGAATTGCCTTATTATGAGTTCATGCGACCAAACAGCACAGCAAATACAACAATGCGACGGACATTGAAGATTACTCCACTGAAGATCCTCAGCGGGATCAAAAGCAAATAGAAATCAAAGGTAAAACTTATTCATACCATATACTTTCAGGAAGACTTTCTCCGCATTTCAATAAAGGAATAGGAAAATCTGCAAGACGAGAGGAACTCGACTCGACCAATGTTGGTAATTACATGATGAAGAAATCTTACTGAGTAAAAAATTGCATTGTTTGAACTCCTTCTGCTTCTTGTCCACATCAATTATAGTGCTTCTTGCACGGGGTTGAAAAATTCAGCTGTCGCGGCTCAGATTGTCGTTCAACTCTCCAATTCGCATTGTGATTGCGAGACAAGAAGCGCGCCCTCCCCTGAGATTCCTTCTTCGGGGGAATGGAAGTCCGGATAAAAAATCCCAGGTAAAATTGCACAGGAGTGTCAAGATTACGATCCCGAGCGAGCAATTGCCAACTGCATGAATATACAGGAAGTGTGTGTTTTTAAATTGCAAATAGGACGCGTGTTCAATTTCCTCTCCACCTCCCTTTGCGTCTCAACGTAACGGTGGCGGTTTTTCTTTCACTCCATATCAATTGTGCTCGTTCGGAAGCATTCATTTCAGTCGTTTTGGCTCGTGCCAAATCACTTTTTTTTTAATTGTGATCACACACAATTAATGTCAATGTCTTGGCTGTGCGTTCTTCAGCCAGAAGAAGCCTCTTGAACTTGAGGGAGTTCAAGGAGACGGATTTCTCCTTCCTTATGCATAGCACGGAAGAGATTCAGCGAAATGCGTTATTGAATTGTTCTTATTGTTTCTTATATTTCAATGTGTGATTTAAGCATAGCACTCTTGGTTTGTAAGATAAGTGTCTCAGACATTTTCTTTGATTTTCCTATATTCTACCCCAAATAAACCATTTCCAACTCAAAATTCTGTTGAAAATGCAAATCAAAATGTGGTCGAAAAACTTTTTATTGAAAAACTTCTCCTAACATGCTTAGAATTAAACAAAATGGATTTTAAAATTTAAATACCTAATCAGCAAAGTAAAACTCTCAAAACTGATTATGTGGAAATAAACTGAGGATAGTTTTGCTGCTGCTTTAATTAAGAGGTGAGCGATTAACATGAGAAAATAGATTATTTTGTAAATGTGATGCCAATATGGTCAATCACTTTTGAAGATATTTAATTAATGAATATCAAATAGAGTAAGTGAAAAGTGACTGTTTTGATTGAAAGTGTCGCATTTGGTGCCTTTTCTCCGGGGCGGCCACGCTCCCTCTGTTTCCGGTGTCGAATAGGAGAAAAGTTGGTCATTTGGGATAAAAAGTCGAAATTGGGCGTGCTTCATGGGCTCATGTTACATCCATTTTCAATGTGTAACAATCAAAAGAGGAGGGTTTGGCCCTCAATCTGTGTGTTTTCCATTTTATAACAGTCTCACCCCAAGTCTCACCCATGAATTTTCGATACAAAATGCTTCACATATCGAGCCTTCGATGGGCGAGAGAGGGAAAATTGGGCGATAAGATTCTACATGGTGTATTATTGTGCCTTGAATGTTATATAAAGAGTCGTGATGGGTTATTATTTGGAAAATCACAGCTGTCCCTCGAGAGGATAAACTGTGAGGCTCACCCTCTCGTCCATGGCGTTGTACCTTTTGATTCAGACGCGCCAGAACTCGATGGGAAAAATGCACATACAGTGTATAAATCAATTTGGCTGCCATGAACAATGAGTGTTTTTTTCGGTGGGGTAAAAAGAACAAATCAGTGTTGTTGCTCTTGTTTTGTACAACATATGAAAATAACGAGCATCAGAAGGAATGGAGTTGAAATTCATGTGATAAACCCAGCAGACAATGGTTGTTCGTTTCGCCAACATGATATTTGCCACCATAGCGGAAACTTTTCAATGTGCTTCTCACGCGAAAAGCACTCTCTCTCTGGCAGACTTTTTGGCCAATTTCCACAGCTTGAGGAAATTGCTTTTGCATACGAAATGAGCATTTTCCTGGGTATGTTTATCCTTCACAGTTGCATTTCCCAATTTTGCAATGATTTTATTTGTGTACATCAACATTTTAAATTCAATTTGAGAATAAATAGCAAAACAATTTGTGAATTTAATGCCAAATCTACTAAATTGAAGTCTCAAAGTGTATTTCACTTGCACGCGAGTACAATAAATTTGTTAAATAATTGTAGAATTTCTCCCGGAGAAGCTGAATTCTAAGATATCACAGCAAATTCTTGTGCAGGAAACCTTTCGAAACGACTTCTTCTCATTTCTGAAAGCCACAATTATAAAAATATCACGACACTGGCTTTAATTGCCCTCAATGCAGAAGGACAAATTGCAACTTCTGTCCCTTTTCTGGGTAAAAATCACGTTTCTCTGTCCTCAAAAATCCCCAGAATAGCCAGACTCAGTGAGTGTTCTTGAGAGAAAAATTGCCATAGGCTATTTGTCTGATGAATTTTCTGCACACACGATAGAGAAAAAGAACACTTTAGCGGTGCATTTCCACTTTCGCCATCACACAAAAGGGACGCAAATGAGAAGAGCAACTCGAGTGGTCTTTTCTTGCGACACCGTCGGAAGTGTCCTTACCTTCTTCACAGGCGGAATTCGTTGTGTTGCGCTGGAAATCCCTCGATCATTGTCACTCAGTTGGGGTTTCTTCTGATGATTTGATGATTCCAAATGAAGGCGGAAAATTTTATTCACTTTGTGATTTAAATAATCACGCAGGGTTCGTGATTCAGTTGCGTGGGATAACGCACAAATTGCACAGTCACGCGGCTCTCAAAATGAGTCTCTGGGCACAGCACATCGAGCACGAAATGACGAATTTGTGTCGCGGCGCAAAAAAGCCATCAGGACGCCAGCAAAGAAGTGGCACAATTTACAAAACGCTCAAAGGTAGTTTTGAAATCATCGCTGCGTTGCTCATCGACAACAATCTCCACTGAGATCGCGCTCGTGTGTATGTGAATAAATGCTGGGATAAATAATACATTTTCCCACCAACACTCACGCGGCATATCCTGCCACTGACATTTCGATATATTATATCCTAGTCCGCGCGCTTTGCGAAAATTTCTCCGTCGTGCCGCGCCACGTCCCGCTCACGCTAAAGCGCGCGCCATCACGGCGTCTCGCTCACGCGCTGGGCTTTCAGCTAAATTTTCACCACCGCTCAAATGGTCCACTCTTTGCTCAGTATTGTGCGCCATGTCGCAGCGCTAGAACGAGTCCACAATATCACAAAATGAGGTTTGCCATTTTGGGACCGTGGCGCACCCCACTTTCTGCCATCGCACACACTCAGTGGCCACCCTGTGCTCTTCCGCACAGACTCCGCCCAATTCACATATTTTTCAATGATTTATTGTTGCCGGCAGTTGCTATTTTTCCATGTAAATATTTACTCACTTCCCCCACTTATACTCAACATACACACACACACGCAACCATCAATTTTACTTCGTGATCAGGGCCGTTCCTCTAAGAATCCAATTGGTGTCTTTCTCCTGCGGTCTCTTCACCGTCCTCAGCCTGAACATCGCCACGCAGTGTTTCCTCTCGCTCGTCCTGTACACAGGACATTCATAGTAGTCATAATCTCTTGCTGGCTTTCCCGAAATGGCAAAAATGTGGAACACAGGCATCGGCGTGTGCACCACTTTGGCCTGCAGATCGCACAACGATGAGTGTTTCCTGTCCCAACCAGCGCCCTCGAGGACCAAACCATACGCCAACACGCCTTCCTTCACCGACTTCTTGCAGTCACGAGCGTACGTATTGAGAACACTCACGTCCAGATTCACGCTGTCCAGAGGCCAGTCTGAGTGCAGTTTCACGCCTTCTTGGCGAACAGCTGTGAGGAAACCACTTGGGTTGAAAAGACCACCAATCCAGAACAAATTCGGTCGACCCTGCAATATTGTATAGATAGAATATTATGCTAATTGCAAAAATTCTTTTAAAATATTCATTCTCAATCAACGCTCTTCAACTGAAGATTATTGCTATGTCTAATAGATGATGAGTTAACAAATGCAAATATTCGTTTTACTAGAATTAGGAAATTATTTCATTACGTTGAAATGTCGGGAAGTTATTAATAAAAACAAGAATTCATCCTCAGATTGTCGATTTTAACTATTTTTTAAATTTAAATTTGATCAAATTTTATTGTCGATATCTTTGAAGTTAATGGGATATGACAGTAATGTGAAAATGGGATTATTGTGAAAAGTTTAAATCATATAATAAATGATTTAAACTCCAGAATTTAAGTTGAAACTCTTTTAAGCTATATTGGATCCGAACTCTCTTTAAACATTTCAGTATAAAGATTGTGTGTATAATTGAGAACCACTGAAATTACTCACACTGAAGCACCATGAATGCAGAAATTTAGTCCTTTTGAGCAAATCCCCGAACCAAAAGCCGAGCTTCTCCATTGTCGGCCAACTGAATTTCTCCCAAGTTTTGGGAATCTTTCCATCGTACAACGCATCCATGGTGTCCTGCAGAGTTGCACTCATGACAATCATTCCATCAATTGCCAGCTGCAAGTCCCTCAAACTCTTCCCAATAACACTCAAGAGAAGCTGCATTGAATTAATTTCTTGCCGAAGGAAGATTGCCATTGGATCCAGAATGCCCATTTCCGCGAGTCTCTCCTCAACTTCGTGCATATCGAAGGATTTCGGGAGTTTCTGCAGTAATTCTCCCGCCATACGTGAAACTTGGGTCTCTCTAGTCTCTCCATCCTTTGATGCTGCCCCAGATCCTTTAGGCTGAACAGCCAGAGCAGTGTTGAAGACATTCTCCGCCACCATGATGTTGTAATTTATCTCAATATTCCGATGTAGACCACAAATTTCAGGTGATTCATTTTCATCCATTTTCTCAAAGTAGTCCAGATATTCTTCTTTTGTTTGGCACTTGACTACTGAGAATTCTGGACGGAGGTAAAAATTCTCATCAACAATTGAGGCTTCAAACCACATCTGGGTGAAGGCTGTCAGGAGTCTCTTGTCCATATCATCAGTGACTCTGCCTCCATAGAAAACCTCACTGATCATGTACCGAATTGCTGACCAGTTCACGAATCCCTTCCTCATTTTCATCTCCATCAAGTGATTTTGAATAAACATGCAGCTCGAGAGCCAATCTGCCGAATTGAATTCATACGGAATGTTCCATCCAATTGGTCCGTACTTTCTTCGTTCCTGGGAAATCAAACACTTGTATTTGATGCCCATCAAAACTCCAAACCTACTGAGCACTCACCTGAACAACTGTGTGAAGAAATGAGATGGTATAAATCAGTGGAACGTAGAAGTTGGAATTGGAAAAGTCCAGCATGTCTTGAGTTAAATTTCCATAAGTCATCTTCAGACCAGCTTTCAGTCCCGAAGGCGGATCGTTGGAGTACTTGATGGACCTCTGCAGAAGACTGATTGGGTATTTTTCGTTTTCAGCTGATGTTATCCATATCCTGGTGTTCTCTGGATACTTCTTCGCCTTCTCCCTCTCCGCCAACGTCAGAGACAGTTCATCCATAAAGTCCAAACTCAAGTGGGAATTCTGTATGAGAATCCATCCACCATCGCCTGACATGACATCCTCAAAGAATCTCCTAGCCAACACCTCCTGACCTTGTCCCATTGAGACAATGTGAAGCGTAGTATCTCGCTTCCTTGCCAAGTCTGTAATATCCGCAGTGGGATCGGATCCCATGGAGAGAAGGCAAATTATGGGCGACACAGCGCTGCTCTCCTCAGCAAGTTCTTTGAAATTGATGAGAATCGGCTGGAGAAATTCACTTCCCAGTGACTCAGCGATGTACTTTTGACTCTGACTGAGCACTCTATCTGGACAACAAGCCCTTATCAACAGGAGTTTATGGAACTGCCTGAGGAATAGATCCGGAATCTGGGCATTTTCTGGATTAGGCTTTGAATACCACACTTGCCAGATTTTCTCTCTCGAACCCATATCGTCAATGAGTTGGGAAAATTGATCCAGTTTTGCTAATTCGGTTATGTTCGTCCAAATGTTATCTGGAAGCCAATTGAATGGATTTTTCGGCACATTGGATGCATCAACGGCTGATCCACCTTTAATAAAGTACTCAAACTCTGAAAGACGAATTTTCCCTTGATCAACATCAATTTTAAGAGCCATGAGAAGGGCAAAAGTGTATCTGTGCTTCTCGTACAATCCTCTGCTTTGGTATCTGAAGATGTTGATTGTCATCTTTTTGATTATTGATGTGATTCGCGAGAAAACCTCTGGCGATGGCGGTGCTTGATGAAGGGACTCATCGAATTTTACAAGGAATTGTGCCAAAGATGTGCGATACATGTGATTAATTTCAGGCAAAGTGGCCATGAAAAAGTACAGAATGCTTCCTCTTCTTGCAATCGGACGATACGTCTCACGAACACTATTGATCTTCACTTCAGTCTCTTCTGCGCTGGCCAGCTTCTTTACAATGTCTATGGATGTATTTTTACTATCATTTAGCATCTCAATGAGACTCACATCATCGAGAATACTCCCTTCAATTGATGACAGTTTCTGCAACAGATCCGCTCCCAATTTCTCCATAGTTTTCATATTTCTCGTTATTCCCTCAATCAACTCAATTCTCTCTTGCTCCATTTCAGCCTTCTCACAACGAATCACTCGACCAAGCAATTGATTCTCCAGACCCGACATTGTCACTGAAAAGTCCACGATGTTTACAGCTGAAGAAACTTCTGGGCTGAGGTGCGGATTTTCCAATTTAGTTGTGATATACAAACGGAAATTCTCATTCCACGTCACTTCTTTGTCACCAACAATAACTTTCAGCGTTGTTCCGCTCTTCATGAGATTCCTGTTCAACACATTTGTTAGGCAAGGATCCAATTTCTCATTCACATCTTTCAGTAAAACAACATTTCCTCTCTCAATTGCATTCTCAATGTTCATTTGGAAGTTTTTCGTGTTTTGTTCCACGACGATGAGTTCATTCTGTTTCTCCATTTGTTCTATCCAAGCAATTCCCTGCGATTGAGGATCAATCAGGAGAGGAAAGTTATCCGCTTGGGTGACAATCAAGCCATTCTGAATGGAAAAATCATCATCTGGTAAACCATAAAGGAGCCACTCGCTGACGACACTTCGATCCACGAAAAACTGTACCAAGTTCAGGCTTTTCTGATGAGGTATCAGATTTTCCTCAAGCTTTTCCCGTATAATCCTCATAATAATGCTGCGGAATTCTTCATTAAAGGCACCAGAATAGGACACAAAGCCACACATGTAGAAAATATCGCCGATTAGCATTTGAATTTCTGCTTTGAACTGCTCAATCTGCTTAGTCCAACGAACTTTCTCATCCACAAGGCCGGATATCAATTGAGTTGCAGCACTAAGCTTATTGTTGCATTCTGCAGCTTCGCCCAATACCATTTCCTTCTTCGCTGTTGTCTTATCCAACTCCTTTTGGATTTCAGCAAGTTCCTGTTCAGTTCTTTTATGCATAACTTCCGCATCTTCCGATTGTCTAATAGCCTTTTCGTACTTCGCTTCTTGGATCCTCAAGGCTGACTTTAGAGGTAAGACATCTCGATTTACTGCATAGAACTTCGTCATGGCAATGGTCCAGGAAAGCAGTCCGGCCACGTCTCCACATGCCTTCTTCGCCTCACTCATATTGTACTTGGGATACTTTAAATAAGGCACCAGTAGATCCATAATTTCACCATTGATTCGATCTTTCTTGAAGTCTCTCAGTCGAGGGAGAAATCTCGTTCCTGACATCACTTTTAAAGAATTCTTGTAGGATGTCTTGAGAAATCCCTTCTCCTTGTCCATAGACACTTTATCAAGTTTCTCATACAACAACACCGAAACGGCATCCATGATGACTGTGACTAAATGAGGAGGATTGGCGAGTCTTCGAACAGTTGCAATGTCGGTGGGTTTAATCGTTAAGAGAGCCCTTTCTGCTTCCTCAAGCGCCGGTTTTGCAAGTTCCAACTTGCCTTCAGCCACTTCTTTATCCTTCTCAATCTCACTGACCAATTCCTCAGCTTTTGTCTTGATTTCCATCACCTTATTACGCGCCTCTTCCGCCACTGATGTCGAAGCCTCAACAAGTTTGAGAGCTTTATTTGCCTCTTCGGTTGCAAAATTGATATCCTTCTCCTTTTCACGTAATTCCACTTCCAGAACATTGATTGAATCTGCTGCATCAAGAAGCTTCTGGATACCACGACTCATTCTTTCTGACATTGTCTCAATTTGCAATTTCTTTTTCACATATAACATCTTGTAACTCTCCAAGAAGTTGAGAAATTTCTTTGGAGTGACGAACAATCTCCTCCTAAACCGCTCAAAGTACTCGTCAGCAACTTCTTCAACACACCCATGAATATCACTGATGGACTTTATAAGGCTCTCTTTCGTCCCATCTTCGCACACAATGTGAAAATCTCTCAGCACGTGCTGAGCAACAGCTAATCTTGCACTGTCTGGCCAATCATGGAACCAATCAATGGTGCATCCAGACATCAGTCCTGGAAACTTAATTGTCCATCCTCTCAAACTCGTTCCAATAGGAGAAAAGCAGAGCACCATATGGAAGTTTATCTTTGCAGAAGTTGTGAATTTTTCTATCAAATCATTTAGCGTATAAACGGCTTTGGGATCCCCAGTTTTCATCAACTTTGTCGTCAACTCGTTCCCAATCTCTGAATATTCCTCCTTGGTGAAGAGATTAGGAATCTCTCCAGACGTCAACAAATTGTTGAGATAATCCAGGAAGGTCTCATCCACAACATTTGCATCGGTGAAGAGGAAAGTCACTCCATTTCCAAGACCTGCACTTTTGTACGCAGTCTTAATATCTTCAAGTAAATTTGTTGTGTTGTAACCAGTTGTCAGGGTGACTTGATGAAATTCATATCCAGCAATGAATGTGGCCAATTTGCTAAGACTTCTCTTTCCAAAGCCTCCAATGCCAACAAGAAGAGCATTTCCCCTTTCCATATTGATAATCCGAGAAATGATGATTAAATGTGTCAGAGCATCGCGGAAGAGTACCAAATTCAGCTTCTCTCCTCTGACAGTCTCATTGTACTGTTGCATGAATGTCTCAATTCTCTTTACACAATCATCAGTGTTCTGCACAACTTCATAAACCTTAGGCGCTTCCAAGAGAACTGTATCATCCATATCTTCACCCTTCTCTTCATCTACATCGGGAATATCTCTCAAGAAGTTCACGAACAATACGTCTTCGTCACATGAATATTCTGCCATTTCCTCGCAGATCTTCTTCTGCGCTCCAATAAACCATTCCTGATCCTCTATGGCAATACAACGGTCAGACATGACTCTTTTTGTCTCGTGGAGCCACAGTTTTATTAGATCTGGCACATTTTGACACTCGTCTGGTTCAATCTGCAAGATTCCCTGCCATATGCGAGACATATCCCTGAGATTGAAGATGTAGTGGAACTTCGCAGGAGACGGGAGAAGACCCTCCTTGGTGATTTGCCACAACTTCCGCGTCATCGTGACAAGAGTCGGATAAAAATTCACAATATCTCTGGCAAAGCGATCTGGTAGGAAGTATTTTTCTGCTATTGTAGTGAATATTTTGTCAATTGAGTTTTCACTCGGAAGTGTGCATGTGAAGATCGAAAACTGCCTCTTTAGACGATTAGGAATATCATTCTGACCACCACCAGGATTCATCATTGCCGCTATGAATTGCAGATCCTGAATCTTGATGAAATCTCCGGGTTTTGTCAAAGAATAAAATCCACAATTTTCTATCAGTTGCCGCACGATCTCATTTGTTGTCTGGTCTCCCCATTCATTGATTGTCGGCATGTTGAGATCGTCAATAAACAGAGTGAGTCTTTTATGAGCTCGTGGACCATAAATTGCTCCAGTTCTTTTCTCCACATTTCCCTCAATTGTCTTCTGAAACATATCAGGTGTGGTTAGTGAAGAGAAATTGAGTGTCTTCGTCACATTCTCTTCTGAATCAAATTTTTCCATCAGTTGTTGGACTGTTATTGTCTTCCCCGTACCTTGCTCGCCAATCATCAGAACAGGCCTCTTCTCTTTCCACAGACGCTGGAGAAGATAGGTCAACTGCACACTTTCCACATTGGGCACAATCATCCTGGTAAACCGGAAATTTTCCTCTTTCAACTGGATACTTTCTGGCATATTGGTTTCCCAATGCGTCCATTCTCCAATGCTGTTGACGAAGAAGTCAAAAAAAGATTGATCGCCTGTTATTTTAGGCCAGGGTAGATTTGTATCTTGACTTTTGATGAACTGTTGAAATCTTTTCCGATCATTCGCATCGAGAAGTGCTCCCAGAGACCAGATCATTGCATACAAAGTCAGTCTTTGAATGACATTTCGATCCTCAAAATTCGAACCAGCCTTTGTCAGACTGTCCAGAATATCTACACACTGTTTAACATATCCATTCTCGGTGATCTTCATTTTAGGAGACAACCTCGTCGTGACAAAAGCCAGAAGATCTTCAAAATAGTCATTGAAGCAATATTTAACATGTTTCGCAATATTCTTCGAAGTCCTTTCTACCCAACTGTTCAGAATATCCTGCCACTGAAGCACTGATGAACTCAAATACACCATTCCCAATCGTGATATTGTAGCTGGTGAAGCATTGTTCACGTTGTCCGTTTCAAACATAAGTTTTGAGTTTGGAGACATGATAATGCGATCTCCATTTGCTAAAGTCAAGGTCTTATTATCATCGAGAACAGAGTTGAGATTCTCAATCCAAATTGCATCAACCGGCCCATCAAGAATAATCCAAAAATATTCATTTTCCTTCGGTTTGCAAATCCTCCGGAAGAGAATTGAGAAAATGCCGTCAGTCCACTCGTTTGTTGCAACATCCAATCTCCCAAACATCTGAGCTGACGTTATGGCTTTGGGATTCATCTTCATGGTCTGATATTTCTGACCAAGTCTCCCAAAGTGATGCACAAGTGCCTCCATAGCTGTGGTTTTCCCAGTGAAAGTCTCTCCCATCACCATGATTCCATGTCTCACTAGACACGTCTCATAAAGTTGTTGAACCTTTAGATTCCAATCAGGGGCATTCACGAGATTCTCCTCCTTCGCATATGCTTGAATTGACTCCTGAAGATCATCATATTTGGACTTGAACACCTTTATTTTCGGGAAGAGATCACGCATCAGCGAGAGGAATATCGGTTTATCCTCTGCAATTAACTTGGACAGATTCATATCCGTGAGGACTCTCATGAGTGTTGCTTGCTCACTTTCTCTCACATTAGCACGTTTCTGAACGCCAAGTGTTCGCAGAACTGACAAAATATTCCTCAGTCCAAAGTCATAGTGAATCTGATGGGAGAGTTGATTCTCACACAACTTATACAGTGTGTAGAACTTCCTGGCCAAAATGATATTCTCCTTGAAGCCACAACTTGCTAGTTTCACACGAATGATAATCTGACGATCAGGCACCATCATTGCACAAGATCTGAACATTACCTTCAGATTCTCTGGCAATTCCTGACGTCCAGCGTATCCGGGATTCATTGTGATAAATATCCCAAATTCTCTGTTCATTTTTAGAGAATTTCCATCAATGAATGTGAACACTGAACTGTTCCCTTGTCTGGCAGTCAGAAGATACGAAATCTGTTGGGCTGCAACGGATAGCACAGAGAGATCAATCCGATTGAACTCATCAAAGCATCCCCAAGATCCAGATTCGGATAATCCCTTAAAGATTTGTCCCAATCCACGGAAATCCATTTGATCCGAACAGTTAAACACCACAACGTACTTTCCCAGACTCTTTCCCATATCCTTTGTCGTTTCTGTTTTCCCCGTTCCTGCCGGGCCTGCAGGAGCTCCACCCATATTGAGGGAAATCGCCTGAGCCAAAGTGATGTAGCAGCGATCAGTGAGTGGTGTAATCACCAAGCGATCCGTCACACCAAGATACTCATTCTGGTAGGTGAATTTCACATTGGTGATCCTGATGGCAATAGTGTCTGTCTCATCAAACAGATAAAATCTCTGTTGCTTCTGCCACTCAAAGTTCTGCGGACTTGATACTTTCATACTGTACATCTTCTGGAAAATGTCCCTCTGGTGGAGATGAATCGTGATCATGGCTTCATATTTGATTCTGTCCAGAGAAGATAATTCCAGTGCAGTCTGCTCTATGAGTTGATTGAGGAGATTGAGGAAAGATTTATTGGTCTCTTTCATGATAGACGAATCTCGCTTGCTCTTCATCAGTGCCGTTTCCGAGAGATGCGTCCAAAGCACCTGAAGCCCTATAATTCCCATCTGTCCGGTGTACTTATCAAAGTTCTTCACGAAGTCGAAATCTTTCTCAACTACCGACCTGGACATATCCGCTGTGACACTCTTAATGGTGTCTTGCATTGTTTTCAACAGTTCTCCCAGCCATATTTCAACATTTTCCGTACACGATACCAAATTGATCATAGGAACCTTCTCACCATTTGAAGAAAGAAAAGCCTCCATTATGTTTGGTGAATTCTCTTTGAACTCCACTCTCGCCAGAGCATCGAACAGACTCAGGAAATGCGTTTGAATATTTTTTGGTTCATTTGATTGTCCCAAAATCTGAATCAACACCTCATCAGATACAAAGAAGAATCTCGGGAAGAGTCTCCGCTTCTTTTCCAAGTAGCTGGACAGAGATTTCAAACATTGTTCCAGTTGTTGCATGATTATGGGAAAAGACACTTGAAGATCCGGATGAGTGGAGCACTCAATTACCTTGTCAATGCTCAAGGCTCGATGAACGATTCTTGAGAAATTCAGATCGACATTGGAAAAGAGTCTCGCTTCAACGGGAAGTTGGCGTGATATGTCACCACTCGCGAAGACTGCCTCAAGATACAGCCATAGATCTTGAACCTGAAGCCACATGTCCAGATTATTGCTGGTCTTCGAAAGTTTGTCAATCCAGTGGAGAGTTCGATTCATGAAAATTGCATTATATTTGTTAGCCGCCAAGGAGTTCAGGATTAGTAGAGCATCATCGATCTGTGCTAGTAAATCTTGTGTCTCTGTTCCCTTGAGCAAGAAATTTCCTCTTCCTTTGAAAGGTGAAGATGGAAATCTCATGTTTGTCCACATCTCATCAATTTGCCTGAGTTTCTCCTCGATGTCCTTCTCTTTGAGTGCTGAAATCCCAATATTTTCAACTTCGTCGCGAACATCCAGGATGTGCGTATCAAGAATGGTTCCCAGTGTGAATTCGTCACTCTCAACATCAATGTTTATGTTTAAACATTCACTCAAACTACTCCAGTGATGATCCTTCATAGCGTCATTTCGAAGAAGACCAATTAATGGGCAAAGATCATTCATTTCGGTGAGTTTCCTCTTCAGCTCCTCATAGGCTTTCCATCGCTTAAGACTATTAGGTAATCTATTGTACCTCGCTTGAATCTCCTTCAGATTCTCCATCATGTCCTCAACATAGACATTAAACCACTTCATCAATCGATAATTTCGATCCAGATTGTGAACTTCGTTATACAAACTGTACAACTTCGACAGTGATTCTAGCTCTGTCTTCCTCACTAGAACATTCTTATTCTCCTTTGATGGATACCCAAATAATCTTTCACCAGTCTTGACCAATTCAAACAACTTCAATAGCTCATTGAAGCGTGCTGAGAAGAGGAAAAATCTATCCGATGCAGTTTTGGCAGAAATATCAGGAATAAGAGGTCCTGATTCATGATACTCTTTCTCAAATTTTATCCACTCCTCCTCAAACTCCTGTGATTTCTGCATCAAATACTCTTCCATAGGACGATAGAGATTTAGCAATTCCACTCTCTTCTCACTCTCCAGTCCCATTAATTCCCTGTGACTCCTCTCCAGTCTGTAGACAATCTCATAATCATCATCGGGAATACTAGATCTGTGCATCCTGAGAAGATTGAGAACGTCTGTAGCCTTAGTCAGTTGAATATCGGTGTCCGTGTAGCTCTCAACCACAATTCTCAGACACTGAAACACTTCCTCCAAGTTATGAATGTCCCGGACAGGTTTTTTCAAAAGCTTCGTGTGTTGCAGAATAAATTTCATCATCTGAGCCATATTTTTCCTAAGAAACGAGAGCATGTCTGAAGTCAAATTTTCCCGCCACATCCAGATCACGTGAACAATCTGATCCATTGCTTTAGCGAGGGAAATTCTAACTGGAATGGCAACGAAATTTCCCTCTTTTCTGGCTTCTGCATCAGATAATTCCTGAGAAATCTCCTCAAGAATTGTTTGTATTTCCAGAACTGATGGATTTGACGAAATTATTTTCTTATTGATATTGAATTGATTCACTGTCCAGAGATATTCATACCGATCCCTGAGTTTCTCGACAAAGTCATGCACTTCTTCTTTAACATTCATCTTAAAATTCAATAAGATTTGATGCATTTCCACGCGTTCTGAGAGGAACGCATAAACCGTTTTTGGATACTCAGATTCCCATTTAGACATTGCTAAGTGATTTCTTGTCTTTGCCTTGAAGCCCCATGAGGCGATGCTCTTGAAGAAGTATATCAAATTTGTGAGAATTTCCTGAATTCCATCCTCAATATTCTGAATTGACGGCAACAGGGAAAATTCTCCAGCGTCGCTCTCAATTTTAAGGATTAAACTCGACTCAATAATAGGTACAGGTTTCCCATTCTCTGAGTATTCTCTTATCAGATGACTTTTCAGGACCTCAACAGTGTTGAGAAAGCAATTTTTGAGGCTGATGAGAAATTGATCGTAGAAGTAATTGAAGACATCCATGCACAATTTGTGGAATTGTTTCACATCGAAATTGTCCTCGTCAAATTCCCTATAAAGGCGCGATGTTTCACTTTCTTCTGTAGGCAATTTGACTATTCTTGGAAGATCGGCAAAATTGATCCAGTCATATTTGTCATCTTGAAATTCCATTAAATCGCAGAATACTTGAATCAAATCGATCACCATTTGCTCCATCAGACTTGATCGAGCTGAAATGAAATTCTTGGTGCCAGTCAGATGATCAAGATTCATCTTTTTCAGATTATCAATTGTCACAGGCGCGTCAGGAACTGTAGCTAAGCATGTCTCTGAAATCTCCTCAAGATACTCTTCAATCATCAGCACACGATCGCTAATCTGTTTCACTCTGTCCATCAGAGTCTTCAGCGATTTGTTCAGTTTCTCAATGTAAGACGGCAAAGAACTTGACATCCAACATATAACAGTTTGTCCTTCTCTGAATAACCGATCGACATCGTTCAAAAGTGGGTAGATTATATCCAGAAAAGCTGCAGGAATCGCTCTAAAAGAATCACGATAATCACACTAGATCACACAGATATTCAATCATCCGACTTACCGTCTCATTTTCAAATCAATCTTGGCACAACCCATTAGCGCATCTCGATCACTCAGCAAATCGTTCTTGGCAGTGAGCAGAATCTTTCCCACTTTTGGTAGTTTAAATTGCATTTTAACATACTGATCACACTCTCTTATTCTGAGGTAGATTTTCTCATTGAAATTCACGTAATATCCAGGATGTTCGGGTTTCTTCACGAACACCGGTTCCTTGAGAGCTGCATTAATTTCCCCAGTCATCCTTGACTTCCAACTGTCGAAGATTGCCTCTTCCTCCTGCTTGATCATGTCCTTTAAAGTGTTGAGCAGGTAAAGACTTTTTGTCATTTTTTCTGTTAACATCGGACTGTTGAGATCCATCACACTCTTCACAGGGTCTTCGAATTTCCTCAAGAAACACCGTCCGTATTGAATACCCTTGCCTGACTCATTTCTGTATCTAAAAGTACATAAAAAAAGGACACTTATTTTAGGAAACATATAAAATCCATCACATCTTACGCTGTGTAAATCTCTGAGATTTCTTCTTCCAGTTTATTGATTACTGCAAAGTGTTGCTGTTCAATGCACAGCGGTCTCAAGTTGAATTTGCTGTATTGCTTTAAAAGCAGCAGCATTGAACTCGAACTGGGACACTCTTGGACCATATTTTTCATCTTCACAAATATTTCTTCCTCAATCTTCTCAGTTTGCTTAATAAACCTGCCATGCAGACTCCCAAAAGTCTTATTGTCACGACTAAAAGGCGACAATGGAGCCTTGACGATCTCTTGAAAATTCTCCTTCATCCTAACTGCAAACGGATCCATTGTTGTCATCCTAATGCGATCAAGTACCGAAGAAGACTCCATAATTATCAGAATTTCCTCAATTTCATGCAATTTGTCCATAAATTGCGACTTTGCGTGGAAAATATGCTTCATTGAACACTCCCAATTTGCTATATCGTGATACTTCTCTTCAAAAGTATCGAGAAAATGGCGCGAATCCTGAATCTTCTCAATCACCTTTGATCTCTGCTGGAGCCAAACTGATCCATCTTTGCCCTCAATGTAATTGTGACACACCAAAATCAACTGATTGACGAAAATGCTGACAAATTCACAAATTCTCATGGGCGTTCGGTAGTACTGCGATATCTCTGAAACGTTCTTGATCAATGTTAAGAAGCCTGTGAATTGAATGATAATGTCCTGTGGAGATTTTTCATGGAGATCTTTGAAGAATGGCACAACTGAGTTGAGGAAGAGGTAAATATCGTTGGCTTGAATGTATGCGATGTGTAAATTCTCCTGGATAATCTTCCATTCCTGGAATAATGGTAATAATAAGATTTCATGTAAAGTTTTATACTCACAATAAAATTGCTCTTTACTTTCAAAAGACTCGATCCCGCCAATGTGAGACATTGGACAACATTCGCAAACTCCGGCTTCTTTATGTCTTCCTTGATGAATGCATAGTCAAAGACAATTCTCCTCCAGTGCATAAACTCATTAGCTGGTTGAGCATCGCGAGAATCTCTGTAGATTTGCTCACCACGGACAAGAATTCTCTTTATTCCTTTCATCCACTTGCTGAACACCTTCTCAATCTCACTCACTTTCTTAGGATTCCTGGATGTCTCCTTAATCACAGTGGTGTTGATGAGAAAGCCTTTGAACAGCTCCTGATCAATCTTATACACTGGCTTGCTCTTCAGCGCGTCATCCATCGTTCGAATAGAATGGGAAATGCTAAGAAATTCACCAGTCAATGATCCAGTTTCTGCATCAGATTCAATGGCTTGTAGCGGATCAGATTTAAGGAGGCCTTCGAAGTCATCCAAGAACCTCGTGAATGCTGTCTGATTGTCTGGCTTCTGGGCCTTGAAGTACTTGGAATAGATCAAGTTCTGATGATTTCTGATCGTGATATTCTCAGTGTTATCTACTCGATAGATTATCACACAAGTCGGATTGAGTTGCGTTGGTTCATTCGTCGATATGACAATTCTCTTCCACTGCACGGCAGCCTGCCACATCTCCAGGGAGTGGTACTGGCCAGACTCAACGGGGGCGAGAGGGAACAGCCCATAGCTGAAGAAGATCGCCAGCTGCCCATGCTTTGAGAAGAAGTTACTGAGAAATTGCACATTCTCTTCCGTATCCAGATATCCATCAACCACGACCGACTGATCAATTTGGAAATGCTGAGCCACAATCTCAAACACAATCTTGTGCAAAGGCGTGATTGTACTCTCCCTTTGCACACGCAGATCCTGGAATTTTCTCTGCAGCATACAAACAATGGAAACTCACGTTGGAATTGTACTTAGCGTAATTTGCTCATTAAACTTTTCACGCAATTACAGAAAATGTGAATAAGTACACGCATAGCGTGTAAGAAAAAAAATACAAAATCCCCCAAATTTAATTGCTCGACTCACCAAATCTTCTGTAAATTGAGGAGTTTTCTTCTTTCCGAGCCATTTCTGCACCTTCGCAGCCACTCCAAATACCGCCTGATTCTTCCTCATCTCTCCACGAGAATAGTCACTCAGGCAATGAAAATTTGGCTGAAAATTCGCTTGAACAAAAGGCGCCAAATCGAATACCTCGATTTTTCGGTTGATTTTCAACCGCGCACCTCAGAGCGCATTTGAAGGGTTTCCGCGTCTAGTACCGCGCGCGGCGCTGCGAACGTCAATTCAAGCTTGATGGCATCAGGCAACACTTGTGTACGGCGGCCATTTCTTAAAGTTTTTTGTTGTTGCTCGCAAAAGAGAGAATTTTTCGTAAATTTGGTGAAAATTCAGCTACTCTCTGGCTATTTTCCACGCGAATACGCGAGTATTGGTGGTGATCTTGTGCGCTACAGTGGAAAAGGCAATGAGGGTGTGTGTTTTGCATGTGAAATTCCGATTGTAATTTTCTCGGTCAAATGTCATTCTTTGGGCCACAACAAAATATTTGTCATAAACCTTTATTTCATCGAAATTTTCCATTCTTCTCGGTATTTTGAATTGAATGTCTATTCTCAGGATAGCGGGGGAGGGTTTTGCATACTTCCGGATGGAATTTTGAGGCCGTAATGGGTGAAAAGATAGAAATTTCACCTGAGATTTATTGTTCGTGTCAGCATCAGTCTGATCCCAATTTTTACCATTTCTTTTTTTTTCTCTTTTCATGCCCTCCTCGGTCTCCAGAGTGGAGCAACGCGACAGAGAACCAAGGAATCCATGTAAAATGCAAGCAATCGGACTTACAACGGTGGAAAAAGGAGATTTATACTGAGATCGTCAAAGGATTCCTGACAGTGAGTGTATTTGTCCGGAAGTCAAAGGAGTCTACTGCGGAAAATCGGAATCTAATGGTGAACTCTCTGATTTGAATCAGGTTTTCGGGCGGAAAGATGGGAGACAAGGACATTCCCAGTGTTCCCACAACAACACTGGCCGGATTGACCGATTTATCTGACTGTAAGTTTGGGGAAAAGGACAAAGGAAATTTCTCATCTCACGGTTTTCTCTATCTGCAGTCCTCAGTGAACTACCATTAAGTGATCCGGCTCTTGTCACATCGCTCCTGGACAAATCGCTTCTCTTCCATCCGCGTGTGGCCGAAGAGGCGCGGAATCTGCTGGCCGTGCAGGATGTCAATCGCGTTCAGCAGCTCGTGAGAGCCCTTGAGCAAACCAATGCAGATCAAATGTAAGCAATAGACCGTATTTTGTCCTGTAACAATATTAATTTTGCTTGTTTTTTCCCCACAGCGAAATCCTGGACGAATTCAACGTTATAGAATCGAGTTCGGCGCAACAAAATGTGCCGGAACTCCTGCAGGCCATCTACAAATTCAGGCCTAATGTCTTTCAAGAGGGAAGATCTTCCTTTGGTAAGTGTTCCTCAAAGCTTATTCCATCAAACAAAAAATTCATTCCCCACACAAAGAACCACACAATTTCTCGTGGCCTCATTTATGGGCGGCGAATACCACAAATTCTTGAATGGTATCAGCGAATGAGTGTTGAAGATTCTTGCATTTGGCATTAGCTTTCCCTTGATTGTTTTGTAGAAAAGAGATCTGTAGCAAATTGTGCATTAAGAGGAGTTTAGGGTAATAAAATTTCAGCAGTGACGCTTCTGAGTGAGGAACTAATCAATTTTCAGAAATTGCTGTAAAAATTTGAAGTCTTTTGAATTTATGTAGCAATGCTAATCCTATGTTTGTGCCTATTTTATGTTGTGAATACTAAGAACATCCTTTTATCCTTGTTTGTTGCTTGAAAAGCACTCACACACATACACATTTTGCCGAAAGACATGCAATCACCATTTTAAGTGTGCTCACAAATTGTCACCATCATTGTTGCTTCTTGCTTAGTTCAACAACATTCCCAACAACAACAACAACAACACGTCCAACAGCAGCAGGTGCATCTGGCAGGACGTGGTGTAGAGCAGGCGATGGTAGCGCAGCAGGCAGTGCATCAGATACAGACAAACATGCCACAGAATCACTTAAATCAGGCACAACAGCAAATAATACAGCATCCATTCAATTACTTGCATCAGCAGCCGCAGCAACATTTCACCACACAACCCCAAGTCACTGCCATTAACCAAGCATTCAATTCCCAACAATCGGTACAATTGACAGGCGCGGCTGCTGCTGGATCCAGTTCTGTGCTCAATTGGGCCGCCCAGACGCCGGCGCAGGCGTATGCGGAGCCCCAGCAACCGCAGGTGTTCATGGGGCAGCAACAGCAGCAGCAGGCGCAGACGCAAGTGATCTACCAGCAGCCGAACATCATCCAGAGCACTATGAACTATGATGGATCGGTGCTGCAGCAGTCGCACGTGATGCAGCACGTGCCACAGGCTCATCCATCGCCACAGGCGCAGCCCGTTCAGCTGGTGATGACGCCACAGCAGTCGCCATACGAGGCGCAGTACTCACAGCAGCAGCACGCTCAGCATCAGACGGTGCAGCCAGTGCAGCACACCTCAGTGGTCGTGACGCAGCCTCAGCGACAGACAAATGTGGCGTTGAAGTCGCAGATTCACCAGCAAAGTCAGGGACTTCAGTCCTTTCCCACGTACAATGCGATCGTGGAGAACACAGCGGTGCAGCCGGTGATTCAGCAGCACCAGCAGGCAGTGCAGGTGATACAGCAGCCGCAATCTCAGGCACAACAGCAATTCCCAGTGCAAGCGCAACAAATGCCACAGACGCCTCAAGGGCAGGTTCAAACGCAGAGTGAGTCTGGCGGCGTGATTAGGCAGTTGAATGCGGAGCCGTTGACGCAAAAGTTGGCCCCGAGGAACAATGAGTATCTGGCGCAGCAGCAGCAAAACAAGAACTTTGACTCGAGGGGTAAGTGAAAGGGGAAAAGAAAAGCATGCAAATGCGTGGGGAGCTTATGGTAATTTTTCTTACAAATTCGCAGGTCAATCACCGGCACAGGCGGTCGATGCAGTGGCTGTGGCTGAATCATCCAGTGTCAACACGGATCTGCGATATCCGATGGTGAAGAATAGCACAATGCATCAGCCTGAGGAGCAATCAGTTGATCAGCACGTGAGAAATTGCGTGCAGCCACAAGAGCACAGTGCGACGGCGAACTGCACAGACAAGGATAAGGCGGGGAATGATGTGGAGATGGATGATGAGACAACAAGGGCTCTCGGTGGGCGAATGGCGAAAGTATGTCTCAATCGATTGACGAAGGAGGTGAGATGGGAGTGTGTATGTTTAATGTGATGAAAAAGATGCTAAAGGGTGATTTATTTGTAGGAACTGGAAAAGACACTAGGAGGCAGCAATGCCGAGTCTGACTCTCTATTTAGTAGGATGAAAGCGACGGAACGCAAACGAAGAGTTCCTGAAAACAGCGAAAAACCAGATGAGGAATTAAGTGAGTCAATTCGATATTATTATTAGGTGTAAATGTTGAACGATGTTTAATTTGTGCTTTGCGTTTTCAGTATCAAAACCAAAATTGCGACGAATTGAGAGGGTGTTGATGCCTGTGCTGAAGAAGTTGGATGACCACGAACTGCTAAACTCGAATACATATAATCACTTCAACGCAACAATGGAGAAGATTTTCGATCAACTCGATGAGACTGAAGCGAATTTAAGTTTGGGTGAGACTTTTTTTTTGTGTTTTATGGTGAAAATGTACTAAATGCTATTGTTATGCCTTGCAGATGACTGTGATGATAACTATGAATGCATTTCGACGGCGCTATTGAACAGTATCAGTGCAGAGGCGGCAAAGTTGAAGGTGAAGGGCTCCTTCGAGATGTTACCGCAGAATAAGTTGTCACTCTTGATTACGTATGCCTTAAGGAGTGTCGCTGTGGCGAAGAATCTTTCTGCTGGGCCAGACATGCAAGAGGAGCTCGTGTCACGGACGTACATTGAGAAGATTGTGAATGCACTGGAGGCGTCGCTGCTTGTGTGCAACATCTACAGTTGTCTCAATGTAAAGTTTCTGCAGGAGGACAATTTGGATTTTATCATCAAGTTTGTGCAATTTCAACTACGTGAAACGATATTTCCGTCATATGATGCTGTGTATTCGGTGGAGACGAAGAAGAAGAGTGACAACAAGAAGAAGAAAACGGGATATGGACAGGTCAAAGGTGTTGGAACGATTTACTCAAAGATTGTCGATCTCACAAAGGTACTCGTGACAATCTTCTCAAGGTTCCAGTTTGAGGACACCATTGTAATTCATGCATCGGCAATTGGTGTGGAGCCATTCTTTGTCGACAACATTGATACGCTGCAGTTTGTGTGTTTGGATCTCGTGACAACGATCTTCAAGAATGAGAAATACTCTAAGCATCGAAATAACATTCTGGCGGATATTCTCACGTCGCTGGATCGCTTGCATGGGTCCAAGAAGATGCTGCGACCGTACAAGTTGGCCAATAATGGTGGAAACATCCAAATGGTCACCGCTCTGGTGCTGCAGTTAATTCAGTGTTCAGTTGTGTTACCGGACAGTATGTGTGAGAGTGTTAATCACAAGAAGCGCATCAATAGTGACCAGAAACCACGCACAGATAAGGATATCTTCATATCGGAGAAGTACGAGACGGCAAAGTGTATTGGTGGCAATTTCCTGCAGACATTTCTCAGCAAGTGTAAGCCAAGATCGGGTGAAACAGACTTCCGTCCACTGTTTGAGAATTTCATCCAGGATCTCTTGACGACGGTGAATAAGCCAGAGTGGCCGGCAGCGGAGCTGCTGCTGAGCCTCCTTGGTCGATTGCTGTACCGCAATATGTCGGATAAATCTGTGGAGCAGTCAATTAGGCTGGTATCGTTGGAATATTTGGGCCTCGTGACGGCAAGACTGAGGAAGGACACGGTGGAGTCGCGGTGTAAGGTCAGCACAATGGATCAGATGATAAAGTACATCAAGATTGAGCAGGAGAAGGAAGGTGATCTCGCGAATGTGGATTCAATAGCACAACTCGATCCGGATGAGGAGAGAGTGGAGTTCCTGCAGAAGATACTACTTGACTTTTTGGCTGTGAATGCACATGAGGATAATATCTGGGACCATGCGAGGCACTTCTATCTGACACAGTGGTACAGAGACATCATGAATCGCAAGAAGGAGATTGCTGATGGGAAGAAGGGTTATGCCACGAGGAAGACGCCCAAGAAGAAGCGACGAAGTAAGTAGAGGAAGACCATTGAAGACTCACTGTTTTGTGACACTGAAATCCGCTTTTCTTTGCAGATGCGTCAGAGTCATCGGAGAGTGAAGAGGAGAGTGAGGATGAGATTGAGAGGGAGAAGAAGAAGTCTGGTGTGGATCAGGAGTTGAATCTCGAGATTTTTCGTATACTGGATCAGCGAAAAAAGTATCTCATCGACAATATAAAATCATACTCATTGAATAATATGGCGGTGCAGGATGTGAAGACGTACATTGACTACAACAATGCTCAATTGATTGCACAATACCTGAGTGGTCGACGATCATTCTCGCAGAGTTTCGATCTCTATCTGCGACAGATCATCAAAGTTGTGTGTGAGCAGTCAATTGCCATACGCACCAAGGCGATCAAGTGCTTGGGGAATATTGTGGAGGTGGATCCGTCGATACTGACGAGGAAGGATATGCAGATGGGTGTGAATCACAAGTTCCTCGATCAGTCCATTGCTGTACGAGAGGCTGCTGTAGATTTAATAGGAAAATATGTGTTGACTAGTCCTGAACTGATAAATCAGTATTATGAAATGCTATCACACCGGATATTGGTGAGGATTTTTATTGAATAATGGCAAAGCGAGGGAGAGTTTAATGTAATGATTTGGGGTGTGTTTTCTGCATTTTCAGGACACGGGAGTTTCAGTGCGAAAGCGTGTTATCAAGATTCTCCGTGACATTTGCCTCGAGTATCCGGATTTCGACAAGATCCCAGAGATTTGTATGAAGATGATAAGGCGGGTGAATGACGAGGAGGGCATTCAGAAGCTGGTGACTGATGTTTTTCTCAACATGTGGTTCTCGCCGGTCAGTTCTGGTGATAAAGATGCCGTTGGAAGGAAAATCACCCAAATTACCGATGTTGTGAATGTCTCATTGGAGAATACACAGTGGCTGGATGGACTTCTCAGGAGTGTAAGTGTGCCAAAAGAAAGAAAAAGAGACGCAGTAGTGTTGTCGGACTTTTGTTGGCAAGCATGCTAATGTGTGACCTCTTCTGCTTCGTTTGACTTGCAGATTTTTAAACCAAAAGAAAATAAGGAGGACACAACGAAGACACCAAAAGAACCGCCAAAGCAGATTGTCACAGCGTGTGAGCAAATAGCCGATGGCTTGGTGGATGCTATCATGAAGCTGGAGGGCACGGACAATAGGAAGATGCTGGGATGCATCACGACCATGCATTTGTTTGCCAAAATTCGACCACAACTCCTCGTGAAGCACGCCATAACGCTGGAGCCGTACTTGAACATTAAATGCAACTCGATGAGCATGATTAAGTTTCTGAGTTGTGTGGCGGAAATATTGGAATATGTGGTGCCGCTCATGGAGCATCCCAGTGACTCCTTCCTCGCCGACTTGGAGGCGCATCTCACGATGTTGATTGTGTCACAAAATAGAACCGTTGTCAGTAGTTGCATCTCGTGCTTGGGCGCCATTGTGAACAAGCTGACGAAGAATTATGCCCTGATACGTGATTGCTTCAAGAGGTGCGATGACGTTAATTTGTCATGTATTTGGGTTTTGTGGTTTTAATGTATTTGTTCTTGCTTAGGTTTTTCTACCCTTATCTGCTAACATACAAGGAGAAGGGTCAACAGAATCCGAATTTCACCTTTGATATGGTCTTCAAGTCGCCAGGCTTTCGTCGAAGTATCTTCATTGTGGGTCTCCTAATGCGATATTTTGACTTCAATGTGGCTGAAGTGTACGGCGAGGGCAGTCGCAATGGGTTACCGGCAAAGATCTGCGATGAAGTGTTTGACACATTCATGTATTACGTGGTGTGTCACAATTTGGACATCAGGAAGGAGATACTGAATGCTCTTGGTTACTTCTGCGTGAAAAACTATGAGTATCTGACAATGCCACAGCTCAAAGACTTCTACAGAGATCTTCTGACATCAGAAACCGTCCAGACGGACATTAAAGTCAATGTGGTGAAGAATATCTTGCTGTATCTGAGCGAGGAAGATCAAAGAATGGATCAGGATGAGAAAGAATGTATGTTTGTTGGCATTTGATATGATTTTACAGCATTTTAATATGGTGTTTTCTCGATGTTTTGCAGGGGAGAGTCAAGCCAAGAAGGAGGATTTGAAAGAAATGGGCGATCTAAAGGCGGGAATGGCGTCAAGGGTTATTCAGCTGTACCTGAAGGAGATCTTGGAGTGTTTCCTCAATTGTGACATTCAATTGCGCATCTGGTCAATGAAAGTGGTCGATGCAGTTCTCACTCAAGGTCTTGTGCATCCAATTCAAATAGTACCCTATCTTATATGCCTGAGTACAGATTGTGAGAACTCGGTAAGTTATCAACTCAGTGAATGTTATCAAATGAGATGAGATTGTAAAGAAAATTGTGTTGGTTTTTTTTTCTTATTTAGGTATCAAATTCAGCTGATCGACATCTGCAAGAGATTGAGAAGCAACATCCTGGCTTTATCAATATGAAATCCCACGCGGGCATTCAATTGTCGTACAACTTGCAGAAGCTGCTGCAAGTCAATGAGAAGACCAATATTGTTCGTGGATGCAGGTGAGAGAGAGGAGTTGGGTGCTCTAATAAATATGCCAGAGGTAACTAACCATGTTGGATTGAATTTGCAGGGCGAAAGAAAAGGGTGAACCACAGTCAGCGCTCACGGGATTCCTGTATACACTGTTGAGGAATGCCAAGCCACAGAGAAGGGCACTGATTCAATCAATCATCAAGCAATTTGACAATCAGAAAGTGGATTTGCGTCGAATGTTGTATCTCACTGACAATTTGGCGTACTATCCGTATGCAGTGCAGGACGAACCGCTGTACATCATTCATCAGATTGACGTTGTGGTCACTGTGACGGGGACAAATTTGCTGAGTAACTTCCGTGAGGGTCTCAAGCAAGAGCAGCCAGCAAATCCGGGTGAAGAACGTACGTTGACACACACACACACACACATTGGTTAGATATGGATTGTGATAGAATTGATTTTATCTCTGTTTGCAGAGCCAAATATTCTGGATGACGATGATGATGATGACAAGGAGGCCATCCTGAATCGACTTCCTGAGAATTTGGCTGATCTCCAGAGTTGCATAACGGCTGCTCAGGGTTGTATGCTCCTGCTGTTGTTGAAGCAACATCTTAAGGATTGCTATGGAATCACAGATAGGTAAAATCAAAGCTTCGACGTTGACAGTGTATAGTAAATGCCTTGACATTGTGTTTCTGTCTTTCAGTAAAATCACTCGATACTCACCATCGGAGCCGGCGAAAATCTATGAGAAAGCAATGCAAAAGCGTGCAATCTTAGAGTTTAATCCAAAATCAACGATTGACATCATCAAAGAGGAGGAGTCCATTGGCATGGAGATGAATGAGACTGTGAGGAAGAAGCTGGTCGATAGATATTTGGATGTAAGTTAGGAAAATTTGGCATTAAGATGAAGAAGGCAATAATTGTAATTGACCACACTTTCTGTATAGTTCAAGCAATTGATGCTGAAGTTGGATCCTGAGGATTCAGACGATGAGGAGACCGCAAAGCCACCATTGACGACGGTTGTGGACTTTGAGCAGCAAATCGAGAGCTTCTCCACAACGCCTCATGTAAATAATGTGATGAATAACTCAGTGCAGCCAAACGCAGTGAATAATGTTGTTAATTCGACAAATGTAAGTTGATTTGGGGGATTTCCGTCTTTCTGTTATGCGTCACTGAATTTTGGGTTTTATTTCTTTCCAATAGCAGTCATCCTATACGCAATCAGGTGTTGATCCTCTTGCAACATCGCATCAGTCACACAACCAAGTGACGACAAAGACCCCAATTAAGGCGAGTCCGGTGAAGAAGACGCCCGCACGCAAGGCACAAACGAAGAGGAAGAAGAAGAGGGTGTCTTCCAGTGACGAAGAAGACTACGATAACAGTGATAGTGATTATCTGTAAGAGGGAGACAGGGATTAAGAAGATCACAGTGTGTACATAGAAAATTATCCGGAGGAGTCGAAAGAGAGAGAGAGACAGTCAGACTCCAGATGTGCGCGAGTATTCCAATTGTAATATATCTAATAACGGAGACATATTGTCAGATTGCTGGCAAGAGACACAGAATGAAGAATCACTAAAGGTCACTCAACCAATTAAAATTATAAATAGAAATTAGATTATATAAATACGATAATTGATGAGAAAAATGTATAGCGATAAGAGATTTTCTACATAAATGAATGATCCTTTAAATTAAATTTAATTAGCAATAAGAATTGTATAAAGAATTACACCCATACATAATTTAAATATACATTTACATTATATAGAGAGATCTTGAAGTATATATATATACAATTTATTGTAATAATAATAAAAACTATGAAAATCTTAGCGATACTGTTGAGTTGAGCAAAGAAAAGGGCGAGCGGAACTTAATTTATTTCGAAATCAATCTTTATTTCTATTAGTAATAAATTCTTAAATAATGTCTTCGCGTGAGAAGTTGTAGCGAAATAGAGAGCAAATTATAAATACATATATTTGAAATACGGGATGAGAAAAAAAATATTTAAAAACTGAAGTCGTAGACGTAGATTAACTCTTAGCTATTGTACATTTTTTTCATTTTTTCTCATTAAATGGAAAAAAAGAGAAAAGTTAATATATAAATTCAGTGCGAAATAATATTATTTCATCTCATGCAGATTTAAATAAAAAAAAACAATATTTGTGCGGAGTAATTTAGACGAGAAACAAATAAAGAAGAAAAGAACATTTTGAGAATATTAAAAAAAAAATTGATGAGTTTTATATTTTTATATGTGTAAAATTAAATCTAGACGAAAATGGTAATATAGAGAGATATCAATATTTAATACGAGCAGATTGTTGCTCCTAAGCAAAAAAAAACTATATAATTTATTGAAGAAAAAAAACAAGTGAAAAGATATGCAAAAATGACGATTGAGATAGTAAATTTTGAAAGAAAAGTAAAAAAAAAAAGGAATTACAAAAACTGCGAAATAAAAAGTCGTTGTATTAATGAGAAAATTATAACTGTAATCACCCACATAAATGACGTGACAATTTGTAAAATTGAAACAGTTTCGATGAATTGTGACTTATGTGGTGGATAAAATACAAATTATTATAATTGTAAGATTGAAGATGTGAGAAGAATGGGAATGGGTTGGGAAAAGTATGTAAATTACAGACGAAATATAAATTGATGATGAAATTACAGGATTCTCTCATTTTCACCAGTCGTGGCGACCCTCTAAGCGATCCATCATCATTTTCCTCCACGCAGCGTCCGAACTTCGCGAATTTGCAGCGTGCAATAAATCACATTTGACGCTCATTTGCATGGAAGAGCGACAATGTGAGGGGAAATGCTGGAAAAATTCAAACAAATCCCACAGGATTTGCAGCCAATGTGCAAGAGTTGGAGAGTAAGTTCACGAAAGAGCACATTAAGGACTTTTCCGCGGTAGATTTATCGCTAAGAACTTTTGCCTAGACAAATCTCTGACATTTCTTTCGCGATTTATTCCTAGCGTTAAAAGGAATTCAAATACAAAAGCTTTGCCAAAAAGTGTTTGTTCGGGTTTATTTAACCGTTATAGCATCAATAAATGGATTACAAATGCGTATAAAAGGTCCGAAGTGGGATTAGAGCATCATTACTCGTCCTGAATTCACTGTGTCAAAAGTCTCTTAATAAACGTGTGTAATTGGTAAAGATTATGGCTAAGCGTAAGAATGAGAATCAGAGTGGACGTAAGACACGCGCCAAACGAGCTGGGCTTCAGTTCTCAGTATCACGTGTGCATCGTCTTCTGCGCAAGGGAAGATATGCAGACAGGTTAGCCGGCGCAGCGCCAATTTACCTTGCAGCCGTTCTAGAGTATTTGGTCGCCGAAGTGCTTGAATTGGGAGGCAATGCTGCCCGTGACAACAGGAAGAGCAGGATCATTCCGCGTCATCTGCAGCTGGCCATCCGCAACGACGAGGAGCTGAACAAACTTCTGTCTGGCGTCACCATTGCCCAAGGCGGCGTTCTGCCCAACATTCAGGCAGTGCTGCTGCCCAAGAAGACAGTAGACAAGACGCCAAAAAAAACAAGTTGAAAGAAAATCTTCTATAGATTGCTGATCTTTCTTGCCCAATCATTAGAAATACTAAGCAAATGTTGTAACTACGCTCTCTTCCATCACTCTACTTGTACTAAAATTGGGGCAATTCGAGAAAAAATCCAAAAGGCATATTTATGAATAATAAAATTATTGTTAAATAACAATATTATAGTACTTACTTTGAATGTCTGAAGAAAATTTCTATCCTTTTTCGACGAAAACCACAAAATTTCTTCGCTTTTCAAATTAAATACAACAATCTCTACATCTTTCTTTGGCACTCGCCAATTCTTACCTTCGCCACCATACGCAATATCATTCGGGTAACATTTAAATATATTGTGACTTCACTCTATTTCGTCATAAAGGTACGTAAGAAGCATTAATTAATTTTTGGCATTGAGAGAAAAAGGAATATTTTTCGCAGAATTGACGAATTTGTTGATTGAAATTTGTGAATACTCGAATACTTGTGCATATGTTGAATTCGACACCCAAAATCACCAAAATGTAATTGCATAAAGATATCGAAAATAGCATAGAACATTGCGAAATATAATCATTTATTTGCTAAAGGGTAGAATTTTTGGATTTTGTAAAGGAAAACACGAAATTGATTGCTTAAAGTCCAAGTGATTGCATATCGTCAAAATTTCAGTTGAATCTTCCATCTGCAATTTTGCCAATTTCTTCAGAAATACTCAATGAAATAGCACAATTTTCCGAAATTACACTTATCGATAATCACTCTATCGAATGTGCATAGTTGTATTACTGGGCGAATTGAAATGTTTAAGAAATTTTAGTGATTTCTCAAGTCGACATGAAAATCGTGTGCAGATTCAACCAAAATTATGGTTTCACTAAATGGGTGATGTTTTGAACTGAGGTAGAGTGTTGTGTTTTGTGGCTATTATTCTCGAGATTTCTACCCAGGATCAGCAGAAATGGCAGAAGAGACAGCAGTTGCAGCAGCTCCGGCGTCCGCGCCCACCAGCTCGTCCCCATCAGCGAAGAAAGCCAAGGCCGCCAAGAGTGGCGCCGCGAAGAAGCCACGAGTGCAGGCGACGCACCCGAAGACCTCGGAGATGGTGAACAACGCCATCAAGAATCTGAAGGAGCGCGGCGGTTCTTCCCTGCAGGCCATCAAGAAGTACGTGGCAGCCAACTACAAGGTCGACGCCGAGAAGCTGGCGCCCTTCATCCGCAGATACCTCAAGTCCGCCGTGACGAGCGGCGCTCTGGTGCAGACAAAGGGAAAAGGAGCGTCTGGATCGTTCAAATTGGCGGGCACGGCTGGTAAGAGCGACAAGCCAGCGGCGAAGAAGCCTCGCAGCCCATCCAAGAAGACAGCCGCTGGCGAGAAGAAGGTGAAGAAGAGCCCAGCATCGCCCAAGAAGAAGCCCACAGCCGCGGCCAAGAAAGCAGTGGCGGCGAAGAAGCCAAGCGGCGAGAAGAAGACCGTGAAGAAAGCAGCAGCGTCTCCGGCAAAGAAGAAGGTTGCGCCCAAGCAAAAGCCCACCAAGGCGTCCGCAAAGTCGGCGGGAACCAAACCGAAAGTTCCCAAGCCCAAGAAGACCGGCTCACCGAAAAAGGCAGCAGCGCCGAAGAAGACCGCAGCCAAGAAGAAGTAAACTTCTCCTAAATTCACCGCCGTCGTCCCATATTGGGATATCTATACAAAAAACAGCCCTTATCAGGGCTACAAGACAATGCGTAGAGAATTTAGCACTGAAAACCTCATTTTTATACTATTTAGACAAGTGAAAATAAAGATAACAAAGTGAAAATTACGTTTTCTACTGGAAATAAATGTTCACTAAAAATTTGACTGTTTATGGCTTCGTAGCAGACTTTAAGTAGAAAAAAGACGCTCGAAATTATGGAATAAATATTTAGTGAGTCCAAAGAGAAATTTTTGATATCGGAGTGAAGACAGAAAACTCATGCGATTTCTTAATATCTCCGTATTCAATTATAGTTAAATACACTTCGTTTTTTTGTGTTCGCATTTTATTCACAATCTGTATAAGTTGTATGAGCGAATTGTGAATAATAAGAATCCAACAGATTTTGTACAGACGGACTTTTAATACACTTTGTATGCGAGAATTTAATAAAGATGACTAAGATTCGATTTTAATATTCGGTGAGAATTGGTGTTTTCGTCTCGTTCTCAAAGGAACTGACTAGATAAAATAAATCCAACTTGATGTACTTTAATTTTGAGATAAGATTGGGGATTTTATGAAAGATTCATTTGCAAATTCTTTATGAAATTTGTTTGTCGCCCTGAAAAGGGCGGTTTTTTTTATCGTGAAAACGGGTTGCAATTTGATTTGGCGATTTATGTCTTCTTCTCGGTCTTCTTGGGCAGCAGCACTGCCTGAATGTTGGGCAGGACGCCGCCTTGGGCAATGGTGACGCCAGACAGAAGCTTGTTCAGCTCCTCGTCGTTGCGGATGGCCAGCTGCAGATGACGCGGAATGATCCTCGTTTTCTTATTGTCACGGGCAGCATTGCCGGCCAACTCGAGCACTTCGGCGGCCAGATATTCCATCACGGCGGCCAAATAGACAGGAGCTCCAGCGCCAACGCGTTCGGCGTAGTTCCCTTTGCGCAGCAGACGGTGGATACGTCCCACTGGGAACTGAAGCCCAGCACGGTTGGAACGTGTCTTCGCCTTTCCCTTAACTTTTCCTCCCTTTCCGCGTCCAGACATCTTTGATAAATCGGTTTCGAAGTTGACGAACAGAAGTCACAAGAAGTTCACTCGACGAGAGCTTGGAACAAAGTGAATAAAATTCTGGCTTTTTCCCTCTTTTATGAGCTCGAGTTGCCCAAGAATGCCGGGTTGCCGAATCAGCCAATCCCATCGTCGAACAAAGCGACACTATGTGGCTTGCATAAGCGAGAGCGAGACGGCATGCGAGAGTGTGTGAAGAGAGAATCGAGGCAACCCTGTCCGTCTGGGGACACGAAGTCCATAAAAGCGGCCGAACGAAATTTCCGGAAAACAGTATCGAACGTGACTTCGTTGACTTCACTACGAGACTACAATCCCGGTGGCGAGCGGTCGTCTTGATGACAGACAACGTCGTTCTACAGTCACGAGACTGTCGTCCGTTGAGACAAACAAGCGACTGTCGGTTGTTTGTCGGGTGGCACTGGTCTGAAGTTAGCAGATGTTGGCAACATGGCGACGTCAGAATTTTCGACCAAAATGAGAATTTTTCCAAATGCAAAGAAAATCGCGGAAATCGCTCAATTTAACTCTTTTCGGGTCGGGACAATACTTTTCCGAGACGTAATTAAATTCTTTATCGTGCGCCCATGCCGGCATATTTTTGATCATAAAAAACGCGCATGTAATAAATATAATTACTGGGAGTTTATTAATTTCTTCAAAATAATTAATTTAATTCGCCATGAAAAAAAAATACGCAAAGGCGCCATTTTTGACACATCCGACACATGCCCGAATGTCTCCCGACTTTCGGTCACACTCCAATGTAAATGTCTGTGGCAAATGTCCGTTTTGGTCAGGTGACAAATGGGCCGACTGTTTACATACAGTCGGTTGACCACCCTGACCGTCGGCAGACAATCGGGCCGACTGACGACGGACGCCCGCCACCGGGATGGCCCCCAAGACAAGCGGAAAGGCTGCGAAGAAGGCCGGGAAGGCCCAGAAGAATATCTCCAAGTCCGACAAGAAGAAGAAGCGCAAGCGCAAGGAGAGCTACGCCATTTACATCTACAAGGTGCTGAAGCAGGTCCATCCGGACACTGGTATCAGCAGCAAGGCCATGAGCATCATGAACAGCTTCGTGAACGACATCTTCGAGCGCATCGCCGCCGAGGCTTCTCGTCTCGCTCACTACAACAAGCGCTCGACCATCACGAGCCGCGAGATCCAGACCGCCGTGCGCCTGCTGCTGCCCGGAGAGTTGGCCAAGCACGCCGTGAGTGAAGGCACGAAGGCCGTGACCAAGTACACAAGCTCCAAATAAGCGAGCGCTTCTTCGACACACGCAAGACAACAAACGGCCCTTTTCAGGGCCACAAAATCATTGCATAAAGATTGAACATGAAACCATTTATTCCTAGGAGGCTCCATACATAGTAAATCTAATTTATCGATTTCTTAAAGTAGAAAATATCTCGTAACACGTTAAAATACAATAAATATATGACACGAATATCCCAAATCTATTCGCTCCGCTCTGAAAAATTGCTCGAAATCGCACCACTTTACTTTGTGTCTTTCGATTCAGGCTATTTCCAGTTCGAACGATGTTTAAAAATGTTTCCCCAGAAAGTTGGAAAGAAAACCATTCACGACTGCTGACGCAGCAAAACATCTGCAACATTCCTCGTTTCACTGGGGAATAAATGCAGGAATAGGCCATATCGACAAAAATGCCAGTGGCCGTAAAGAATTAAGACAAAAAAAGAATGCAGGAATTTCGGAATATTTGTAAGACAAAGCTGGAAAACACTAAATTCATTTATCAAAACCCAACACAACGAAATTACCGAAACCAATGTTCTAAATCGTGGGAAAGGGAATTGAATTTATTTTTGGAAACTTACTAAGAAATCACACAAATTATCGTTTATTTGAGGATAGAATTTTAAGTGAAACTTCATGGAGAAACTCATAATTTGCAGTCACAGGAGAGCACAAAATATGCCTGAATAACCCTGAAAGGAAATTATAATCATGGTTTCAAATGGAAAATTCCATGGTTCTTTATCTCAACTGTTCAGTGAGCAATTCAAAAGACGTAAATTATCTGTAATACTGTATTTGTTCATTTTAGGTCCATAAAATTGAAGGTTCATATTGAATTCTTTAAATATTCCATTGTGGTCCTGAAAAGGACCGTTTGTTTTATCTGCTGCAAAAAGCTAATCTGTCGATTTAACCGCCGAAACCGTACAGAGTACGACCTTGGCGCTTGAGAGCGTAGACAACGTCCATGGCGGTCACGGTCTTCCTCTTGGCGTGTTCGGTGTACGTGACAGCGTCACGGATCACATTCTCCAAGAAGACTTTCAGGACGCCGCGCGTTTCTTCGTAGATGAGACCAGAGATGCGCTTCACGCCGCCACGGCGAGCCAAGCGACGGATGGCGGGCTTCGTGATGCCCTGGATGTTGTCACGCAGCACCTTTCGGTGTCTCTTGGCGCCTCCTTTGCCCAAGCCTTTGCCTCCTTTTCCACGGCCAGTCATTTTTCACCTAGTGTTGGTTTCGTCGAAGTTTACTCAGCGAAGGTTTCACACAAACTACGACTTCTGCTCGCGCTCTCGCCTTTTTGTCACTTTAGCCACGCCCCTCTTTCAGCAATTTTCCCATTTTCAAGCTATTAGTCACAGAATTTTCATCAAACTGCGGTTATTTTTCTTCAATTATTCGCTTACAATATTTTTCTTGGTATTCTTTCGTGAATTTAGATTAAATTAACATGGATAGTTATTTGTGGTTTCCCCCTCCAGTGCGCTGCGAAAACATATAAATACAGCCAACAAGTCGCGATTTTAACATTCTGTGCCTAGTTTCTGTACTGTTTACATCGCGAAGGAGAGAAAGATAGACAACTGCAATGGCTCGTACGAAGCAGACTGCCCGCAAGTCGACTGGTGGCAAAGCGCCACGCAAACAACTGGCCACCAAGGCTGCTCGCAAGAGCGCCCCGGCCACTGGTGGAGTGAAGAAGCCGCATCGTTACCGTCCCGGAACTGTGGCTCTGCGTGAGATCCGTCGCTACCAGAAGAGCACTGAGCTGCTCATCCGCAAGCTGCCTTTCCAGCGTCTGGTGCGTGAAATCGCCCAGGACTTCAAGACGGATCTGCGCTTCCAGAGCTCCGCCGTGATGGCTCTCCAGGAGGCCAGCGAGGCTTATCTGGTGGGTCTCTTCGAGGACACCAATCTGTGCGCCATCCACGCCAAGCGCGTCACCATTATGCCCAAAGACATCCAGCTGGCACGCCGCATCCGCGGAGAGCGCGCTTAAATCGCATTTCTCTCATACAACAAACGGCCCTTTTCAGGGCCACAATTCCATCACGATAAAGAATTCAATATGAAACCTTTTTATACAACTTTCACAGAAAGTCGTCAAATAATCTTTTAGCATTGTCTTGTCTTCAATGTAACAATTATGATGTGTTCAATAGCAAAAATTCAATATATTTTTTTATTACACAACTGTCAACTGTTTGCCGGGTTTCTCTTTGCCATGGGGAGAGTTTTTCGGCGCCCTTTCGTAAGCGTCACTCGTGGTCTGACGTCACCAAATTGCCACCATATTATTTTCTCTTTAAGCGCCGGAATCTCGGCAATTTTATATGCATTTGGATAAAGTTTTAACATGGGTTGGTCGAGATGCTTGCAAAATTGATTCTCAAAAACGAATTTGTGGCTTTACTTATTTTGTCATTTCATAACATTAAACATTTTCATAACATTTATGAAAGTAAAAAATTTATTTTCTGCGAGATCTGAAACATTTTGATGTTTCTGGTTATGTATTTCCAGACGTTCTTCGGCACTTTCAAAGGAATCTAATTGGTTTCCCAAAGCATTTGCAACTCTGCATTGAAAACATCCTTCGGTAATTGCCGAAAACTCATGGAACTCATCGAAGAACATTTTCTTACATAAACGTGGAGGAAAATGGGCAGCAAAAGCACCCTCAAGCAGCAAATCTCGCAGTTTATTGCAGCTCAGAAATAGACGCAAAGGAAATGACTTTGTGACAACTGAAATCCGTATTAAATAAACTCCCAACTTCGCTTTGCATAAACTTCTCGTTCGTATCTCATTTCTACTTCGCATTAGCGCCCCCATCCGGCCACCAAAACAAGCTATGAAAATTGTAAAGTTGCAACCCAAATTCATAGCTTTTACGAATTGAAATACGAAATCTGCAAAGTTCCACCGACTTCGAAGGTTGGGTTTTCTGATAATGTTTCGATTTTACTCTATTTTTCCTCTGTGTTTCTTGTTTCCCGATAAACTCATCCTAAAGTTGTCCCGAAATAAATGAAAAAGTAGATGAAATGTAAAGTGTCTGAAAGTCTGTATGAGAGTGAATACAAAATATCACTCTGAACATTAATTTTTCACCCATTTCAACCCTCCAGACACCGAGACGACGTTGAAACATCCAACTTATTGATCTTCTCATGTGCGAGCGGATAAATTCCCCAGCAATAATCATTATGATTCATTTAAAAGTCCAACATTGTGGGCGATATTTGTGCATCTGTGTGTATTAAGTGAAAATGATACCCGAAAGTGACTCCCAAAGTGTTATTTGAGCACTAAAAATAGCTCAAGAATCGGCCAGTTTTCCCTCTCTGGCGCATCTGGAGAGGCGAAATGCTCCACCCATCAGAATGGAGGCGCAGAGCCAATGGCACGGCGTCTGGAAGGCCTCTCGGGCGCTCGCATGCGCGGCTTCCGGGCCAGGGATGGACTGACTAGGGACTCGAGGGTGACTTCGCGGGGGTTGTGCGCTGGAGAGAGTGCGGTCCTGTGGCGAGAGGCTCAATTTCGGCGATTATGTGTGATTGCAGCGATTGGACTGTGCCATAAAGTTCATTCTCATCATCACAAGTCCTTTGCTCTCTCACCTCTCCGGGCTGCTCTTTGGCCATAATGACGGTGTGATTGCCACTTTGAGTGACGATCCGACGGGATGTGAAATGTGATTGTGATCCCCTCAATTAATTTACACTCTACTCCCGGCCAGCAAAGGACTCTTCCCGAAAGGACGCCCGAAAGATGGAACAACTGGCGGATTTTGTGACAAAGTCCTTCGAGTACAACAATAATGGTGTTCTGGACATTCACACCAGCACGAAAGTGAGTGAGCCGCGTGCGTGTGACAGTGAAGCCGCAACGAATGGCTTCAACAGTGGTGAGAGTGCTACTGACGAGGAGACGGTGGACATCGACGTGATTGACTCGCAATCCGACACGGAGGATGGCAAACTCCTCCGCCAAACACCAACCAAAGTGCTGCAGAAGAGAACAATAATGGATATCTCCAATAGTGTCTGTCCAATTGTGGACGACAAGGACATTCCCGTGTCGCTGATCAAGAAGAACAAGATGAGCAGCTTCCTCACCACCAAGAATTGGCTCATCTCCGACACGGAGAACTCCAAAAGTCTCCCACTTTTGCAAGGTAAGACGCGATTTGATCGAAGTTCTTCGATTTTGGGAATCGTGTTCTCTCTGGTTGCAGAGCCAAAGAATCAGGAGACAAAGGATGCAGATACCGATGGAGTACTTAACCTTAAGTGCTCTTTCGACGATGGCCAGGCAAATACTCCAGAGATAAGTGCGAAGGCATCAGAGGAAGCAACAGTCAAGGAATCCGGGAAACTTAAGAACTTGCACAATTTGAAAACAGGTAAAATTCCAGTCGCTTTTTCGACCATGAATTTATTCATTTTTTTTGCTCATACGAAGTGAGAGTGATAAATATCAATTTCCGCTATTTACTCTGGTGCTTTTCGTGTGTTATCCGCAAAATTTGATATAAATTGAAATTCAAATGCCGTTTTCATGGTTGGCGTCCATTCAATAAATTGCCTATTGGAAATGCAGCATAAAATGCTACACAAAATGTTGCATTTTTATTGATTTTCAACTTCCAAAAGCGTCTGATTTTTTTTGAATTATTCACCGAAATGGAATTTAGGACATAAATACGTCCCGTGTGTTCGCTTTTTCGCCTCCAACTTTCATGACCCATAAATTATAATGATGTGATATATTTTTCATCAAACAATTTCCCGTAGTCGGACCAACCCTCGAGGGTGGTTCTCATGGGAGTTCCACCAGGAAGTTTATGTGATTGTGGTGTGCGATTTAGATTGAATTTTCAAGCTTCTCAAATACGATTTATCACATAAGAGAATGCACAGAAAAAAATTCCGTAATTTACAACTCAGGAAAGTCTCGTTCATTTCCCTCCTCACCAGTTCCTCTCTGTGACAATTTGCTCCCGAGACGCACAGAATGTGATTCAACTTAATCCAATTACTCGGGACTAAATCAAAATATATTTTACACACTCGACTATTAAACTATGCAAGTGGTAAAGTGTGGAGAGGCACCCCTCTTGAAGAATTTCAACCGCGCAAACATGAGGAACATACAGACAATGTCAGCGTGTGGCTTTTGCATGAACAAGGGTCGCCCTCGGGGCGGCTCACCCTCTCTAATTCGCCGCTGGCAAGCGGAAGGGTTCACACCTTTTGGGAAATTCGTACACAAGTCAATTGGAAAGATGCTGATTCTTCGCCTTTTTCCGAGGGGAAAAATGTACATTTTTTGCCTGTTGTTGTTTTTGATGAGTGGGAAATTGATAAGTCAATTATTGAAAGGGATGTTTATTGTTGCTGGTACGGTTAAATTGATTTGAATAAAGACATAGAACGGGGTAGATTGAGATAATATCAATTGTCATCAAAACATTGAAGAACATATTCAGACTCTTTTGAAACTAGAACGAGAAAATACTTGAGAAAATAAGTGTTAATCTCATCAACTATTATGAGGTTGCGTGAGAAGTGAGCTAAACACTGCAAATTTTTGATAAGCTAAAGGAATTTCTTGTGCGCTCTTTTAAAGCACTAAAGTTTATTCCAGTGAGACAATTCGTGTTCGTTATCACTAATTAAGTCATGGCCTTTCGATTTGAACCATTTTGACCCCAGAATTAAGTGAAAATACGTCGTTGAAAATCTGTGCTCGAGTCTTGTGCTCAGTTAATCGCTGGTAAACATAGTGAGATAACTCTCTAACATTGATAAACAACCATTTGGCTGGTATAATTTTATTTTGCACACATCGTGACCTGATTATAATCCAAATAAAAAGAATTAAAATCAGAATCTTGACTAAAATATGTCCTAAACACCTCAAACCGATAAAAAATTTCAAGTTTTCTACTCTCAAAGTTAAATTCAGCCTCAATCTTTACAACGCAATCACAAATTCAAGAGTGTATCCTGGAATCAATTGTAGATAAACAAGAGACTCCGGCTGGGGAGCGTGACTCAAACAGATACGGGAGCTCCTCGCCCACTCTGCAGGCGAACGGAGGCTCGTCGAGCGTGGCTTCGGGCTCCGGCAGCAACAAACAGCGTCGCTCGCGGACGAATTTCACGCTGGAGCAGCTCAACGAGCTGGAGCGCCTGTTCGAGGAGACCCACTATCCGGACGCCTTCATGCGGGAGGAATTGAGTCAGCGTCTGGGACTCAGCGAGGCCAGAGTGCAGGTAATTGAGTTTACATCATAACTTCTTATAGCACAGTTGATTAATGATGAGAGTCGGTGGATTTTTGCCACAAATTCAGTTAAGATGTTGAATCATGATATGTAACTGCGCCCCAGAGTTGGCAAGGAAGTGAACAACACCATTTATTACCGGAGGAAGCATTCATCCAATCAATTAGTGGAAATAAATGTCTATTTGAGAGCAATCGGCGAAGCGATTAAATCTCATTTAGGAGGAAGTTGGGAGGGAGAGATGGGGTCCACAACACCCTGGCTTCTGTCTTTGTTGCCCGTGAGCATGGCGAGGGTGTGTTTCGTGAGGGTTGCGCAAGGGTTTGGGCTGCCTCCTTGCCACTCACCATCCTCACAGTGTTATCCCTTTTTGTCGTGATTGATAGCGCAAATCTTAATTTAGTTAAGTGGAAATCTTGTTTGGGGGTTTTGTTGGCTTTTAAATTTTTATTACATCGGAAACTTTCCCGGTGCCTTGACAGCACCATGTGTCTCTCCATTTCTTCCCCCGGAGGTGACAATATCTTCTGGTGAACTTTAAACCCAAGGCTGGGTGAGAGTGAGAGAGGGTGAAGCTCCTGCTCGAGACAATGGAAGACAAATAGGAGACAGTTTGGAGGCAAAAGTGGCGCCAAGGCGATAAATCACGTCACTCTGTGTCACCCAAAAGTGAATTTATCGCCACGATCTTCACCCCAGCAATTGACAATTGGCCGAATCCAGGCATGTTCACATTCAGCCACTTATGACCACTCTCGGTGGACACAGACTCCCAACAAATCTTCATTCTGCCGATTAACGGGCAATCATAAATTTCCATTTCGACATTTTCTCATGTACCAAATTAGATATGTATGTTGTATTCGGGAAATTGATAATATGTTGTAACAGAAAGCTCTTCTCTTCTCTGGTCAAATTATCTTCACAATGTTGAGCACTTTTCGCAGACTTGAGACTTGTTGCGGGTAAAGCAAAGTGTTAAAACCATGTTGGAGTAATAATTGTCACGCCCTCTTGAATGCCACGCCCATTGTAGCTGATCAGTAAAGATTTTTCTTACTTTACAGTATAATTTCGTGTTGTTCATTTCAGGTGTGGTTTCAGAATCGGCGAGCCAAATGTCGCAAACACGAAAATCAAATGCACAAAGGTAAGATTATTCTGGTAAATATTCAACAACATTTTTGACATTAAATTGTAGTTTCTCTGCATTTTCGCATACTGTGATCATTCACTCACCCAAAATCTGTGGCACATTTGCAGCCATTCCAAGAACATGGCTGTAATTCACACGAGGCTAGTAATAAAATTTAGTAAATTTGCTCAATTAATAGCATCGGCAGTTGAGCGGTAATTGATATGTGTGTTGGCTCTTTTGGAAATTAATTAATTACAAGGCCTCTGCGGTGGAGTTTGGCACAAAATCCATCAATCGATTTGCCCATCTTCCACCCCTCCGCCCACTTCTTTCGCCCCGATGCGACTCTCCGTGATTTGCAGTCAGTTTAGTGTGTTTAGAATAAATTCGTTGAGTAAATAGTCGAGTCCTCAGCCCTCCTGGCCTGCGAAATCCCGAGGGTGGAGGACGAGAGAGAGAGAGAGCATAAAGTCTCTAATTTAATTACATGATTGCGTTACATTTGTAATCTGTTAAATTCACCCGCGTATGTGGATTTGTGCGATGGGAGGACAAAAGAGAGAGGGATGGAAAAAGCCCAGCGACGCGCGTATTGCGCTGGTGTGTTTTTTTGGGGGATGGGAATGGATGAAAAAATTGGGAAATGCTCTTCTTGCAGACATCAGTTTTTCTCCTTTTGTAATTCAATTTTGCAATTTTATCTCTTGACGTTCAGTTCCCAATATTATTTTCCAGCACTGGCGAATGCGGAACGCATCGTTATCCTTCCAATATTGTGCAATTTTGTACCGGAAAATTGCCCAGACGAGCAGGGAAAACCCTTGAGTTTCACTCTTATTTATTGGTCATAAAAAATAAATGTTAGGCAAATGAAAATGCGTCTCAATGGCCCTGGAAAATCGCTTTTGCCGTTGCCTGTAAGAAAGGCATCGGGCGATAAATTTGTTCAACGGGTGCGACTCACTGAGAGTTATTAGATTAAGAAGAGATTGTACTTAATGTAAATTTACTACTTGATTGCTCTGCGCCCTCTTCGTCCCTGATCTGAGTGGAGAAAGGAGAAAAAAAAACACATCGTCCACCATTTGTATCCGCCAGCCAATTGATAATTCCATTTGATTGTGAATATTACACAGTGGAAATTGTGTTTGAACGAAAAATAAACACAATTTAATAAAAGGCAATTTAAATGTTGGGGTTTTTCCTGGTGCTGTCATGAATTGGGAGGGTGTGTGGAATATTTTAAAATTGAATTTCAATTTTCTCTACAATATTGCCAGAGATTCAATGAATGGAAGGCAAAGCTTCAGCCGTTCAATGAATTTTCCGCTAAATTTATCAAATTGCTCAGGCACACAGAATTTATGGGCTTTATCCAATTGAACAATTCCTTTTGAAACAGACATAACAGTATTTTTTTGCAAATCGCACTTTATGTGAAGTTGAAATTTGAGCCCAAAACAACTTCACTCTTCCCTAGAAATTTATCGTGATGTTTAATTGAACATTACCGCGATATTAAATTAATTATTCGGCGAAGTTGTTCAGCTTTATCAACTTCAGCAGAACTTGGCAAAGGCGCCTCGAAGCTCCGCGAAGTTGCGACGCCGTCGGGAGTGGATTTGGATTCATGACAGAGAGATGAGTAAAAATTTGCTCAAAGTTCGCAATTCGGCGGCAAAGGTGGGAAAAGTGAGGGCCGAAAAGAGTCTAAATTCTAATGGAAAATAGCACCCAAGGGGAATTAGGGCAATTTTCTCTTCCACTTTTGAGATTCCCCTGAATATTTAATGCCCAGAGTTTTCCTCTTCCGCCTAGCGCAGCGCCGGGCGCCACGGGAAAGAGTGGTAAAAATTGCAAATTTGTTTTCGCCTCTAATTGAATTAATGCGTGGAAATCTCGAGCAACACCTTCCGCACCGGTGCGATAATTGCAAATAGAGGCTGAGAGCACTTGTCTCGGCACTGAGTTGCCTCTGGGCTGGGGCCTCAACCCACTCCCACCCCCTCTCGACAGCCCGACAATCTCAGGGTGTGTAATTAATTAAGTGAAGATGTTTTTAATCCCGGGATAAGTTGAATGTGCGTCCCGGAGACGACGCCGAGGGTGGACGTGATAAATGAATATTGAGCTTTTTGCACGTCCATAAAAATCCTCCAATGTAGATTATTCCATCACCTTCCGAGTGCGGGGCTGGGCGGCCTAGGAAGTGGGTGGTAATGGCAGCATAAATTCTCCGCCACTAACATTCTCCGATTTTATTGAGCAACAGCGACGAACCTGACGCGAAGCCCTTCTGAGAAGTCATTTGAGTCTCGTTCAAGGTGGAGATTTCGCCCTCGTTGGGTTTCCATTAAAGGATTATTAATTTTCGGGGTGAATTGAGAATTAAGGGTGGATGTTAAGTAAGTTGCTTCTGTTTGAAGTCAATTAATCGCCGCGGCGTTGGAATTTTACAAGAGTGTCGGATTGAGTTAAATAATAACCAATTATATGTAGTCTTGAAGTAATTTTAACACTTAGTTAAATACAGACTTTGGAAGACTGAAATTTTCTTTTATATTAATAATACATATTTTTAAAATCCTTTCGCAAAAGCAAATTCTGGACACAACATAAAAATTTTCAATTTATAGAGGCTAAATTTCCTTTATATATAGCAATCATAGTACGACAATCATTCTTAGGAATCTAATCAGCTAAACTCTCTCCTGTTACAGGAATTCTGTTGGCCAGCCAGAGTCCGCCGGTTTCGACGCCTCTGGAGCCTTGTCGAGTGGCTCCTTACGTGAATCTTCCTGCTCTTCGCTGCTCCTCTGGCGCAGCCGCCTCGCAGGCCTCCAACACGGTCCACTTCACGACTTCCGCCGCCTTTTCCGCCTTCGATCCGGCCCTCATGACGGCCGCTCACCAAGTCAGCGTCACAGAAAGACTCTTTTTGGCTCGAATCTGATAATTTTCAATCTCTATTCCACAGTATGCGGCTGCAATGACGGGTGCCGTGGTGATAGGCTCCAGCTCGGGCCTGGCCAGCAGCACGGAACTCTTCAGGCTGTCGTCATCCTATCCGCTCAGTATCGCGGCCATCGCGGCGGCGCACAGCAAGAACTCCAGCATAGCAGATCTGCGACTGAAGGCCAAGAAGCACGCCGAGGCGCTGGGCATCGAGAATGCTTAAGAAGATATTTGAGAGTGAAAATATACTATTAGAACTGTGATTTTTCAATTGAACAAATCTGGGTTTTTATTCTTGGCGGGCTGATGCCTTCGGTGTGTGTGTGTCTCTGCTAAAGCTGTCCGCGCGCTCTCGGCGCGATGTTTTCCAGCGCGCAAACCAAAACATAGAAAGGGGACCCGAGGCGAATATACGCAACCGTCGGTGTTGTGACAAACAGGCAAAGCAAAACAATTTTCCCTCTCGATATTAAATGGTGAAATTGATCAATTTCCTAAGGAAATCCTGTAAAGTATTGGCAGACAATGCACCAAAAATGAAATACCTCAACGTGGCGGAAAAAAATGATGCTGCGAAGACGATTGCGAGTCATCTTTCGCGGGGCTCATCAAGCAGAGTGAGTGTCCTAAGAAGTGTGGTTATGTTTTGTAGAATTCTTGGAATTCCTGCTGAGCTATCCTTATTTTCAGCGTGATGGGCTGTCCGTGTACAACAAAATTTATGAATTCGACACCATGGTGAATGGGACGAATGTCCGGATGGTGATGACTTCAGTGTCTGGTCATCTCATGACGCATGAATTCTCTGCGGCTTATCGGAACTGGCGAAATTGCAATCCTTCTCAGCTGTTCGATGCTCCAGTGTCGAAGATCTGCCCTGAGGACAGCATGAAGATCAGGCAGACCCTGGAGCGGGAAGTGAGAGGCGCCGCTGCACTGATAATCTGGACGGATTGTGATAGAGAAGGGGAGAACATTGGATTTGAGATTATAGAAGTGTGCCGGAACGTGAAGAGCAACATCACAGTGTATCGAGCGAAATTCTCCGAAATCACAGCTGCCTCCGTGAGGCGCGCTCTGAACAACCTAGTGCAGCCGGACGAGCTCCAGAGTCAGGCTGTGGATGTGCGGAGTGAGTTGGATTTGAGGATAGGAGCGGCTTTCACGCGCTTCCAGACAATGAGACTACAGCGAGTCTTCGATGGCATCATAGACGGCCTGGTGTCCTACGGAAGCTGTCAGATCCCCACTCTGGGCTTCGTGGTGCAGCGCTACAAGGAGGCGGAGAACTTTATAGCCGAACCTTTCTGGAAATTGAAGTTGACACACACTGTCGAGGATCTGACGGTGCATTTCAACTGGGCGCGAAATCGGCTCTTCGACAAGAAGTGCTGCGAAGCCCTCTTTAATCTGGTAAAGCGCGAACCGCCGCTCTTGGCCACGGTGCTGTCTGTGACACAGAAGCCGAAGACCAAACTGAGGCCACAGCCCATGGACACAATTGAACTGGAGAAGCTGGGTTCCAGGAAGCTGAAGATTTCTGCGAAGCAAACAATGCAGATCGCCGAGAAGCTGTACCAGCAGGGTTACATCAGCTATCCGCGCACAGAGACCAACATATTCTCCAAGGACATCAATCTGAGGCCTCTGGTGGAGTGTCAGACCGCTCATCCGGCGTGGGGAGAGTTTGCCAGGCGTGTGATGGATTGGGGACCAAATCCACGGAATGGGAAGAAGTCCGATCAGGCGCATCCTCCCATTCATCCCACAAAGTTCACAGCCGGACTGTCTGGGAATGAGCAGCGCGTGTATGAACTGATTGTCCGGCACTTCTTGGCGTGTGTGAGTCGCAATGCGACGGGATCGGAGACACTGGTGAATGTGGAGATTGGCGGGGAGGAGTTCAACGCTAATGGACTGATCATCTTTGAGAGAAACTACTTGGATGTGTACATCTACGAGAACTGGAGTGATCGTGAGATTCATCGCTACGAGACTGGCACGAGTTTCGAGCCCAGCAGCATTGAGATGTCTGAGGGGAAAACCACAGCGCCGCAGATGCTGACGGAGGCGGATCTGATTGCCCTGATGGAGAAGCACTGCATTGGCACCGATGCTACTCACGCTGAGCACATCAACACCATCAAGGAGCGCGGATACATTGGAGAAGTGGAGAATGGGTTTCTGGTGCCAGGAACCTTGGGCATGGGCCTCGTGGAGGGCTATGACGCCATGAGCCTCAGTCTGGCTCAACCGCAGCTTCGGGCGGGTCTCGAGGCGGACCTGAAGGCGATTTGCGATGGAGCACGACAGCCTAATGTGGTGCTCAAGGAGCAGATTGACAAGTACCGCGAGGCCTTCCGGATAATCACGGAGAGGGCACAGATGCTGGACGAAAAGGTGGGCTTCCGCTTCAACTCGACACCACAGCAGAGCGCGGAAATGCCTGATCCTTTGGTGATTGAGGAAGTCTTTCGCTGTCCTCGCTGTCGATCAAATAAGATGGTGCTGAAGAAAAAGACCAATAACACTCCCTTCATTGCCTGCACGGACAATCCGCGGTGCAGGACTAACATTTGGCTGGAGGACTTCGTGAAGGAGGCCAAAGTGTCGCCAGAGAGCTGCCGACATTGTGGTCCGGACGTGAAAAAGCTCACTTTGAAGTTCAAGCAGCACACCAATGCCATGATATTTCTCGATATCGATTCGCCAGAGTACACGAGTTGTCTCCTCTGTGATACCAATCTGAAGAACTTCTTGAACATTGACATAGAAGCTCTGAGCAGAGGAGACGGCGCTGGGAGTAGCTCTCAAGGAAGAAGCTTTGGGAGCTCTCAAGGAAGAAGCTTTGGAAGCACTGCCGGCAGTGTTGCGCCTAGAAATATTCCTGCACCGTCTAGGAGTCGTGGCAGTCAGGGAACGACGAGATCCACAACTTGTCCAAAATGTTCCCAGCAACTGAAAAAGTGAGAGAACTTTTGAGTGGGAAATTTTATTAATTTGACTAATATTTTGACTATTTTGCAGGCTCACTGTGCGAAAGGACGGTCCAAATCAGGGGAGGGAGTTTTACGTCTGTCCAACGCCAAATAATCCATGCAAGACGTTCATCTGGGCTGATGAAATGCCAGAAGCGGACTTTGTGAGGGATTCACCTCCGCGCCAGAGAGCCACGAACGGTCGAACTGGAGGAAGCAATGCACCCGGACGTCCCAGAGCCAAGAGAAAATGTGCTCTTTGTCGTCAAGAAGGACACACGAGAAACAACTGCCCGGATCATCAGCCAAACTAGAGAGAAGTTTACGGGTATGTTGAGTAATTGCTATGAATTAAACTCGTTAAACGATTTCCGGGGAGAAACTCACTGAATAATCATTCACCCTTCGAGGGGTCTTTCGCAATTTCACCACTTTTTCCCATTGGCCGGTGCGAAGAAGGGTGAGAATGGGCGGGTCCGTTCCACAGACACGAGTAACTTCCCCTCTATTGAGTGTCTGATTGTGAATTGGGAATAATTTTTTACCAGTATCAATAAGAGATTTGTTTTTAATTGTTTTACAATAAAGATTATATTTTGCCAAATGTTCTCTTCAATAATCACGGGGAAATTGCCGGAGATTATCTGCGTAATTTCTCAGTGGTATGATTTTGTGGACATCATTGCGCATCGCATCCGTTTTACTAAGCGGGGTGGAATCTCATGGAGGATTTCAGGGGTAAGACTCGTGCCACTTCCCACTGCGGAAACCACTTATTTCTGCAATTTACATCCATCATTTTTCCTGGTCAAACGCGATTTGATCGTTGACGGTGACGCTCGTTTAATGTGTGAACAGCGCACAATTCCCAAGTATAATTGCACAATTGGCCAAATGGTGTGTGACAAGATGTGCCGATAGATTTTGAGAGTGGCGGATAAGATGGCTCTGCACCTGACGGAGAAATTACCTGGAAATTCTGGATTGGCCAAGACGCCCTTTCTCATTGAGGACATTCTCTACCAGAGCAGCAATGGCACAACGAAGGGCGCCGCGAAGAGTGGCCATCAGAAGCAAGTGAACTGTGACAGTGAAGCAGTGACTCAGGTGCATTTGTTGAACGGACGCGACGAGGATTACCATAAAGTGGCGCAAAGTGATAGGTGAGTGAGTTCTTGGGCCTGTGCGTGATGTCGCTGGCCAGTAATCCGGCCCTGTGGATACTTGCAGATACGCCAGCATCAGTCACCAGCCGCCACCGCCGCCCGCGTACGCGTCCATCTACCCACCCACGACGGCTCCCTACGGCGAGGGCTACCTGCAAATGGCTCTGGGAGCCTATCTCACGCCGTCGGCGAGCGGCTACAAGAGCGTGGATCCCTACTTCCTCTCACAAGGTGGGTGTTTCTAAACGAAAAGCTTTCTCGTGATCGAATCACGTTTAATATGGGAATTTAAGTCTATCTTTCGATCTGACAAGGACTGATATTCTCACGTCTATTTCGTTTTATTCAGAAGGTTCCAAGATTTAAGTTTAGTATTCATTTAATCTCAGTGTTACAGCATTAGCAAACTGGGATGTTTTTCCATAAAATTGGACTGAATTTAAGAACTAAGTCGAAAGAAAAACATGCCTGTGAAAAGTGTTTTTTTAGTGATTGTTACTTCATTACGGTAGAATTTGTAGTGATAGAAATCTCTCAGCAAATCCTGCTAGAGAAGTTATTAATAGAATTTTTCACTAACATGAATCTGATTCGATTTTATTTAAAACGTTCATCCCACTACATTGGGAAGAACTTACCGACATTTCAACGTATGGTGGAAATACTCCTTAAGGTCAGCTTATGAATTCTCACTGTTCTGGATATGTTTCACTTTATTCACATACGAAATTCAATGATTTTTAGTACTCAAAGAAAATCTTGAGTGGTTCTTTCATTCGTTCTACGATGCCGTCTATAGGAATAATCATTTTTCTGTACTTCACTTAAGATTAAGATTAACTCTGCTGTCAGTCTTGCTGTTTCTTTTTGCATTTAACTTACCTTTCCCAAAACTTGTGATCATTGGAATACAAGTTAATTACAATTTTTCCAACGTACGTGTAAAATTCAATTATCGCTTGCAAGTGACCAGAGAGCTTGATTGAATTACCAAACTTTCTCTCTGTGTTGTGCAGAAATTGGTGTAAACCACTAAAAATGTAATTTTCCTCTCCTGCGTGGGGAATCATTCAGGAATCTTTGCCGGATCACCACTCTTCCCAGGCAACGGCTGTTCCGATTTGGCGCTGGGCCTGGGAATGGGCGCTCTGAGGCACTGTCGCCGACGGAAGGCGCGGACGGTGTTCAGTGACCCTCAATTGACAGGGCTTGAGAAGAGATTCGAGGCTCAGCGATACCTCTCGACGCCTGAACGCGTGGAACTGGCCTCGGCGCTGGGCTTGAGTGAGACACAAGTGAAGACGTGGTTCCAAAATCGACGCATGAAGCACAAAAAGCAGCTGAGACGACGAGAACTCAACTCATCTTCATCGTCTGGTAAGTGTGAGTGCTCCTTCTCTGTGGCCATGCAATTGACTTTCATCTTTCATGCCATTGAACTCTCCTCCTCCGCAATCTTGTCCAATTTTCCTTGGCCATCGTCTTGAAAAGTTGCCACACCAAATTAAATTTCAGCAATTTAGCCTCGAAGATGCGTCTCCCGGTGAGATGAAAGTTTTCCAACCCCCTTCACTGAGATACTCAAATTGGCAACAGCGAGAAATTTTCTTGAGGACAAACTTTCAATTGAATTATCTTGTGCTGAGGAATACCCTTCCACTCGGCGTCTCGTTATGACTTTTTCTCTGGGGTGGATTTTGTGACATTCTCGCTTTTTGTTTCCTCCTCCGCAGAGCCCATGGATTTCTCGCGAAGTGAGAACCAGCAGAGCGGCAACAGTGCTCCGAATCAATTCCACCATCAGCAGGGCAGCGAAGGGAGCGCAGAGGCGAAGAAAGCGGGCGAAAAGGGTGGATTCATGATGTATCCACCGTCAAAGGACATTTACCAGGGCAGCCAGAACAACAACAATATGTTTGAGAAGCTGTGTGATTTCCGGGCGGGAAAAGGCAATCCGACTGAGAATCTCAGCGATGATGATTCAGACGATGATGGCAGCGATGTGGACATTGTGGGTGACATCAAGAGTCAGAATATCGGGTAGGTGTGTGATCACTTAGACGTCCTTTCTCACGGAGAAATGCTCAAATCTAGGAATTTCCCAATCGATCATTTCTAAACTGCTCAACCAGAGCCCCAAAGATACTTCTTCTCTTGGCAAACACAGCACATTCTACGCGTGTCCAAGAGATGAAGTGCAACACTTCACAAAAATATAGTAACATTAGATGCAATCTCACTCTTTCAGAAGTTCTATATGAGTCAAGGGGGAGATAATATATAGTCAGAAGTGATGTACAGCTCATCGTAGCTTCTTTTCCTGGAAAATGATTCCGATTCAAAGGAATTTCCTTTGATTTTCTTCTTGACGAATCAAGGACAGATTTATTGAATAATTCGCATTCTAGCACATCAATTCTAATGCTGAAGTTCGAAAGATTGCTAGTCATTGGTAGAATTAAGCATTTGCATGCGATAAAATTGCTATTCTGAACCTCGAATCCCAAGAAACACTGCAAATTTTCTTGAGTGCTGGAAATCTTCGGAAGTGGTGTACAGATTTAATGCATATTATCTTCCCCTTGATGTGAGTATAAGAAAAACTTAAAGTATATTCTGTAAGCTGCATAAAATACAATAATGTGTACATGATAATAGTTGAGATAAGTAGTGTGTAATGATGTAAAAAGGTGAGCCAATTTTCAAAAAAATATTATACTAATAGATGAATGATATCCAACGAAATTCATCAAATTGCCTTTTTTTGCCGCAACGCGCGGATCATCGGCGAAGGATGCGGTGGGGTGTGGGGGTGGGAGAGGAAATCCTCTGCCATTATCGCATCCACACACAGTGCCAGAGTGCGTTTCCATAGTGACTCCAATCCAAATATCCGAGAGCAACAGTGGAGAAGAATTTCCACGTCGGGATCAGGCTGCTGATGTGCGCTTTTTGGAGCAAAAGAGGGCGGAGTCTTGCGCTTTTCCCATCTTTCTCTGACTGCCAGAGAGACTAAATCCCCCTTTTCATCATGGTCGTTTTTCCTGAGCTGTGTGGCGTCGCGAGGGTGGGACGGAATTACAATGAGGTGAGCATATTGCCATTGATTTTCCACCCCAAACTCACCTCCTCGCATCCTTGGGCAATTTCCTACCCAGCAAATGAAGCCAATTGAGACGCTGAAAGATGAGAGAAATTCTGTGGGGAGACTCAAATGATGGGAGTTTGTGGCAAAATTATAACATTTTCAAATTGCCTCGAGCTGGAAAGTTTAACTGGGAATTATCGCTGGTTGTGCAGATTGAGGATTTTTTCATCAAACTGGAATTGTACTTTGTTTATTTCTATGTTCACGTACGGAAATTTATAACCAGATAATTCGATAAGGGAGGACACAGTTTAAAGTGAACGGTAATATTTCATCCCTCTTCTTTAGCTACATTAGATAAAATTGCGTCCCTTTGTGTTGACATTTATCATAAAATCATCCCCTTCTCTTGCATCCTGACTGCAGTGAAGAATGCCAATATTGCCGATAAGAATCTTCTCAGTCAATTAAATAGTTCTCTCTCTGGACTTGTACCATGTAATCACTGACATTTAGCATTTAAGTGAATTGTAAACTTCCCCCGTACTGGAGCGCGCCCCTGCTAAATGAGAGGAAAGTGCTGTGTTACAGGCCGTGGCAGTAAATCAAATCATCTACCATTTAATTTAGATGCTTAATATGTCGCTGGATCAGCACAAGGGACGCTTGATTGAGTCTTCTTGTGATGATTGAGAACAATCAGAGCGAGCACAAAGGTAATTTCCCTCGAGAAAGGGTTGCACTACCCTCAATTATCACAATTTCAGAGTGACTTTCACTCGGACATTGAAGTGAGACATGGAAATTTCTTCTCATTCCCGCGATTTTGGTCGATAATCCCAAATCGCCGACCCTTAATTGACACTAAACACACCCCAAAGAGAGAGAGAGAGATTATCGTCATTAGGCGGGCAATTTGATAGTGGATCCGTTTTTTTTCTCCTTTTTCAACATCGTGACTTAAAAAAGCAAAAGGGCACGCTTTCCGGATAACATTGCCGCAAATCGGTGCGACGTCCTCCTCGGATTTCCTCCCGGGTTCATGTGGGCGAGAGCGGCGGCGGTGCTTTTTGCGCGGTGGCCTTTGTCTTCCCTCGGGCTCGGATTGCACGGCATCACGAGGCCGCTAATTGTGAAGAGCTGTCGGATGAGCGTCACAGGCTCTTCATCACAACTGACGACAGCGAGAGGATCTGGGTCACGCAGAGGATGTCATCTTGTGTGAGGACGCTAAGAGGACAGACTTCCCAATTAGTGCGCCAAGTCGTGAGATGCAGATTCCGCAGCCAAATTGACGAGAATCTCCCTCAATCCGCCGGCATTCCCAACCCATGCAATCTCGCTGGCTTGCTCGCCAGATTCACGGAGATAGAGCACGTGGACTCAATTAGTGTTGGCAAACAGTAAATTGCCTTCGATGGGAAATTACCCAGACAGAGATGCCATCTTGAGTCCCTTCCGTGCTGAAAGAATTCAATTAATCGAAACAGGAAATTGTTTCATGTATCATGCAAAAGGGCTCTGAAGGTTTTCTGCATTGTTGTTTAAAATGTGGGTAATTCCATTACATCTCAATCTTAATTACTTTATAATTACATTGCAAATTGATAAGGATTTCCGTACATAAACTCTCCGTATTAACATTGATCGCCTGGAAAATCAAATGATTTTTTAATCACATTTATCTCGATATTTGTGCCTAAATCTCAGAGCTCAGCTAAATAAAGGATTCATACTGACTCAGAAGTGAAAAAATCGCACAAGCAGAAAAGAACAAGCATTCAATGGATGTGGAAAGAGAAAGGCGTCGTCAGGAGTTTCGGAATACTGGTGAAGAAATCCTTGGTATGACTGAAAATTTGGAGTTTTCTGAAAAAATCCACTTTGCGCTGTGGATCCGGAAGCTATGCAGAACCGCACGGAGGCAAAGAGATCTGAAACTCGCGCTGGACTATATGAAAGTCCTTAAGATTTATCTCCAGAAGATCCCAGGCAACGAGTTTTTGGCCAATGTATTTGAAGTGAAGCCAACTGAAGAAAAATTGCCACCACTTCCATGGATTTATAGAGAAAAGTTCTTCAGCCAGACGAGCGATTTGCAGGATTTTGGAGACAACTGAATCCCCAACCGAAATCGCAGGGAAAAATCGTATTTTCCTTGTAGAAATCCTTTGGTTCAGAAACATATTCAACAGCACAAATAGGTTTTTACAATGGCACAAATTAAAGTAATAAAATAAGGTAAAGTGAATTTTTCTTTGGTGATTTCACGACAAAATATTTGTAATTTTTGCAAGGGAATTCTCATCGCAGCTTGGCGTAATTTTAATTAAACGTCTCTCTTGTCTGGTGAAAATATGCATCAAATTCTTGTTTGACTCCACATGAACGCCAGCATTCGCGGCTCTCACCGTGGCGCCTTAATTAGTGTTCACTTCGCACACCTGTTCTAAAAGGATTATCATCTGTGCTGCGCTTAGTGTGAGTCTCTGGTGTATTGTGGGGGAAGATGTCATCAAAAGTGTATTAAATCTAATAATCAGAGGCACAATACGTTCCGTAAATGTCTCCTTATTGCCTCGCCACCTCTTCTGAAGAGGGAGGATTACAGATGGCAAAATCAAGTGGCGGTTCGCTCGAAATTGATGTGATTTTCGGCCTCTGCAGTGCGTGCGTCTCGCGATGGAATGGGAGGACGTCGGAGTTTTGAAAGGGGGAGATTTGATCTGTGCCTCCGGCACAATGTAAGTGCATGCAAAATTGTATTTATGTTGGTAATAGACGGTAATTGAACACAAAATTGACGTCGTTTGTGTAGCAATTTTTATCCTTTTGAAATCACAACCAAATCAATTCGAACTCTCTGGGACTCTTTTCATTCACGCCCTCGCTGTTGAACGTTTGCCGAACGTGCCCGCGTGAAATAGGTAACGAAATAATAACTCCACATATTCACCGAATTATTGAATTATCTTCGAGGCCGACGTTCTATTATGCGGCTCTTTAGTGCTCTTGAAAAGGAGCACAAAAGGAGAATCGAACATTTTTCACAGAGGGACATTTGCGGAGGAGTTTCGCGCGGAAAAATTGCTTTGTCCTGCCCTTTAATATAATTTTCATCATTTTCGCGATGTACACGTCGGGACTTTATTGGTTTGATTAAATTTGAAAAATAATTGAAGCGAAATAAATGAAATTTTTCTGATATAAATACATCGCAAGGATAAATAAGATGCCAGGAAACTCATTATGAAGTCTCTTGATGCTTGTAATAAATCAATTAGATGAAAATTAGTGATGACTGTCGTTATGAAAACCATTTTAAATAGAGAATGCTATGTTTTTCACACGGCCGGAATTTAAAAAAGCTTTTCCTATCTCTACATTGGGGGCGCTTTACATCGAATCCTCGTCGATTTGACAGATGATTTTCTCCTCAAAAAGTGGCAGCAAGTGTATATCGTAAATATCCTTAAAAGTACTCATATATCCTTTTGTGTGAGTTAATTTTGAGCTACAACCAATTCAGGATGTTCCGTTCATCAAATTTCGAGAAGCTTTTGGGTGAGAATTGTTGTGGAAGGCAGAAAAGTGACTTGCAAAAATTGGAACAATCACTAACATTTTTCCCTTATTTTTCATGATTTCCACGAATTCTGGCCACTTCCTGGACAGACAATGCCACGAGCCACCTTCACCTGGAGCCGGACTGGCCGTCCATCATGATGATTTGCGACCAGATCAGGCAAAATGACATTGCGTACGTGATCGCGACCCAGACAATGGAGTCTCGCCCATGAACCTGAAGTGTCTCAATTGAATCTCTCTTTCCCAGGCCCAAGCAAGCCATCGCGTCTATCAAGAAGAAGATGCTGTCCCCGAATCCGCACAGCGCCATGTACGCCCTGATTCTGCTGGAGAGCGTGGTGAAGAACTGCGGTGAGTCAGTCATGAGTCATTGGCTCTTATCTGTTCCGCAAGGTGACTGACCGTCGTCTTTCGGCCTCTTCTAGGTGCCCCCGTGCACGAGGAGATCAGCACCAAGGTGAATTGCGAGATGTTCACGAACCTCGTGAACAACACGCCTCACGAGAATGTGCGCAACAAGATGTTGGAATTGATCCAGTGTTGGGCTTATGCTTTCCGGACGTCTCAGAAGTACAAGGCAGTGAAGGTGAGCAAGAAGGGCTTAGAGATCAGCTAGAGGAATTGATTTCACGAGGAATAGTCGTGTTTATGCAATAATGTGAATCGCATTGTTAAATAGTTAACGACTGATCTATTGATCTCCCTTGATAAGGGAGAGTCTGGAGTGGGAATCAGACATAAACAGTGCTTTATGACATGTTTATTCCCTCACGTGTCTGTTCTAAAAGCAATTCATTGACTTTAAACTCCATTTGAGGTCACTTTATCTGTAATCCCATTAAAACGACGACTGTCGACATTGAGACGAAGTCTTTTCCACCTGATAATTGAATTATCACACTCACAAGAGCAGTTCTGCTTGGAATTCGCTGTGAAGAGCATGTGAAAGTGACTCTCTCTCTGTACTATTTCAGGATACTATGACCATCCTGAAGCTGGAGGGGCGACACACTTTTCCCGAGCTGAAGGAAGCCGACGCGATGTTCACTTCTGACACTGCGCCTGATTGGGCGGATGGCGATGTGTGTCATCGCTGCCGCGTGACATTCTCATTTACGCTGCGCAAGCACCACTGTCGCAATTGTGGGCAAGTGTTCTGCAACCAGTGCTCCTCCAAGACGTGCACACTGCCCAAGTTTGGGATTGAGAAGGAGGTGAGAGTGTGCGAGGCGTGCTTCATGCAGCAGCAGCAGAAGCCAGCGGGCGCCAAGCCGGCCGGTCGTCCGGCGGAGAGTGATTTACCAGCTGAATATCTGGCCAGCTCGCTGGCGCAGCAGACGCAAACGCCGCCACGGAAGACGGACCAGGAGCTGCAGGAGGAGGAGGAATTGCAATTAGCACTGGCTCTCAGTCAGTCGGAGGCTGAGAGCAAGGTAAAGACGACTACAGCGGTGCGTCAGTACACCAAGAGCCCGAGTCCTGAGGCTCCAGTGAAGCACAATCTGAGTCCCACTGATGATCCGCCGTCGGATCCTGAGCTTTCGCGATACCTCAATCGCAACTACTGGGAGCAGAGACAGCCGGTGACTGAGTCTCCGGCCAGTCCGTCGGCGCCGAGCTCAGTGCAGAGCTTGCCGCCGGTGAAGGTGAGCGCCGAGGACACGGAAATCGATGACTTCTCCAACACGATGAAGACACAGGTGGAGATCTTCGTGAATCGCATGAAGTCCAACTCGAGTCGCGGCCGGAGCATCTCCAATGACAGTTCCGTGCAGACGCTCTTCATGAACCTCACGTCCTTCCACTCGAAATTGCTGGGCTACATCAAGGAGATGGACGACAAGAGGATGTGGTATGAACAACTGCAGGACAAGCTGGCGCAGGTGAAGGACTCTAGAGCGGCGCTCGATGTGCTGCGACAGGAGCACCAGGAGAAGTTGCGACGCATGGCGGAGGAGATGGAACGCCAGCGGCAACTGCAGATGGCGCACAAGCTGGAGATTATGCGGAAGAAGAAGCAGGAATATCTGCAGTATCAGCGTCAGTTGGCACTGCAGCGCATTCAAGAGCAGGAGCGTGAGATGCAGCTGAGACAGGAGCAGCAGAAGGCGCAGTACATGATGGGGGCGCAGAGCTTCCCATACATGCCACAGAACGCCGCGCCAGCCAATCAACACGGTTCCCCAATTCATCAGATGGCTAATCAGGGTGTCTATCCGCCCTATGGCTTCAATCAGATGCAGCGCTTTCCGCCTGGAGGCAATCCAATGTACGCGCCTGGACAGAATCCTGTGCAGCAGATGGTGAAGCCTCCGCAGCCCGGGCAACAGCCTCAGCAGCCCTTCATGGCGCCCCCGCAAGCACCCATGATGATGATGATGAATCCCAACACACCCATGCGTGAGTAGAATTTCTTGGGTGGGCGATTAGCACATCATTCGTGTGATAATTGCTGTCGGGAAACTTTGAGTTTATGATTCGTCTGATTGTTTTATGAGCCTCTGGCAATTTCTCTGGGTTAGCGCACTTTGTGCAAGAGAATTGTATGAGTATAAAGGCAAATTTATATACTTCCCATGAAGTGAATCGTGATTCTGAATCGTGAAGATGGTATTGACAACGCATAATTTGTGATTTTTGCCTTGATTCTCGGTGGAATTGCGACAACAGCGGGTCAACCCGGAATTGACATGACGAAAGGAGTGCCTGGTCAAATGGTAGCGCCGCCGATGAGTCAGGGAGGGGCTCCGCCGCCACCTCATCAGGCCGCGGAGCAGCAAATGCCACCGGCAAGTGGTGCTTTTCCACCTGGAATGCAGCCACCGAATCCACCACAGCAAGCGCTGCCGGGAATGCCGATGTCGGTGCCTCAACAGCCTCCGCAATCCAGCATGCCGCCGACTATCATGGCGCAGCAGCATCCGCAGATGATTCCTCCAGGTCCTCCGCCGCAGCAGCAACAGGCCCCAATTCCCCATCCAGCGCCGCAGCAGGAGAACAGTCCCACGAGTCCGGCCAAGACAGAAGTGAGCACAGCCGAGCTGATTAGCTTCGACTAGGTGACTATCGCGGTGTTTTACCAATAAATTATCATACTATTCGCTTGTCACGATGGCATTAGAGCCACACAAACTAAGAGATTCTCCATATTTGCGTATGATTCACTGTGGATGATGCTAAATATTTGTCCAATGTTCCAATCCACTGAACGCGATGTGGGTGAGATTAAAGAAAAATCACTTGTATTTGAATATTAAATGAAACATAAAGGTAAATTAAGTGCATTCATCCTGCACACGTGGCCGTGAAGAGGGAAGAGTGTGGCCACTTGTGTTTGCGCGTCGGTTAAAGCTGTGAACTTTTGCTCGTGGTATTTGTTGAGTTGGAGGTTTTCACAGGGGAAAGTCACTAGCCGATTTCTGAAGAATCCTTATGGTCTCATTTAAATATTTGAAAAATGAACATTTTCACAAGTAAAATGACAAATATTAAATATTTCGGCCACAATTCAACATGAATTTAAATATCAATATATTATGGTGGCAATTAGTTTTTTTCACGCTGAGATATCCATTTTTATTCATGTATGCCGTCTTAATGACCAAATATCAGTCTCATTAAAGTCTCCCAATCTTTCAGCGATAAGATAAGTGATAATGACTAGATAAGGGCTAATATCAGTGAAAATTCGAAGACATTGCACTTCTGCAGTGAAAAGAAACATGGCGCAATAAACTTAACGGTAGTGAAAAATCGGTGGAAGAAATGTTCTGCATAGAATCACACAATTATATCATAACAGCTAAGATCAGGGAAAGCTGACAAAGGAAGGTTTTGAAAACGCCGATAAATCTGTGAAAACAATCAAGTTTAAGTTTCTACGTGCCAAAAATGGTCAGAATTCATACACATCAAGTATTGAGTGCTTTGTGTGTGAACATATGCTGAAAGTTACAAGGAATATTCAAAATTAAAATAAAAATCACAAATATTAAAAAAATTATTGTATTCATAAAGTTAATGGTTGGAATTCACTAGTGACTTTCCCCTTGAGATTTTCCGGAGATGAATTTGTATGAGGAATGATTGTGGTTGCAAGCAAAGGGTTTGTTTTAGGAATTCCCGCCATTTCGCTATAGGAAGTGGACTAATCGGTCACTAAGGAGCACCGCAATTATATCTATTTTGCATGTTATTTCACGCATTAATGAGCGAGTGTATTTTTCACAATGTGAATTGTATGTAATTTTCCAGGCGCATCTCCGTCATTATTGCGGTATCTTAACTGCGGTTAATTGCAATGCTTAACCATGAAGACGATTTTGGAGTGATAACAGTCGAATTCACACGGAAAACTTGTGTGATTTGGTCGGAAAATCTGTTGTGAAAGAAAATCAGTCGAAATGCGACAGTGTGGAAGGGGTAGAAAGTGGAGGAAAACAAACAGATCAACAGAGTCTGACTAAGCAAATATTGACAAATTAAATGTAATGCGGGATTGAATTATTTATTATGTGATATTTGCTCTCGAAGTGATTTTTTTTTGGTCTTCTTGTCTTGATTCTTTGGTGCAGAAGAACACTTAGCAGAACACGGAAATGCGGAGGTGCGGTTTTGAGGGTTATTTCTGTAAATTTGCCAAAGAGTGAAATGAACCTTTGAGTGCCGAACTCGAGACGAAATCTTCCTGGAAGACTCGTCTCAAGTGAGGATAAAGTAACACAATCATAACAAATCTGCATTCTTGGTTGATTGTTTTAGTTTGCTGAATTAATAGGGAATACCATAAATTGATTGATTGTTTGAAATGGAAAGTGTTTTCCCAACGCGTGGGAGAATGAGAAGTTTTCCAGCGCTCTGCAGTCAATGAGCACATGAAAGAAACTAAAGTGAATACAATTCGGCTTTTGCCTCTGTTTCGCAACACAATTCCAGTAGTGTCACTTCTGAGCGGAATGCGATTGAAGAGTTGTTTACAATCGAAAGTAAACTAGACAATTCACAATGATTTTTTGCTACTTTGCCCGCTATTGAAGCACTGCGATGATAAATGACAGAGAGATCACCTCATTTCACGGCGTGACGCATTTCTTTTGCTCGTAGAGTAATTTGCATACCGAGTTGGGAGTGCTGAGTGAAGGATTCTTCGTTGAAGGAGCGAATTGACTCGGCAGAGTTAATTAATTCGAGAATCATTGATGCTCAATGTTTCAACTGTCTGCGCAACACTGTGAACACTCAAGTCGTACTTGCTAATTAGAGAGCAAATTGTTTGTCTTTTCTGCACAATTGATCTCTTCGTGGCTCAATCAAATGCGGAGCGACGGAAAATTGTTCATTAAAAAAGTCCCCCGATGTTGATTGTTTCGGCAAAATAGAGGCCAAAGTGTTGTTGGTTCTGCATAAAATTGAGGTTCTCAAGATCACGGTCGAACTGCAAATTCCACGAGAGTTTACTTATACTTACAATCGCTATACTGCGGCTGTTATTGAGGGAAATTCCCATGTGTTAAAGAATTGCGAGTGAATCTGACGAGTCTTCAATCATTGTTTTTTGCTAATGATTTTATTACAAAAAATTTATTGTGACTAGATATTCGGGAAGCAAAAGTGAACTTATAGTTTTGTGGTTAAGTTTTAAATGTTTTCGTTTTTCCTTCCAATAAACAACAATTAACATCTTCCTTTCTCTTGCTGAAACTTGTGTGTTTACTTACTTCTTGGAAGTTCCATTCCCTTTGTGAGATCACACATGAATTCTAACTAGTTTTGTCTATAATGTGCTTCTCAACTTGTTGAAAAAATGCGCCCAATCATTTGCCAAATTGCTCTCAAACTTGTTTCCAAATGCGCGATGCGTGAAATGTTGGCGGGGAAAAAAGGCCATTAAAAGGTATCACAGCAAGAGTTAAGGTATGTTTTCTGACCTTGATCATCTTGAAGGTGTTTCTCAAAGAACAACTTTTTGTTCCAACTAATGGTACACGCCAAGACATGGCGTATCAATGCTGTGTGAGATGAGGAAGTGATTAGGTCAGTTTTGGTGCGTGCTTTCGAAATGATCGCGTTGAGGTCGAGAGTGAACTTTTCCAGCCACGAATTCAACACACAGGAAGCAGATAAAAATACTACACAAAAACTAATAGTGACAAAATGATATTTTGTATTGTGAATTATATTTTTTTTCTCGCATATCGGCGACATAATTTTTTCTTTTTCAAGTGAAATTTCGCAAGTAAAATTGCTTTGTGGTGATCATTGAAATGAGAAGTGAAAAAGATTGATCATTGTTCTACATGAAGGCCGTGAAGACAAAGGTGAGTATAGAGCGCAACCGCTCAATTTCGCATTTCATAGTCTGGAAATTTTACGAAATGGCAAAAATACATGGCAATTTTGCATGGCTTTCTTGTCGCCGCATGCTAAAGTGCAAGTTGTGGCAGAAAAAGCGTCGTGTTGAGCAAAAGTAGCCAGCATAATTCATGCTTTCGCGCGGTGGTGGGAGGAAGAAACCTGTTGTGGGGGGCAACAAAAGCTCCGCAGACACCCGAAATTGAAAGATGACCTCGCGCATGTCTAATGTTAGTCAATTGGTTGATGCAATTATCTTGAGCTTCGAGCGCTCTCAGTGCTCGAAAAATTGCCCAATTGCCTTGCGCAACGGCCTCGGCGTGTTCTGCCGCCTAAGAAAGGCCATTTGGCGATGGTGCAAGTGCAATCTTGCATGCGCTCATCTCGAACATCACTTCCTTGTTTGCATCTTATCGCGCTTGGAGTGTGTGGCATATTTGCCCGCGATTTATCATGATTTTCAAAGAGAACGCAGTCTTCCATCCAAACACACTTCATGCAATCAAGCGTCTATCGAGCTAATTGGCAATCGGGTTTGATGCTCAGCGAGTGAATCACAAAGGATCTTCCGTAAACAATAGACATCAGCAGTGTAAATAAATAAAATTCCCAATCAATTCTAGTGCAAAACCCATCCTTGGCTCGTTAATTACAGATTGTGAAAGGCTTTCAGCGCTATCTCATGGGATCTGTGGGATAAAATCCATCAAAATCATCACACTTAATTGACTGCCCTTTCGAAAGTACAATTGCACGATTTTGCTTGAAATTCTACTACAGACGCTGTGCCCTGTAATTTAGAGAAAGAGAATGGCTCGAGCAAGAGTGCAAAAGTCACACAACTTGGAAATGCTACTTTTATAATATACTCTTAGTGTGATGTTTAAAAATGACAAAAAGCTTCTTCTTAAATGAATATAGTTTGACATCTTTCTTCCCTTTTTGGTATTGAAAATTCTGACTGTAACACTTTAAAATAATTATTCTCAACCATTTCTTTGATGAATTTAAGAAAAACATGCCAAAAAACGTCTTATTTATCACAATTTACAGCAACAATTGAGGTGAATTTGGTTCCATAAATTGTTACACATAAAACGTTAAAGTGTTAATTATAAAAATAAATTCAAACACCTACTTGGCTTCTGTTTTGCAGAAGCTTTTTGAAGGCTTCTCTAAATCGATATCAATTGATTAGAAATTCACTGTTTCAATATTTACATCACCGCTAAAGAGCTTTGTTTTAAATGCAAAAATCTGACCTACTTCATAAAATATTGATAAGCTAATGTACACTTCAGTCCATATTTGCACTTCCCTTGAGAATTTCGTGTTTGTTGCAAAAATTCAAACACTGATATTCCTATTTTCCCTCTCTGACCTCTGTTGTTATCTGTAGTGAAAAATTTGCTGAAACAAATGCATTTCTCTAGGAATAGACGAGCCGAGAGCAATTTCTTATCATTTCGCCAGGCAAATATAGTTATTCACTGTAATGTCAGTATGACTTGGCGATAGTGAAACTTTCTAGAAAGTCAGACAATTGAGGTCCTTATTTTTGCTCCTCAATTGATATGAGGGAGAAATGATTGATCATGCGAAATGGGATCACAGGCCATTGGACGGAATTTGTGCTTCTTACTCCTGAGCGAACATCGCGGCAAATCGCCATGTGCATCGGTGGAAAAATGCGCACTCTGCGACTGCGACATCCAGCATCTTCACGTGATCATGTGACTGATATTATCCAAATTCCTCCCCGCGTGGCGCGTTCGTCGAGCAGAATCCCGCCAAATTGAGTGACGCGCGCGCGGGGATTAAGATTAATATGAAGATTGGACGACCGGCTATTTCTTACAATTTTCTCAACGCAGCGCAACACGTTCTGTGAGCCTCTTGGCGTCCAACTTGCTCAGTCGTTTTGCGTTTTCCGTCGTGTCGAGTTGTGTTCTCGCTGGCCAACAGTGCCAGTGAAAATTATGTGGACAAATTCCCTCAATTTACCATGCTTTATTGTCGTGTGACCAGTGCCTTGTTGAGTGCTTAGCATCCACAGATTTGTCAATTAAGAAGTGCATATTAAATACCATTCTTCCGCTGATTTACGGGGTAAAGTGTGTTTGTGATAATTCTCCATTAATCAATTGATTGACTGATAATGAATTAATTTGCTGAACAGTGGTGAAGAAAAGAATCTGTCGCGTTTTTCCACGGAAATATCAATAACAAGTTGCTAATGGGAGACAATTAAGTATTACTGGGAATTGATTTTGAAAACTTGATCATGATCTACAAGAATTTAATATAGTGATCTTGCACATGAAAAATTGTCACGAGCAACGTGAAACTCGTGCGTCTATCTTAAAATATGGCTAAGACAAAGAATTATGATTACAAACAATCATGGCTATTATTCATCGTGACTTAAACAATTTTCAGACAGTCGCATGTCCACTTTTCTCTCATATATAGTTCTTTTTTGGACTTTCCGAAGGCAATTCTGCAAGTTTACACGCAAAGTTTGAACTTTTTCCCATTTCTCAATGTCAGATCTCTTTGAAAGGAGATTTATCGATAACGATTCTTGGACGAAAGAACGCATTTATTTCTTGAGATGATTCTGAATATCTTAAGAAGTCGCATTCTTGAGCAGGAGTGTCACGAAAGCTTTTAAATATTTATTAAATTTTGACGCTAGACATCTTCAGTATTAACACTTTCATTCTAACAAGCACTAATGGTGAATAGGAAGACTTTAGAATTCCCATTTTTCACTCTCTGGGCGTGTGAAATATTTTCCACTCGGGAATTTTTCCGTATGCCAATTTCTCATGAATATTCCCGATGGAATTTCTATGACTTTCTTCCATTTAATTAATAAATCGTCCGGTATGAAAAATTGAAAAAAAACTGGAAATTTTATGGAAATTCCGCCCATCTGATTGTGTGCTATTGAACTTGAGGAGTGCATTGCAAATGTGTGTTTCTGTTGCATTGTGTGCAGTCAAGTGGATTCTATATGCATAGGAAAGTTGTGGAGAAAAGTGCGTGGGAAAGTCTCTCTTGTGTGGTTTCTTTTGGACAAAAAACTCTCATGTAGTCTGGAGAAAAAAAAAAGAATGGATAGTGTCATGGACAGCGCAGAACACGCACATTTCTCCTCGCAGCGCTTGTGGCTCTATGGGTGTCTTGTAATAAGTTCAATGACAACTTCAGGTTGTGCATTATTTAGTAAATTAATCGATACCATATTGATTTATTCAGTGTCTCATGAAAATTGGGTTGAAGACAGAGAGGGATAGACAGAAAAAGCGTCGCTCCAAGAGACACTCAAAAGACCAGCAAATTAATTTCCATTTACGTGGACATTCAGCTACCAGCTGGCATCGAAATCCGATTACTTTTTTCACTATATTTATCAGTGACGGAATTCTAATTTCCATGGCAATTGATTAGTAATTGTGGTTTGCCTTTTCTTACTGCCACAGTGTTCTCATTGCTGATTTCCCGCCAAAATGTCGCAGTGTCGAGATTCTGTGGACATTGTCTTCGAGGACGTGAAGTACTCAGTCGCGGTGGCCCGGCAAAAAGGTAAGAAAGATTCACAGAAGCCCAAGCGGGAGATATTGTGGTGTACAGATTTAATGCCTATTATCTCCCCCTGGCAAAAAGTAATATCTCCGATATATTCCGACGAGTTTGTCAAGACAGTGTGTCCAGCACTATGCCGGTTGCATTACTCACCGCGTGAAATTCATTATGCGAACGGGGCGAAATTGGGCGTCCTAGAGAGAAACTTGAGTGACCAGCAAAAAGGGAAATGAGTGTCGAGCCAACGACCCAATTCACGAGCGCAATGGCTATCAAGAAATGAATTTTCAAGAAGCAGAACTATACGATGAAAGAGTAAGCAAAGAGACAACTACAACCGCTGAAACCACTTTCCATTTTATTGTAATTTCCTCGTCTCTGGGTAATGTTGCATCACTGGAGCGAGACTGATTATGGCGTTGAGAGTGATGGCATCGGGTTTGTGGCAATGACATTGCTTGACTGAGTCGTCATTGAAGCATAAATTCACCTTTTTCGACGGAAAAGTGATAATTATTTGCTATTTCTCTTTCCCACATATATTTATCAGTGCCAAAGACGACGGTTGCAATGCTATTTGCTGAATACACGCGGGAAATTTACATAAAACCACCCGGTTTTGTATTATCGTCAAGATATTGTTTACATTCCGCACAAAACAAATATTTTGAGGAAATTTTCGTTTTCGGGTTTCAGCCAGTCTAATGGATTTGCCATTTTCTGAGGACTCCTCCTCGAAAAGTGTCTTATCTGAAACCGTAATAAAATTGACGGTTTTTGGAGACAAATTTAAATTATGTGCAGCATTGAATTAAACAGGATTTTTATCACAAACTATGACGTCATTTAAAAAACCCATGTCAGTGAATCTGCTTTGAATAGTATAATTCTGACTTTATTTTAAGAATTCCAGGCAAATTGAACACAAACAATTGACACAGCTTTGTAAATCGAACCATTGGAAGTCTATTAAAGAAGTCGATCAAGTGTGTAAAAGTCGATTCAGTGTAATAATTCATTAGAATTTACGCTTTGAATGCCTTCAAAACTGCTTTCAAAATTACAGTTGTTCACGCAGGCATTATGTCATAAGATTTAATCGCAGTACAACCTTGATAAAATTCGCCTCATCGCCGATACTGGTCAATTAATTTGTAAAATAGAGATCACATGAATTGTGCCAATAGCCCTCATGCTTCTTCAGATCATGCTCACAATTGATTTTTTCTCAACGAAAGTGGGTCGTATGATTTTTCAGCGCGACACACGTGCAAATTGAGCAAAAGAAGCGATCCCTGTGCGCTCAAGCTGCGCGATCGCGGCCATTGGGTCATTAGTCAGTGTCGGTTACCTTGACAGTAGTGCTGGTAGCAATGTTCTTATTGCGAAATGCAAGAGATCAACTTTGCCAATTGACATCTTTTTGCACACTGTGCAGTATTGAGGTTTGAAATCTTGTTGCTCTTGACAATTTGCCCACAGAAAAGAAGGAGATCCTGAAGAAAGTGACGGGAAAGTTCAATTCTGGTGAGCTTACGGCAATCTTGGGTCCATCGGGAGCGGGAAAGTCGAGCCTTCTAAATGTCCTGACGGGATTCATGTGAGTTTGCTCATCTTTCAAAGCACTTTCCAGCTCGAACATTAACTAATTTCGAATTTTGTCGTGGCAGAAAGCAAGGCGTTGAGGGCCATGTGATGTTCTCAGATGGCAAGAAAGCGGTGAAGCTGAAGAACAACCGCAGTTACATCCTGCAGGATGACAATCTCTTTCCTTGGTACACCGTGAATGAGACCATGATGCTCGCGTGCCAGCTTAAAGTCGCTAACGTGAGCCTGCAATCGCGTCAGAAAATGGTAATTAATTGCATCTCTTCCCTCAATTGGCCGACTAATTGCCATCTGTGACAGGAAGTGGAGCTCTGGAGAAAAAATCACAGACTCTGCTCGCTAATTACATGCGGGAAGTTGTTCTAATTTTTGCCGCACGTGGTATTAATCTCTGGCAATTCTCCTTGCAGATTGATAATATTCTCAAGACCCTCCAGTTGCTTCACACGAAGAACACGAGATGCAAAAATATCTCCGGAGGCCAGAAGAAGAGACTCTCAATTGCTCTTGAGCTCATCGACAATCCGTCTGTGTTATTCCTCGATGAGCCGACAACGTGAGTTTTCCTCTCGCGCGAGCAGCACTTCGACTTCCTCGATTATGCTGATGCCATTTAAATTAATTTCGTGACTGTGTGACTAACCTCAAGTCACGAAATTAATAGTTTCGGTGGTGGTGCAGAACTCAGAGGAAGTACACAATTATAGGGAGAACACTGATAGTGCCATTACAATATCATTAGGGCATGTTTAGTAAATTATTAGTAATTTCACTGGAAAATTTGTCGTCTGCGTTTGATGAAGATATAAAGTGTGTGTGTGGTTGGGGGGAGGAGGAGGGGGATGTAGAATTCCCATGCCGTTTAGCATCGCACAGAGAATTGAAATTGATGAATACAGTCGAGGTTGAGATGCGAAACTAAATGAATTCCCTCAGCAATACACATTGAAATGTCTTCAGGAAGACATCACACTGAGGTCTTAGTCACGCTTTTCTGCTTGAGGAAATTGTATATGGTTTCCCTCACTGAAAGATCAAGGATTATTTTGAGTTGTTCATCGCTTTTCTTGCACATTTTCTTTTCACTCTTTGTACGCATCGCGATGATCATCTAATAATTGACTCGCATTTGCAATTTCTTATGGGAGGGATTTTTTTCGTTCCCTCGCAGTTTCTGAAAGTCGAGGTCAGAATGAGCATCAGAGCGTTATTATAGGTAATAAACGATGGTTAGACGCAAATCAGCAAGATTATCGGAATTATGGGAAACTTTCGCACATTAGCTACTTAGCAAATCAAGTTTCGATTCTTTTACATTATGTATTGTCTACAGATTTAGCACTTTTGAGACGCACTCAGCGTCAAGCCAAAATGTTGGATGAAAAGCCATCCTCTGAATGGCTTGCATGTCAGAGTATTATCGCTGACAGAGCGCCTTAAATGTCATCCCGATGGGAATCTCTGTGTAATTGAATTCATTCTCTGCCCATGTGAGGGTGTTATCTGGCTATGCATTGTTCTGCTCCCGGTGCAGGATAATCATGGGCTATTCTCCTTTTTGCAGGGGCCTCGACAGTTCATCATCGGCGCAATGTGTGAGGCTGCTGCAGAATCTGTCACGCGAGGGACGGACAATTGTTTGCACGATCCACCAGCCATCGGCCAGCATTTACAACACCTTTGACCACGTCTATATCATGGCTGAGGGACATTGCGTATATCAGGGCAGCGCCAACAATACCGTGGCTTATCTCAGCTCACTGGGACTGCATTGTCCTCAGTATCACAGCCCGGCAGACTACAGTGAGCAATTGAATTACCTGACCATTGCATTCTTACGCTAAACGCACTGTCTTTTCTGTCTTTCCAGTAATTGAAGTCGCGAATGGAGATTATGGGAATTTTACACACACGCTGGCCAAAGCCGCCACGGACAATCGATGGCGATCCTCACAGCTGTGCATCATGGATAGGGCAATTGGAGAGAAGACCAATAGATCCAGCTTCGTCAGTGACAGCAGCAATAGCAGCTCGGAAAACACTCCCTCAACAACCTCCATCACGAGCAGCAAACACATCGAGAGACCCTCGGAATGGCACCGTCTGAGGATACTGATGTATCGCTGCCGGCTGCAGTGCTTCAGAGACTGGGTAATTGCAATAGACGCTGCAGTCAAGGCAGTTTTACACAAAAATACTCTTTTTACAGACTGTAACGCACTTAAAGGTCCTGTGTCATGTTCTGTGTGCGACTCTGATTGGCCTCATGTATGGCGATTCTGGCGTGAATGCCACAAAGTCCATCAACAATGTTGGCTTCCTGATAATTGGTGTGGTTTATCTGTGGTACACAACCATGATGCCGGGTGTCCTGAAGTGTAAGACAAGAGAAATTATTCGAGAAATGAGAAAAGAGTTGTAATTACACCATTTTTCTCACTCCTTCTGTTGCAGTTCCATCGGAAATTGCCGTTCTGAAGAAGGAAACTTTCAATGGGTGGTACAAACTGCGAACCTACTATTTCGCCACAATTGCAGTAATGGCGCCAATTCATGTAATTAATGCACTATTTCCCCCATTAGCCGTGAATATTTGCAACTAATGAACCTCCTTTTTTTCTATTACCTCCCCCCACAACCACCGGTTGCAGATTATGTTTGCCGTTCTGTACTCTGTGATAGCGTTCCTCATCACTCAGCAGCCCCTGGAGACGATGCGACTGTTCAAGTTCGTCCTCATTTATGCAGTCGCCACGATAACAGCGGATGGGTTTGGCATCTTCCTGGGCACGGTGGTTAATCAGGTGGTGAGTAATACACGGCAATGTCATGCAAGAGGCAAGAGTAATCGATATTTGCTCTCTCAGAATGGCACATTCTTCGGTGCTATTGGCACATGCTTCCTGCTGGTCTTCTCCGGCTTCCTGGTCATGTTCAACCACATGCCCGAAGTGATGAGGATTCTGTCCTACTTCTCCTTCAAGCGCTATACCCTTGAAGGCCTGGTCTTGGCCATCTACGACAACAACAGGTCCAGTCTGTGGTGTCCAGACACCGAGCTGTACTGCCACTATCGCAATCCCATGTACCTCATCAATGAACTTGGCATGACGCCCAAGAACTTCAACTTTGACCTCTCCATGATGATCATTCAGATGTGTGCCATCAAGACGCTGACGTACTTCACGCTCAAGCGCCGAATGACCAACTAGGGATAGTATTTAAGAGGACATGCTACCTATTCACCGGTTTCAGTGTGACTCACGTGCAAAGTGTGTGATTTGTATTAAGATGCCAACGTGATTTTAGTGAAATGTATAGATTTTTTGGACTTTCACTTTTTGTGAGGTATTTTTTTTTAATAAACGGAGGGTTGTACATATTTGCATTGTATCAGAGACACTCTCTCTCGAGAGAGAGAGCACTAATTTGAATCAACGTCACATGCGATGACTTGGCTGTGAAGAAACCATGATGACTGATGTGAAAATTGTCGAGAGAAAGAGAATCAATATTCATGAATGGCTTCACGTGGAAGCGATGCAGTTGAAAGTGGCAGGAACAATGGGAATTGAGCGAAAAGTCCTGCTGAAAGAGCAAAAGAAATTGAGTGTGGCAATTCTTCTTCGTTGGCGAGACTGTCGAAAAGGTTCACTGGGCGATGACTTTCAGAGAGCTTCTCCAATTTCTCAACCGAATCTAATTTTGTACATCATTAAGTGCATTTAGGGCAATTGAAAAAACTTTGACTTAGCGCGCGATGGGACAACCAATAAAATTTTATTGAATTACCTTGATATCCAGTGATATTTCACCTGCCAATTCCATGATCTCACGACGACAGGACTGGGAAATGGTTCCAGTGTTTAAAATTCCGTCCTCGCAGTCTCGTGCTAAATCCAAATTTATAGCATTTCCCCCTAATGTCACACTGTTCCACTTTGTTTTCATTTCACCCCACACCCAGCCGTCTACCCTCACTTCCCGTCCAAATTCATTTTCAATACATTCCTCTCCAGTCGATATGCCCCTCGTTCTCTGTGCCGCTTTTTTCTGCCATCCGCAACCATCGTTACACTGTCTTTCTGCATTTTCTGCAATTGTGCCGGGCGCAGTTCTTTCCTTTTTGCTGCCAAGCAAGACTCCCTTGATGGTCAGTCACTTGAAAGGCAGCACATTTTGCAGAACTGAGGGGACAACAGGGACGGAATTATGCTCAAATTTGTTGAATTGCAGAGAATTTCAATGTAACAATATTCGTAGATGGATTATTATGCGTTATTCTGTCTCAGGAGTGATTTATATAAAATCCAGTCAACAATAGAGCCAAACAAGAGCGTTTCCTGGCACAGGAATGCACTTTTTCATGAGTTTTCTCAAGCTTGAAGCTGTGAACCCCCTGACTGGCGATCGCACAGCACTGGACACATCTGCTTCGTTTATTCCGGCGGAACGTACTAAATAAACGAAAGGTATATTGGATGGCGGCAAGACAAGAGTGCAGAAGAAGGAAGACAGGGTGGACAAAGGAGCCTAGGGATGCAACAAAAAATTGGCAGCAGAGGAGGACAGGAAGCGGGACTGAAAGTGAGTCCATGGGGTTGTTCTCCGGTCGCCTGAATTTTTCCAACAGGGACAAATAACAAATTTAATGGTGCACAACTTCGGGTGAGTTTTAACGAGATAATGTTTTATTGTCGCACGTCGTGCACGGCACCAAAGTGTTGGGAAGCTGGAAAATGGGCACCATTTCTGCTGAAGATGTGGATTCACAGCTAAAGACAGGCCCAGAGGGTTAATAAGTTATAGGATTATACGACTATAGAAGTGGGACTTTAAGTAAGAATCTATATTCCGCAAGTTTCCATACATTTTAGAGAGAAAGAGCAAAGAATCTAACATTAAAATAGATGTGCAGGAGAAAGCTTTTCAATAGCAAGAGAATGCCTCTGTTTGAGCTTTCTCCATTTGTGCGCCTTTTCCTGAATATGGCAACAGCATATTCTCACATTTGCCCACCTGCTATGCGAGAGAAAAATTCGAGATAACAATTTGCGATTGTGGCGAAGACGGAGAAAATGATCCATGATGAAAAAGTGCGCCTGGAGAAATATGCCGGAAAACTCTTGAATTTCCCTCCTCAAATTTATGTCTCTCTTTCCACACATCGAGAATTATTCCTCATGAGTGTGTTCACTTCCTTTTTTCCTCGTCGTCCCCCAAAACATGTTCATCATGTACATGGCGCGGAGGAGGCAAAAAATCCGTCTGCAGCGTTACTTAACTTGACCTCAGTGCAAAGTCCTGAAGAGAGGGATTTGGTGCTTAGTTGAACATGAGTTAGTCAGAAAGCTGAGAGAGAGGATATACAAGTTTATACGAGTCGTACAACTAATATTTATGAACTTCACTGAAAATGACAGTCTCTATTATCTCACTGGCCAAATCACATCTTTTGTGTCTTAAGAAGGATTTACTACAAATTACGTATAACATGGGATTGTGAGACAATAAAAGTCCTTTGAATAGTTCACGCTTCATTCTCTCGCTATCACCGTTGTCGAGCTTTTTGCCATCTCCTGGGCGAAATGCATTGTATATAGTCGTTCCTTTTTTTCATTTGCCATGGCGAAGATGAAGGACTCTGAGGGACAATGGGAGAAATGAGGAATTTCCATTAATATTGCACAAGGATTGTGAATTCGCTGTCAACTCAATTTGAAGAGACCTTTTGATTTGGAAATAGATTTATGTACCCAATGAGTAAATTGTGCGAGACGACAACGGCAATTGATGACATTGCTAAGGTGAATTGATTGAAGACTTCCTAAATTAATGTAAGACAAATAAATCAGGTGATCAAATACGGAAAGTGGGTGTAAATGATAAACATTTCCTAAATATACTCAATACACGTCAATGCACAGCTTTTCATCCATCAAATACCACGTTCCAATGCCACTGAGAAATTCACACATACAGACAGATTTGGAATTTCTTAAGCAATTGTGGGTAATTTTCGTAATTAGGCCACACCCAGATGGAATCCTTCTGTATGAAAATTGGGGGAAAAAAATTCCAATTATATCCCCATCTTCGCAAATGAATTATGTTAATTTCGGGTGGTGAAAATTTTACCGGGAAGATTAAAGTTCTGCCAATATTGATTGAAATTGCTAATATGGGGTTGGGAAGAGTGCGAGCAATTTATTTAGGGGAGAGAGGGAGAGAGAGAGAAAGAGAGAGGAGAAAGAGAGAGGGAAATTAATGAAACTGTCCGTGGAAATTAATTGTAACACAAATCGATAAATTGGACCATTTGATTCTAATTTTGCACTAAAAGAGAAAATGGAATTAAATGGCCAGTTACCACGCTTTATGCTTATTATGCCTTTTACAAGTTAATTGAACAGGAAGTTTCACGAAATTTATTTGGATATCAAACTAATTTTTGCATCAACTAATCACCAGCAATTGAAATGTTCCCGTAAACTACACCATATTCCATGATGTCTAAAATTTAATGAGTAATTGCAATTGAAAGTCAAACCTCTGGTGTTCTATGGAGAAAATGTTGAATTGAAATTTGCTCAGGAACACAATTAAAAAAGCAAACCAATTTTCAAGTGAACTCTCTGGCGAAGTTTACTCAAACGCCCAAAACTCTAGTTGACTTAAGAACATTGCGAAAATTAATTTGGAATAAATATGTACATATGAGATGCCTGAAAACATGAATATATCAAAATTGACTGATGGTGAGGGTTTCGCAGTGTTGATTAGAAGACTCAGTGTTGGATTTGCTTGATTCCTTCTTCGAGCGAAATGCGGTTCAGCTCACAAGGTAGGTTGGCCTCAGGAGGTAAGCATGGGGGATTTGCGAACGTGATGTTTCCTGGCCACACTGCCACTGTGGCCCCTGGAAATGAATATTACGGCCACGTCGCGGTGGTTGTATAGAGACGTTTCACGCCTTCCAGTTTCATTTAATCCAAAACATTCATCTTTCGCCTTTGGCAGGGCGGCGAAACCTTCTGCAGCAAGTGTCTTGAGCTCGTGCAAATGCAGGGGTGTTGTCATGGCGCCAATAAAACTTAGGGTTTGACATCACTGTTCTGAGTGGCAGAAGCCATCATCAGCAGGCATATTCGAAAATGCGAAGGAAACTTTGAAGATGTACAAGATGTGCTGAGAAACTCCAAAATTGGAATATGTTTTGACTATATACACACACTCAATGCCTCCATACAGTGAATAACATTTGATGCTGAATGCCAAGTGACTGAATTGACTGCTGATTAACTTGTCACACTGCCGAAATACATGTGCAGGCCCCGGAAGTGGATGCATTTAAGAATATTCTATTGAAGGCATTTTCCAGCTTGCAAATCAAGCACTATTATTTGGCACTCAAGAGCATAATGACTTTTTCATTTAAGAAACACCCAATTTCCTTACATTCCCTGAGCATTTCTCTCCCAAAAGGGCCAAATAGAACACTTTACAAGAGTGCGGTTGTGGTGTTCGAGGTAAAAATGCATCACCGCGAAGGGGAAAAATGGGGAATCCTTGATATTCCATAAATAATGTATGTAATGCGAAAGTGCATGTACGCGATGTTTAGTGTAATCCAATCTTCTTAAAATTCATTTCAGTATACAAGAAAATTCCGAGTCTCTACCGTAATTTCATTGTTGCTCGTGCGGCTTAGTGTTGCGGTTTCCGCCACAAAACCTCAGGAAAAGCTCAAGTATTTTCAAGTGTGTGTATTTGTGTGGGTGTACTTCTCAAGAAAATCCTTGGTGAGTTTGTGTTTTATTGTCCAAAAAATGCAACAAGGGAAAATGTTGACGAGGAGAGTGAGTTTCACCTCAGAATCCATGGCGTTTCCTCTGGCAAAACCACGCGCGGCGCCCTTTGGGGTGGTAAAATAATTAAAAGAGGGTTGCTGTAGCAGTCCCTCAGCTTTCCATTGTACAGCACATGTGATTACAATTAGGAAGAAATCTTTGAGGAGTTTTTCATTCTCAAGCTCGTGGAGTGCATAAAAATGTTGATTGCTACATTGAAGTAGGTATACATCCAATATTGCATCTCTGAGAGCTTTCACAATTTTATCACACAGAAATGCTCAGCTTTTGAGGATATAAATTACGCCATTATGGTGGAAAAGGACCGCACAAGTGCAATCATCGTTGCAACACTTGCCATTCTGCACAACCATTTGATCTCCATTCACCAAATGAGACCATCAATGTTAAGGATAGGAGCCTTTAGAAGAAGTACGACTGTGTATATGTAGCAACTCAATCACTCTCTGTTTTTATTTTCCACACAATGATGATGTTTCCAAAGATGT